GGCAGTAACAATCATTGACTCAATAACCCATGTTCAACAAACTCTAGAGACGTCAGCTCAGAGAACAGAGCTTTTGGCAGTCATTTATGCTTTTGAACAATTGCAAGAGGTTCCCTTTAACTTGTACACTGACTCTCAATATATAGTTAAATTATTTCCTCATATTGAGACCGCCTCTCTCCCACAAGGAAGAACAGCCATTTTCTCTTTGTTAACTCAGCTACAAACTTGCATTCACAAACGAGAAAAGGCTTTCTATATTGGACATATTAGAGCTCATTCCTGCCTACCAGGACCCTTAAGCGAAGGAAATTATCAGGCGGATTTACTAACTCGCCCAGTAGTTTGTACAGCTCTAGAAGAAGCCCGGCGGTCTCATGCCATTCACCATCAAAATGCTTCTGCTCTCCGTCTATATTATCGCATACCTAGAGAAGCTGCTCGAAGTATTGTGCGTGACTGCGGCCATTGTCCTACTCATTTTCCTAGCCCTGCTACTGGAGTTAATCCAAGAGGACTTAGACCCTGTGACTTATGGCAGATGGATATTACTCATGTCCCATCTTTTGGCAAACTTTGCTATGTGCATGTTTGTATTGATACCTTTTCTCATGTTATCCTTGCTTCTGCACGTACAGGAGAAGCCTTTAAAGATGTAAGTCAACATCTATTCCAATGCTTTTCCTACCTAGGAATACCAAGGGCACTTAAAACTGACAATGGGCCTGCCTATACCTCTAGAGCTTTTAAAAACTTATGCTCTACATTCGGCATCGCACATACTACAGGAATACCCTACAATCCTCAAGGCCAAGCAATAGTAGAAAGGGCTCACCAAACTTTAAAAACACAAATTAAAAAATTACAAGAAAATGAGTTTAAATATTCCTCTCCTCATCATGTTCTACAACATGCTCAATTTGTAATTAATATACTAAATGTAGATTCTGAGGGAAATTCCCCGATGTACAGGCATTGGAACCCTGATCTAACTAAACCTAAAGCCCTCGTCAAATGGAGAGACTTGCTTACAGGAGCCTGGAAGGGACCTGATGTACTTTTAACCCAGGGGAGAGGATATGCTTGTATATTTCCACAGGACGCAGACTCACCTGTGTGGATTCCAGACCGTCTAGTCCGACCTTATGTCTCACCGCCCGCCATCTCTGCCTCATCATAGCACACCTGACCAGTGCCCGTCTGCAGCAGATGTGCAGACCTGAGCTGGAACAATCTGTCCATTGGGAGGATCACATGTGCCTCCGTTTTGTCTTTCCACATGTCCCAGCTTTGCCCCACATCTCCTTTCCTTTTTCCTTTTTTTAAAATCTAACTACTTGTTTGCTGGTTCTTTGGCCTTTCTCCTTCTTTCCTGAACACAGCCTTTTCTAGAATCTCCCTACCCTACTGTTCCAGGAAGGGCATCTCCCTTTTATGCCGTGACTAGGGGTGTTTGGTATATGCCCCATACATGGAGTTGTCTTGGGCCAAGAGCCTGACATCCTGGGCTGAGAAAGCCCTGTTCCAGGACTCTCCTTTGTCCTGTATTGGCCCCTCTTACCCTTGTGTCAAGAGGGACCCTCTTCTTACAATCCAATTGCCCATAGATGTTGCCTGAGCTCTCTGTTCATGCTGAGGTTGAAGCCGCATGGTGGCTGGTACCATGGATCTGTCTCTGGCCCAATGGCGTAAGCTGGGCCCTCTCTAGAGAAGAAACCTGAGTTCCCTATGATCAATGCCAGAGCCCCGCCAGCAGGCAAGGGGATCCCAAGGCAGTTGCTGGGCATGGAGGCCAGAGGGACATAGGCTATCAAGGAGACAAAACTGAACCTCACATCACCCTACTTGGCCCAGAGATGGCTGGTAGTCAACGACGGGTAAGACTCCACAGGGTGGGGCAACCTAAGACAGGCACAGTCGGGGGCCAGTAGGAGAAAACTTGGGGTGCAACAAAGGTGGGGCACAGACCCCCCTCCCCAATGGTGCAGGGGCTTGAACACTCGGCCCTTCTGAGGAAGGTCTCCTGTCCCCATGGCTGCTTCCTGCTTCCCATGCCCAGCTCAGATTAGGACCCAGGTAAAGACAGAGACTGGCTGACAGCAGCTGCCCTCTCACTGAAACAGGACTTGTTTCCCATTTCTACCTGGGACCACAGGGAAAGGGGAAGCTGAAGGAAAGGGCTGTGTCAGGATGCTGCCTTCTTCCCTTTCTTCTCCCTCTTTTTTCTAAACACTTCCATGCCTTGTAGTTCTTTTGCTTTCTCTTCTTTTTCTACTACCCTCCATTTTCCATATCAGCTGGATCCAGAGGGCACAGCTTACTCCTCCTCGGACATCAACACCACCATCAACCACGGCCCTGATGGACCCTTTGATGCAGCCCTTCAACTTGCTGACGCTTCGGGAAGCCTGTCGCCAGTGACGCCGCCCGCTAGCCAGACCAACAAAGACAATCAAACCAACAACTTGAGGACAGCTGAAATCCCTTGACTGAAGAGGCTGGCAACCTTCTACAGGAATGGGGCTCCTTGTGCACTCCATCCACTATGTTTATGGTTATACTCACTGTCATTGCTTGCCAGTCTTCTTCTGAGTTTTAAACGGCCCAATCTGAGAGGTGGCCACTGATTTGCATGTGCTATCATTTAAAAAATAAAAAAGGGGGAATTTGCCGGAAGCCGGTCCATCCTTGCTGCTTGACACAGTCACTGCAGGATAGAAACATCTGCACAGCATATGTTTCAAGGGACCTGGCGTATATAGCATACTGTTCTTAATATGTTTGCTCCCCTTAACGCTGTGTGTTTTAACCAAGGTCACCTCTCCAAGAAAGGTTGTTTCCCCAGGTAGGAATTTTTCCCTGAAGTCAGGGAGGGGATGCCTCTCCTAGAAAGGTTGTTTCCCCAGGTAGGAATTTTTCCCTGAAGTCAGGGAGGGGATGAAACTCCTTAACTAAGTGCCAGGCGGGTAGTTAATCACTACAAACAATCATGCTTAAGCTACATAATCTTTACTCCCTGGAATGGAGATAAGAAACGCCCTAACCTTTGTAATAGAAATTGACAGGATTAAAATCAACTGGTATAAATATGGATGTAACAAGACAATAAACAGCAGAACTTCGCTGGAGATCCAGACCAGAACTTGGCTGGAGATCCTGGCTAGAGATCCTGGCTAGGCTGCTGATCAACTGAACACTGTCTCCGTGTCCTTCCTTCTTCGCCGACTCCATCCACACCTTTGGGGACCCCTGGACCTGCTGGGGTTGGACCCCGGCATATTTACTGTATTTTTAAAATTATTTTGAGATAATTATAAAGTCACATGCAGTTTCAAGAAATAATGCAGAGCTTTCATGTACCCTTTACCCAGTTTTCATCAAGGGTAATATATTGCAAATCTTGCTGCAATGTCACAATCAGGATATCGACATTCATATAGTCAAGATATAGAACAATTCCATCGTCACACTTTTTCCCCCTCTTGCCCTTTTATAGGCACACTTGCTTCTGTTTTCCAACCATACTAAAAACCCCTGGTAACCACTAATCTCTTCTCCATTTCTAAATTTTGTCATTTCAAGAATGTTATGTAAGTAGAATGGTACAGTATGTTAACATTAGAGAGACTGGCTTTTTTTCCACTCGGCATAATTCTCTTGAGATTTAGCCAAGTTGTTTCCTCTATCAGTACTTTTTTTATTGCCAAGGAGTAGTCTGAGATATGGATGTAGCACAGTTTAACCATTCACCTGTTGAAGGACACCTGGGTTGTTTCCAGTTTGAGGTTCTTACAAATAAAGCTGTTTTTATGTATATTCATGTACAGGTTTTTGTGGGACATAGTTTGTTTCTTTGGGATAAATGCCCAGGAGTGTAATTCTGGGTCATATGATAGTTGCATGTTTAATTTTTAAAGAAACTACCAAACTTTTCTAGAGTGGCTATACCATTTTACATTTTCACCAACAATGTATGAATTTCTCTGCATCCTTGCCATTATTTGGTGTCACTATTTTTTTTAAGCCATTCTGATGGGTGTGTAATGATATCTCATTGTGGTTTAATTTGCATTTCCTTAATGGTTAATGATGTTGAACATCTTTTCATGTGTTTATCTGCCATCTGTATATTCTGTTCCATAAAATGCCTATGCGTGTCTTTACCCATTTTCTAACTGGACTTATTTTAATAAACTTATTTTAGAATATTTAGATTTACAAAAAAATTATTGCTATACTACAGACTTTCTACTTTAAATTAGTTTTGTAGATTTGTTACAATTAATGGACCATATTAATACATTCTTATTAACTAAAGTCAATACTATATTTAAATTTCCTTGGTTTCTATCTAACATCCTTTTCCTCTTCTAGGTTTCCATTTAGGATACCACATTACATTTAGTCATCACATCTCCTTAGAAGCCTCTTGGATGTGACAGTTTCTTAGACTTTTCTAATTTTTGATGACTCTGACAGTCCTAAGGAGTTCTGGTCAGATATTTTGTAGAATGTCCCTCAAATGGGATTTGTCTGATGTTTTTCTCATAATTACACTTGGGCTGTGGGTTTATGGAAGACCACAGAGGTAAGTGCCCTTCTCATCATGTAACAGATGTATATACTGTCAACACAACTTATGCTGTTGATGCTAACCTTAATCACCTGGCTGAGGTAGTGTTGTTAGGTTTTTCCACTATAAAGCTGCTCTTCCCCCCCTCCCCCCCTTTTTCAATACTGTACTCTTTGGAAGAAAGTCACCATATGCAGTTCCACACTTAAGGAGTGGGGGAGCTAGCTTCCACCTCCTTGAGAATGTTTATCTACATAAAATATTTGGAATTTCCTTGCAAGGGAGGTTTGTCTAATCTCTCTCACTTATTTTAGTCAATAATTTATATCAATATGGACTCATTTATTTTATACTTTGTATTATGATCTAATACTACCTTATTTTGTTACTTATATTGTCTTGATTTGGCCATTGGGAGCTCTTTCAGTTGTGTCCTTTTGATATGCCCCCTCATTGTGTGGCTTTTTTCTTTAAGTCCTTCCTTCCTTTCTAGCACTACAAGGTTCTCCAGACTCATCTTGTGTATTTCCTGTTCTAGTTGTAGAATCAGTTATTTCTTCAAGAAGGCCTGGTTCTTCTTATTGAAGAAGGGTATTAAAACCAAACTTGGGGTCCATTATTTGTATTTTCATTGTGGAATTTTAAGAATTCTTTGTTTTCCAGATATGACTGCTTTGTTGGATATGTGGTTTATAAATATTTTATCTCAGTCTATAGCTTGTCTTTTCATCATTTTTTTAAAAAAATGTGTTTTTATTGATTTTAGAGAGAGGAAGGGAAAAGGGAGAGAGAGAAACATCCATTTGTTGCCTCCTGTACATCCTGCACCAGGGATGGAATCTATGACTTGGCTCGACTTCTTGGTGCATGGGACAATGCTCAACCATCTGAGCCACACCGGCCAGGGCATCTTTTCATCTTCATAACAGTCTTTTACAGAACAAAACTTTCAAATTTTGGTGAAATCCTATTTACCACTTTTCCTTTTTAAGGATTGCCAGGTCTCTAAGATGTCCTTGTTCACCCAAGGTTCCAGAAGATTTGCTCCTGGTGTTTTGTTTTTTTTTCTTTTCTGAAAGTATTATACTTTATAGTTGCATGTGCTACATTTACATTTGCTCAATCTGATCACCGTTGCCAAGAGGACTTGGCTTGATGGAAACCTCCATGGGCTAGGAAAGCCACCTTGCTGTACCATTTAACTGAAGTTACCAGCTTTCAAAACAAACAGCCCTCAATGAAGTAAGACAGAGAAATCATAAGGAAAGTATAAATTACTTTCCTCATAGTAAAAAAATCTAAGATTATTCAAGTTGAGGGCAGGAACTATTCAGTTGCACTAAATAAAATAATAAAATGCCTTTTCATTAATGGTTATGGACTTATGAAAACCACCAACTTTGGGCTGGAATAGAATATCACACTGGATGTCTACGTTTTCTTCTAGTTCTAACATTCTGATTTTATAAACAAAGTAAGTGGTACAGCTGAAATTATAGCTCAGGTCTTCTGTGTTCCTGATTTAAGCACCTTTCCTCACAGTAGCAGCCTGTATACTTTTCTTTTTTTTAAATACATTTTTATTGATTTCAGAGAGGAACGGAGAGGAAGAGAGAGATAGAAACATCAAATGATGAGAGAGAATCCCCCGCCCAGGATCCAGCTGGAAACCTGGGAATCGAACCAACAAACTTTCAATGCATGGGATAAAGCCTAACCAACTGAGCCACACTGACCAGGGCTCCACCTTCATAATTTTTACTGTTATCAGGTTTTCCGTGTCCCATAGTATTAATTTTTTTTTTAATATCTTAACTGCCGTTTTATTTCCATCCAGGCCCAGGGACAATTTAGAAAGGGCTCTGTTCTGAGGGCGCAGACTTAGGAGGGCAGAAGGCTGCCGATGCGGTGTTGAAGTTAGCCTGTCAGTCATCGTGATTGAAACATAACCGGGTGGCTTCCGCAGGGTAATAAAATGCTGAGCAAAAGGTTGCCGAATTGGAGGATGTAATAAAGTCTGCTTGGCTTCATTTCCAATGCCGCAGAGTCCTGAGAACAGGCCCATTTCCTTATGCCTTGGGATTTGTTTGAGTTGCTTTTCATGCCTGCATCACTGAAAGTAGGCCCGCAGCGCCCCGGCTTCTGCTGCCATTTCCTCCTCCGATCTCCACAGGGCCGGGGAGTCCGCTTCCTCTTTGTCATGTTTCTGGAGCTCATCATAGACGCTGTCATTCCTGTGAAAGTCTCCAGCCTTCCTGGGCAGAACATGGATGTGAACGTGCTTCACAGTCTGTCCGGCTTCGGGGCCATCCTGCATAGCAAAAGTAAGAGAAGTCCCCTGGAAATGCTTTTCCACCGCCGTGCCGACCCTCTGGGCGGCTTGAAACAAATCAGCCACTTCATCAGGACGCAGGTCTCGGAAGCGCTCCACTGGCCGAAGGGGACACACCAGGACATGCCCTGGGACCACAGGTTTCCTGTTCACGAGGGCGAAGGACAGTTCTGTCCTGAGAAACACCACAGAGGGCTTGATGAGATGTTGGCCGAATCTGAATGACATGTTCTCTCGGTTGGAATCTCTGTCCTTGGCGCCTCTGCACCTCCTACTCAGTCTCAATGCGGGTCTTTCTTTCCTTCTAGTTGTAGAACTTCCACTCAGCCAGCTTTCCCGTGGGTCTGGATGATAGCTGTTCGTTGGGGTCCAACCCCAGCAGGTCCAGGGGTTCCCAAAGGTGTGGATGGAGTCGGCGAAGAAGGAATGACACGGAGACAGCGTTCAGTTGATCAGCAGCCTAGCCAGGTTCTCTAGCCAGGATCTCTAGCCAAGTTCTGTCGCAGCCTGTATACTTTTTAAAAATAATTTTTAATTGATTTTTAGAGAGCGAGAGGGATAGGGAGAGAAACATTGATGTGAGAGTGAAACATCAATCTGCTGCCTCCTGCATGCCCCCTACTGGGGATCGAGCACATAACCCGGGCATGTGCCCTGACTGGGAATCGAACCAGCAACCTTTTGGTGCACAGGAAGATGCCCAACCAACTGAGCCACACCAGCCAGAGCCAGCCTGTATATTCTTGATCAAAATGTAGATTCATGACCTCTCTAATTACACAGAACATCTGAGTGTTGGGTCTGAAAGATCTACATTTTAAAGAATCTACTTAGCATGTTCAAACATTTATTAGGGTTTGAGAATCCCTGTCACAGCCCAAAGCCCTGGTCTTATTTTATAGTCAGAGCATCAGAGATGAGTTTTCTCAACTCTGGATGCCTAGGTGTCTACCAGGGACCGAGGACTGCTGCCTCTAAAAACTATGTATCCTTGTACCTTGATAGGCACTCAACACATACTTTTAGAATATTGAAATATTGTTTATTCTGGAAAGAAATGAGAATTCAAATTGATGCCTAAAATTATTCCAACTTTGGATATGAAATCCATTTGACCCTCAGATTCTTCCTTTTGCTATTTAGGCAACTTACTGGCCATTAGCATTAATTTTTGCTCTGGAGCATGAAGTCTGCAAACTACCACCAGAGACCAAATTTAAGCCTGGTTTTGTAAGTAAAGTTTTTTTTTTTTAAATATATTTTATTGATTTTGTACAGAGAGGAAGGGAGAGAGATAGAGAGTTAGAAACATCGATGAGAGAGAAACATGGACCAGCTGCCTCCTGCACACCTCCTACTGGGGATGTGCCCGCAACCAAGGTACATGCCCTTGACCGGAATTGAACCTGGGACCCTTCAGTCCGCAGGCCAACGCTCTATCCACTGAGCCAAACCGGTTAAGGCTGTAAGTAAAGTTTTAGTGGGATAATGTCTTATGGCATCTCTCAAAAAACATACTCATTGTCTCTGGCTGCTTTTGGCCACAACAGGGGAACTGATTAGCTACGACAGAAACCTTATGACCCACAGGAGCCTAAAATATTTATCTGGCCCCCTGCACTAGAGAATTGAAAGGGAAAAAGTAGAGCTTATTTCAGATTTTACCTTTTAAGTCTTTGTTGGCAGACTTGTTTTTTAAATAACTGATTTAGAGAGAGGCAGACATCGATTGGTTGCCTCCTGCTTGTGCCCTGACCAGGAATCAAACCCACCACCCTTCAGTGCACGGAGCCATTAGCCAACCAAACCACACTGGCCAGGGTTTTGCTGGTAGATTTGTTATTTAGCTGCAAACAATAGCCAGTGAAACTAAGCAGTGTTTTTTGAGAGATATACCATAAGACATTATCTCTGATACTACCTACTGGGCCTTCTTGGGAACCTGAAATTTATACTGGTTAAGGCAGTTTTTCTCAAAGTGTGGATCTCACACTACCTGAATCTAAACCATCTGTAGTGCTTGTTTTAAAATGCAGACTCCTGAATCCCACCAAAGACTCACTGAAAGAAAATTTCTAGAGGTAAGGGTGGTCTTTGATTATTCTTTTGTAATCAAAGAGTAATTGATCCCTGCTTGTTATAGCATTCAACAAGATATATTTCTTTGCTTACCTGTTTGTCTCTCCTGTAAACTCCTTCAGAGTACGTATTGTATTATTCAATACTTTTATATCCCAAACCCTAGGGTGGGCATATTTAATTGCTATAGTTCTCAAAGGGTGGTCCATGGACTCTGGGGGTGAGGTTGTAGAAACCTTTTCAGGGATCACAAACTATTCCTTAATATCTAAGACATGATTTGCCTTTCCCCCCGCTCTGTTGATACAAAAGTACTGGTGGGTAAAACTGCTGGCGCCTTAGGCAGGAATTAAGGCAGTGGAAACAAACTGTACAATCAGTCATTGTCCACTGCTGTGCATTCATAATAAAAAACAGTACCAGTTTCACTTAAGAATACTCTTCATCAAGCAGCAAAAACCAATTTTATTAACCCTAAGTTCATACTTTTTCATATTCTATATGACAAAATAATATGCATAAAACATTTCCACCTTCTGAAGTATGCTGGTCTCTTGAGGAAAAGGCACTTGACTATTTGAATTGGTAACTGAACCAGCTACTCTTTTTTTCATGGAACATTTTTATTTGACTTGCTATTGCAATTGTTAGGTATTTGGCAGAACTTTTCTTGAAAATATGGGAAGGGAAAAATTCCCCTTTCCTTCCTCTGGTTCTTTTGGCTGGCTGAATAATCAAATCAACAAGAAGAAATTGACAAGAGAAAATAAAATTTACTTTCATGTGCATAGGAACCCCACATACATGAGAGGTTTAAACAGAAAGGGAAAATGGATATATAAAACATTTGAGGTAGAAATCAGGGAAGGCACCTTGGGGCTTCAGAAGGTCATTGCAGGGAGAGCACATGTTCAGTAATTAGTAGTTTGTCCTACCATATAAGTAGGTCCAAAAAGGTTATCCCTGATAATCTCTTATTATGGGCAAGGCTTCTCATTCAAAGTCCTCCAGATAGTGAAGGGTGTGGGGGAAGAAGTTTCTCTTGAGCCCACAAGATCTCCTTTGCCTTTAGCTCAAAAATAATCCACATACCACTTAACGCACATCATGGGATGGCTCTTCTGAATCCCCACAAAAACAAAGTGAGCTTGTCACTGCAAGGAAAACAATGGACAGTATTTGTTGCCAGTGGTAAAATCTGACCTTTTCAAGAAAAAAGTAGAATTTTGGAAAACTTTGCTGTGCTATGAACTTGACAGCTTTACAATACTTAAAAGATTTTTCTGAGATTGGTGGTAATTTTAAAAAATATTTAATAAAATCTGGTAACATTTGGAAGACTGCATAGCTCAAGTGAACTAGCATTTTCCAAGACAACAACACATGTCATAAATAGTTTATAGGTAAAAGATCCATTTAAAGTGCCAAGCAGACCAATGGATTTTAATGTATTAGAGTACTACAAAAAATTCATTGATATATTTTCAGATTTCACATTGCAACTAATTTTTAAGAAGCTACCATTTGCTGAATTTTAGTGTAGTTATTAAAAAGAATATCTACAATTACCTGAAAAGGCTATGAAAATTACTCTTTCCTTCTCCAACTACATAGTTGAGTGAGGCTGGATTGTCTTCATATACTTCAAAACTAAAATTGTAATAGATTAAATGCAGAAGCAAATTTGAGAATCCAATGGTTTTCTGTTAAGCCAGACATTAAAGAAATTTATGAAAATGTGAAGCAACATCATTCTTTTCTATGATTTTTAAGTTATTTTGAAAAAGTTATTTTTTTATAAAAATATTTACACAAAATGTTATTTTAAAATGAATAAATTTTAAATTTCTCAGTTTTAATTTCTAGTATAGTAAATAGTTATAAGTACAACCTACATACACATCACTCTTTAGGATCCAGTTCTGTCACTTAAATTACTCTGATTTTAGGTAAGTTATTTAGGTGCAGGCTGTGAAGACAGGACTGTTTATAATTTTGGCTCTATATTTGCTGGTAGTACGGCTTTTGGTAAGTCATTTTACCTCTGCAAATAGGGAAACTATAGTATCTACTTCATTAGGTTGCTCTGAGGACTAAATGGGATTATACTTGTAAAATGCTTACTTTACACCTGTGCCTACAACATAGTAAGAGCTCAGTAAATGCTAGTTACTATTTTTATTAGTTTATTATATTAGCCAATCATCTGACAAGATCCTAGAGAATGGGGCGCAGTCCTGGCTTTCTTCATCCTCTCCGTAGAGAACAGAAGTTATTTAGGTGTTATAAATTTGAGAAGGTATAAATAAACTTGTTGATATATATGCGAGGCTGTTAAACCTATAGGATAATTGATGCTATAAAATTTTCCTCTTTCAGTTTTTCTTTTTCTCAGTGTCTAAAGAAATAACAAAACTGATGCCCAGCAGGTGTGGTTCAGTGGCTGAGCGTGAACCTATGAACCAAGAAGTCTCTGTTTCTATTCCCAGTCAGGACACATGCGGGGGTTCCAGGCTCAATCCCCAGTAGGGAATATGAAGGAGGCAGCCAACTGATGTCTCCCTTCCTCTCATATTAAAAACAAAACAAAACTGAAAAACATTACCTAAACCCTTGCCCTAGAATACTCAATTATTACCCCAAAGGAGTTGAGGTCTTCCAGAGAAATAACTGGTCAGCTTCATGACTGTGGGAAATTCGTTTAACTTTTCACTTCATTTATGTCATCTTGTTTGAACAAAAACAAGCTCTCCTCTACCTCTATTAGAGATACCTTTTTTTGCAGCCCCTAGATCCAAATAAATGCAAGGGGGCGGGGGCCAAGCCCTAGTCTAGAGATAACCCTTTATCCTTGCAAGTGCCAATTGCATCCGTTCTCCCCAGCACCCAGATGTGGAAGTCTGGATAGACATAGCTGCTGGCGCCCTATCGTCCTATTTTCCACCAGGGGCGTGGCACCCAGCGTCTCCCGTGGCTTCCCGCACCACCCCTGGGGGCCCATCAGTAGGGTAAGGGTTAGCCAGAGCGTCTGGGCAGGCGGCCTGTTTTCCCAAGTATTAAGCGAGAGGGCTGGGCTTTCCTCCTTCCTCTAACTCAAGTGCCAAGGGCTGCCCTACAGCTACGAGGTCTTCTTCCGCAACCCAGCCGCCTACTGACCTCCGGCCTCACACCGCCCGCGGGCTCAGGGCGGAGGGCACAGCGCACTTACGACCCGCACGCCCAGCGGCCCCGCGCTCCGGCTCTCTGCCCGCAGGGAGGAGCCACATCTCGCGCGATTCCCTCCACCTCTCGCGACACTTCCTGGCAGTACCCCTGCGGCCCTCCTCGTCCCACGCGTCGTGTACGCGCCGGGGTCACAGCCGCCTCACCTTTGCTCTCCGCAGCCTGGTGCGCTGCTCGCCCGCAGGGAGCGCGGTGGAGCCGAGCGTCGGGCGCGAACCTGGCGAGGCCACAGGCTCCGCCCCGCTCCGCCCCGCCCCACCCCGCCCGGGCTCTGGATAAAGGCCGCCGCGCGGGGCTATGTCGTGTCCCCCTCAGCGAGGGCAGGAGAGCGTGAAAGGCAGCGAGGTTGCCAGGTGAGTACGCGACGGCGAGTTGGGGTGGGCGGTGGACCGGTGGACCGCGGGAGGCCCGACTGAGGTGCGGGATGGAGACGGGGGATGGAGATGCCGGGGCAGCGGAGGATGCGATGCCCGAGGCCGGGAATGGAGGTGCTGGGAGGACCCGGCCGGGTGGGGGTGATTTCGGTTCCAGGGAAGTGGCCCTTTGTGTCGACTGTGCCCCAAGTTGCCTTGTTTCCATGGGTGGCCCCGCTCCTCTCGGCGGGGCCGGAGGCGGTCGGAGACCGGTCCCCGAGCTCCAAAGGTGCGAGATCTGAGCTGCAGGCGTCGAGGTTCGTGGGGCCGAAGAGACACGCCCCGGTGGCTGGGTGATTTGTGTGGGACGCGGAGCTGGAGCGGCCGACCGCCCGGGGAGCGTCCGCTCCGGAGGCCAGGTGTTGGCCACCCCGCTGCGCCGGGGGCCGAGCGAGGGGGGTTGTGCGCGCTCCGCGGGGGTGGGGGGCGCCGCAGGACACTCCCCAGGTCTGCACTGCGGGGTGCGCTGAGCGTTCCGCGCGTGAAGGCATAGAGACGCGGCGGTCCGGCTTTTAAGGGAAGGCGGCTCTCGAGGTCACCTGTTACTCTACCTGGGACGCGGACGGTGCGCGTGCGCACAGTGGCCCCAGGCGAGGGTTTGTGTGTGCGGTCAGAATCTGTATCGGAGTCCCTAATTCGGCACACCTCAAGGATCAATGAAAAACGACTAGTTCTTAAGTGAATAGTTTCATTTTCAATATTTTAAGATTCCAGTTGATCATGGAAGTGGGTAATGATAGGGGGCCTGGATAGTAGGCGTTAAGAGGGAGCAAAATTTTTGCCTTTGGCACCAGACTTAGATTGGAAATTGGGGTAAAGTGTTTTTGTTGCAATCAAGTTTTTGACCATGTGTTTCTTGTGCTTCTGGGTTTGTTTTATAACTTGTCGAAAACCATGCAGTTTTCTGAGAGAATTGGGAGATCAGTACAAAGTGGTTGCTCTGACTACAGGAAGCATTTTGTTTAAAGCTCTCTCCTCTCCACCCCTCCATCCAGCTATTAATATAAAATAAATTAATCGCTGCTTTAAATTATGTAACCCCCCTAGATTGCTGGGTTTTTTAATTGTTATTTTGCAGAAATGACTGTTAATAGGAGGAATATAATTTTTCTGATAGTTTTCTTTTATCTTGTGTTTTAGAGAGAGAAATGTCATCAGTGGAATCACACCAGAAACAGTTGACTTGTCAGATCCATCCCCATCACCAAACTCATGTAGTTCCTTTGAGCTAATAGACATGGATGCTGGCAGTTTGTATGAACCAGTTTCTCCTCATTGGTTTTATTGTAAAGTAATAGATTCTAAGGAGACATGGATTCCTTTCAACTCTGAGGATTCACAGCAGCTGGAAGAAGCATGTAGCTCTGGTAGGAGAAAAATGATGACTTACCATAGACAAAGACTTAATGTTCTCTCTCTCAAACTATAATATTAGTCCTTATAGCGAATGCTATTAAAAGTAAATTTTAGATTTTCCCCCCTAGGCATCCCTGATAGCGTTTTTATACAGAAGCTCTGCATTACTAGTAACCCAGACAATTGATAATGTTTAAGAATTTGGTCTTTATCTCAGTACCTATTGTAATTTCTGCATAGTTATCCAATAATATTTCTTAGTTCTAGGTTATGTTTCAGTTTTTGTTTATAAAGAGTGTGTATGTGTGGGGAGGTCACATTCACATTGTAACAGAATGAATTCTTTAATTTGTCACTTGTTTTTTTCTTCTTTTATGAAACATGATGCTAGTTACTACTTTATCATCATGATTGTCATGGTCATTAACTTACCTTTTGGTCCCTCGAGGAAAAAATTCAGAAAAGCTGTCTTATATACATTAATATATATATAGATAGATAGATAGATAGATATAGATATATAGATATATTGATTTCAGAGAGGAAGGGAGAGGAAGAGAGAGATAGAAACCTCAGTGATGAGAGAATCATTGATCGGCAACCTGGCATGTGCCCTGACTAGGAATTGAACCACAACCTCCTAGTTCATAGGTGGACACTCAACCACTGAGCCACTGGCCAGGCTTAAATACATTTTTGTTGTTGTTAATCCTCACCCAAGGATATTTTTCCATTGATTTTAGAGAGAGTGGAAGGGAGGGGGAGAGACAGAAAGAGACAAACATTGATGTGAGAGAGACCCCTCAGCTGGTTGCCTCCCGCAGACGCCCCAGAGGTTTGTGCTCTTGACTGGAGTTAAACCCAAGACCCTTCAGTTCTTGGACCAATGCTCTATCCACTGAGCCAAACTGGCGAGGGCTATATACATTTTCTTTCTTTTTTTTTAAAGGGACACTACTATCTCCTCAGAAAAAGAACAGAACAGTGTTTGGGTATTATTTTTTTCATGTTTCATTAAAACCAATAATGGTTTTGATGGTTTGTAAAATAGTGGAAGGTAGCAATTAAATTCCATTTTGTTTAATGTTTATCCAAGTAGAAAATGTTCATTCATGTGTTTCTTGACATTATTTAGAGTATAACTCAGAACTGTATTTCGGGAGATTTATTTTTATATTTGTACTTCTTTTCCTCTTCTCAATTCTTGTTAGGAAAAGATTGTAATGGGAAAGTTGTCCCCACCGATGGGGGCCGGTATGACGTTCATTTGGGGGAGAGGATGCGGTATGCTGTGTATTGGGATGAGCAAGCATCAGAAGTGAGACGATGTACCTGGTTTTACAAGGGAGACAAAGATAATAAGTATGTTCCCTATTCAGAGAGCTTCAGCCAAGTATTAGAGGTATTCCTTTTACCCCTTTAAACTAATTTTCTTTATTTTTTTTTCTTATTTAATCTTTTCTTCCTCTATGGCTTATATTGTTTTGAAAATTTCAGCAAGAGTTTGGTTCTATCTGCACACAGTTTATAGTCTTTCTTTGTGCAAATTAGTTTCAGGATAAAGTAGTTTTTATTTCCAGATTTTAAAATATACTATGGAAGTTGTTATGCCCTTAAATGAAAAAGTGTTTTCCCTAATGGTGATTATTGTTAATATTTAAACTATGACCACAGGATTTTCTTTTTGCCTTTTATTTTTCTTGCTCTGAAAACTGCCTGAAATTTGCTTAAAGTAGGACATTATTATTATTGAAATAAATATATAAAAATGTGAACAATGATGATCTCTAGTCTAGATGGTGGAATTAGGATTGATTTTTTTCTTTGTCCTATATTAATGTTGCATTTAAAAAGAATTTAAAATAAATTTGATAAATCAAGAGAAAGAGCTATATATGTAATATATTCCTAATTTTATGGAAAATATACATGCATTAATATTATTGAAAGAAATATATAAGAATGTGAAAAATACTTATCTCCAGTCTAAATGATGGAAGTAGGAGTGATTTTTTTTTCTTTGTCCCATACTATTACCTGTTGTAATTTTAAAAATGAATTCAATTAATTGGAATAGGATATTCTTATTGTAATTGTTTACTTAGTAGTATCCTCTTGAATAAGGTTAGTTTTAATAGGAAAGCAATAAGAGAAATGTAATGAAATGTGTTTTCTTTTTGTGTGTGTATGTGTGTGTGTGCGTCTTTGTGTGTTTTCTTTTAAGGAAACTTACATGCTTGCTGTAACTCAGGATGACTGGAAAAAGAAACTGGAGTCTCCCAACAGAGAAATTATTGTATTACACAATCCAAAGGTAAAGCAAATTAAAAAGCCTTTCTCTAATATTGGGATTGAAAGTTAATTGCATTACTAAGGAGAACTTTTATTGGTTTCTTTTTCTTAGGAATTCTTCTTTGGATGACCTTTGGGAATTTTATATTATGTGAACAATTATGAAACTTAAAAGTTGTAGCCACTACCATTTTTATTTACCTGTTCACTTTATACAGAATATTTTCTTAGGGAAAGTTATGCCTCTGTAAATTCAGACTATCACTAATACATTACGTGGCATGTTTTTCCATGTGTAGGCTATTGTTGAAAGTCTGTTAGCTTGATGTTTGTTTTCTTTTTTTTTTAGCTTTATTGAGATAGAATTGACAAAATTATAAGATTTTTTTAGTTTTTTAATTCTCATCCAAGGCTATTTTTATTGATTTAGGAGAGAGAGAGAGAGGAAGAGAGAGAGAGAGAGAGAGAGAGAGAGAGAGAGAGAGAGAGAGAGGGAGAGAGAGAGAAAGAGAGACATCCATTGGCTGCCTCATGTACATGCCCTGATTGGGGATTGAACTCACAATCTAGGTCAGTGATGGTGAACCTTTTGAGCTCGGCGTGTCAGCATTTTGAAAAACCCTAACTTAACTCTGGTGCCATGTCACATATAGAAGTTTTTTGATATTTGAAACCATAGTAAAACAAAGACTTATATTTTTGATATTTATTTTATATATTTAAATGCCATTTAACAAAGAAAAATCAACCAAAAAAATTAGTTCACGTGTCACCTCTGACACGCGTGTCATAGGTTCGCCATCACTGATCTAGGTGCATGTCCTGACTGGGAACTGAACCCATAGCTTTTTGGTGTACGGAACGATGCTCAACCAACTGAGCGTCCCAACTGGGCATAAGATATTTAAATTGTACAACATTAGCCAAATATATTTTCAGGGTTCTCATTTCCAACTGTAGTAATTGCATATCAAAACTCCATTTGAGATTTGACTATGTATTATGTTTTGAAAAACATGTTCCTGCCCCTCATTGTATAAATAGAGATGTCTTTAATGTAGAATATCTTCATATCTATTCATTGTGAATGTTTTATTTTATTGATTAAACTACTATAGAACCAGAAAAGATTCAGTGGTATGTGCTGAAAATAGCTTATAGGATTAAACAGTTTTTGGCATCTTTTTTATTTAAGCTTATGGTGCATTACCAGCCAGTTGCAGGGTCTGATGAATGGGGTTCCACACCCACTGAGCAGGGTCGACCAAGAACAGTGAAGAGAGGGGTTGAGAACATCTCTGTTGACATTCATTGTGGTAATGTTAATTATTAAATTTTTTTTCTGATATACTGATTTATTTATGGCTTACATTGTGACCTTTTTCTATGGCTTTGGAGTATCTCAAGGCTTAAACATGATCTTTAATTACATCAGCTTATTTGGAGTTAATATTAGCATCACTTCACCTACTACGAATCTTAATAGGTAGAGAAATCTCTTTTAAAGTTGCTAAGTATGTATAGTAGGATGGATAAAATTTTGCAGTACTAATCAGAAATTCATTAAGTACAGATGAACTGACTTAGTCCTAATTCTAAGAAATATGATTCCACCTGTTTGATTAGAAATTTAGTACTTGTAACTCCTGTAGTTGAAGATTTTCAACTAAGGAAGAGTATTTTCCAGTACAACCTTGATAGTTATCCATTGCTATCTAGGGTTGTTTATGTTTAGTTTTATAATGTATTTAACTGGATTACAAAATTCTTTTTATCTTGCAGAGGTGATAGCTTGTCTCTTGCACAAAGTCTTAGATATACTATAATTAAAAAGATGGGTTTATAATTTTAGGTTTCAAATACATGCCAGACATTATTGGTACAACTGATAAAAATTGAATATTAGGTAAGATTATTTATTAATGTTAAAAATTGCTTGAATTCAATAACTGCACTGCGGTTATGTAAGAGAATATTCTTAGGAAATATACATTTAAATATTAAAGGTTTAAGAGTATGATGTGTGCAGTCTGATGTATGCAACCTGCTCCTAACTGGTCAGAAAAATAAATGTGTATGTATGCATAATGAAGCATATTGGTAAATGTTAGAGTGTTGAATCTGGGTAAAAAGTACATGTGAGTTTCTGTACTATTCTTCCAGGTTTTCTGTAAGATTGCAGTTATTTCAAAGTAAAAAGTTTTAAAAACGTGGAATTTTTTTCACAGACTTATTTTAAGATAAATTAGAAACAAAGTAAAATCACTGTGCTTTTACTAAGAGTTATGTGCAGGATTATTTTGTGTCCATTAAATTATCTGCTCATATTTCATCTTGCTTATTTTTATAACCCATTCATTGTGAATGTTTGATTTTAGAATATGGGACTAGTTCTGTAGAATAATTTTTCTTTTTAATTTCATTTAAAGGGGAACCTTTACAAATAGACCATTTGGTTTTTGTAGTCCATGGGATTGGACCAGCTTGTGATCTCCGCTTTCGAAGCATTGTACAATGTGGTAGGTTTGCAAAGCATGTAAGATTAGGTCACTTAAGGAGAATATTAGTCAGTGCTCCTGTGAGCTGAAATAAAATGTTGTCTTTAGTCTGTTATTCCAGCTGCATAAAAACATTTGGAGCGCTCAAGACAGGTGGCAAGATAGTAAAGCTTCCCATCTGAGGCATAAAGTACTAGTGAATTCCGTAGGCTAATAGTTTATACTCTTAACTAATAACTCTTGAATGAATAAGCCCTTAATCCTTTAAAATGCTTTTATGATGTGATAATCCTATGCCTAACCATTCCAAATTTAAAGAAACTGTTAAGATGATATAGTTTAAATGAATAACAGAAACCAGTCATTTTTGTAATTTATACTGTGATAAACCTCTTGAAATACTAATTGGACTATTTAGGTCATTAGCATAACTTGATCTTGAAAGGTAGTGTCCTCTAAAACTTGATAGTATTTAAAGTCTAATTGTCCCAATTTGACTTATCCTACTGGCTGATGCTTCTAAGCCTAACCCTTCTTAGAAGGTTAAGATTGCTATAATATGAATTTCAAACAGCTGTGTATTTTTTTAAAATCTAAAATATTGGGTAGTGGTTGTTTGTAAGAACTAGAAAGTTAGAATTGGAATCTGACTGCAAGTTATGTGATATTTTTTTTTTCTTTTTAAAATTGAAACAGTTCCCATGACACATTAGAAATTTTGAAGTTAGGTTTTTCTTTGATGAAATATACTAGTATTGTATAGTAAAAGCAAGTATTAAAGGAACAGCTTTCCTTATATGCATTCATAATTTTTCTGAATACCACTTTGCTACTTTTGACTCAAGTGAATGCATGTTCTAAGCAAATGTAGATAGAGATTATATTTATATGATCTATTGCAAATTCATTGCTTCACTGTTGATGCATAAGTTAATTTTCTTTTCAGTTAATGATTTTCGCAGTGTTTCCTTAAACCTGCTACAAACACATTTTAAGAAAGCCCAAGAAAATCAGCAGATTGGGAGGATAGAATTTCTTCCAGTCAACTGGCACAGTCCTTTGCATTCTACTGGTGTGGATGTGTAAGTAATACCAACCATGATTGTAATGTGTTCTCTGATCATTAAAATGCTTAGGGATATTTCTGCAATAACTGATTGTATATTTAAAATTTTGTTCAATGAAAAGATTTTTGTACTTCTGTCTTTTTTTTTTTAGAGATACATTATTAAATGCTAAATAATCCACTCAGCCGGTATGGCTCCATGGTTGAGTGTCAACCCATGAACCAGGTCACTGTTTAGTTTCTGGTCAGGGCACATGCCTGGGTTGTGGGTTCAATTTCTAGTAGGAGGCGTGCAGGAAGCAGCCAATCCATGATTCTCTTTCATCGTTGATGTTTCTATCTCCCCCTCTCCCTTCTCTCTAAAATCAATTATAGAGATATTTAAAAAATAATAAATGCTAACTAGTACCTTGGTTTAACTAGTCCAAGTTAGGAATAAAGAGCTGTTTGTTTTTTCTTCTAGTATGTTTTACTGGCTCATTAGTATTTACCATTACAGCTTTTCTTATTTCTTTAGCATTAAAGCCAAACATTGCTTTCTCCCTATAGAGGATAAACATTTCCATCTTCGGATGTCAAAAGTCCACCTACCTTAAGATGTATATAGTATTTTGTTGTTTCTTTTTTTTTAAATATATTTTTATTAATTTCAGAGAGGAAGCGAAAGGGAGAAAGAGAGATAGAAACATCACTGATGAGAGAGAATCATTGATCGGCTGCCTCCTGCACACCCCCCACTGGGGACTGAGCCTGCAACCCGGGCATGTGCCCCTGACCAGAATTGAACCCGGACCCTTTGGTCTGCAGGCCGACACTCTGTCCACTGTGCCAAACCAGCTAGGGCTTTTGTTGTTTCTTTTATGACCATATTTAGATAATATTTGTCCCAATTTGGGAAAAAGGGAAATCCCCAAACATTAAATTATTAGCACTTATACCTTGGGATATAATTGGTACAACTCCTTTTATGTGATGGTTTTCTTAAGTTACAAGCCCAATAGTTTTGTTTGTAAATTTTATGGTAATGTCAGAGAAGATTGCCTTATATTAAGGATATTCAGCTATGCGCTCTCCAGAAAGAAGTATGTTCATCATATACTTCTACGATAGAACTAGGAGATGCTTCTTTAGAAGATAAAGAAAGCTGTCAGCATTATTTCCATGCTGGTCTTGGAAATGGCTTCCCTGATTCTGTGTCTCTAAGTTCTTAATGACCTAGGATTTGAGCATATTCCATGTGCCAGATGCTCCACTGTAGTGTTTATTTTAATGGGATGACGTTCACATCATATTTAAGCTGATGCTCAGAGGTGACTAAGGTCATTTAGCCTTCTCTAAACTACAGAAACTGTTGAATCTTTAAGGAATTTCTCTGGGAATTTTGAGAAAGTTAACTGGAAGTTGATTTAGAAAATGTCAGCATGGTTTTCCTTTGTGAGACATGAGTTCTGTTTGCCTTTGGCTTCTTTCAACTTTAAGAAATTCTACATTGAGAGCTGATCTAATTTGTCATTTGGCTTGTGATCAAACAACTTTAATGCTGAGGATTCTGGGGAAACCCTCTTGTATCTTTTGTATTTTTAACATTAAAAAAATGATTTGGAGAGAGAAACATAGATATGAGAGCAAAATATTGTCAGCTGCCTTTTGCATGCCCGCTACTAAGGATTGAGCCAGAAACTCAGGCATGTGCCCTGACTAGTAATAGAACCGGCAGACTTTTGATGCATGGGGTAATGCCCAACCAACTGAGCCATACCAACCAGGGCTCTTTTGTCTTTAAAAAAATCCTTTTTATTACAGAGAATTCTTTACACAAAAGTAGCATATATGATGAATTTTTCTGTACTGATTATGATTACCCATTCCCAATAAGCCTCAACACATTGCCAGTTTGGCCCTATCCCTGTCAACATACCCCTGTCTACTGCCCATCCCTCCATTATATTGTTTTTGAGTCAAATCACAGATATATTATTTCTTCTGTTAGCTTTTTCTGAATACCACTTTGCTACTTTAATGATGTGATAATCCTATGTAAATGCTTCAGTTTGTATGTTTTAAAGGACTTTTAATAAAATACAACCGTAATACTATTCACACCTAAAAATTCTTAATATCAGCAAATATACAGTGTTCAATTTTCCAATTTTATAATAAATCTTATGATTTATATACACACACATATATAATATATACATACACACAAAATCGATGTTTTTCTCTCTCTAATAAAATGCACACATATATACATATATACATACATAGTTTAAGCTAGAATCCATGGGTGCCTTTTAAGTCTCTTTTAATTTCTTTTTTTTTTTTTTTTTTTTATATTTTATTGATTTTTCACAGAGAGGAAGGGAAAGAGATAGAAAGTTAGAAACATCGATGAGAGAGAAACATCGATCAGCTGCCTCCTGCACATCTCCCACTGGGGATGTGCCCGCAACCCAGGTACATGCCCTTGACCGGAATCGAACCCGGGACCTTTCAGTCCGCAGGCCGACGCTCTATCCACTGAGCCAAACCGGTTTCGGCTCTTTTAATTTCTTGATTACTTTTTCATCTGTTATTTTCTTGCAATTTATGTATTGAAGAAACTGAGTTGTTTGTCTCTGAATTTTGTTGATCACATCCCTTTGGCTTCATTAAACCTTTCTCTCTGTCCTCTATTTCCTATAAGTTGATAATTGCCTCTTCTATCTTTAACTATCTAAGTCTAAACTTGGAGGCTAAGCTAGATAACTTAGAGGAAGTTACAGAATGTATTTTGGTTTTCTTTTTTCTTTTAATATATTTTATTAATTTCAGAAATAGGAAGGGAGAGGGAGGGAAACATTAATGATGAGAGAGAATCATTGATCGACTGCTTCCTGCATGCTGCCCTACCTAGATGGAGCCTGCAACCTGGGCATGTGCTTTGACCAGGAATCGAACCCTGATCTCCTGGTTCATGGGTTGACATTCAACCACTGAGCACTCCGGCCAGGTGTATTTTGGTTTTCTGCTTAAAACATCTTTCCTTTTTTTCAGAGATCTACAGCGAATAACCCTGCCCAGCATTAATCGCCTAAGGCACTTCACCAATGACACAATTCTGGATGTCTTCTTCTACAATAGCCCCACCTACTGTCAGACTATTGTGGACACAGTTGCTTCTGAAATGAACCGAATATATATACTTTTTCTGCAGAGAAACCCTGATTTCAAAGGGGGTGTATCCATTGCTGGTCATAGTTTAGGTAACAAATGAATTCTCTGTAACCAGAGAGGACGATCACACTTTTAGGACACCTGTTTTTGAAGAACAATGTCTTTTATCAGTATCAGATGCAGAGGTCTAGAACTGGTCTGTGATGAAGAATTTGGAAAGGGTTGGAAGGGTGGTGGTGGAGTGGAAAGAAGACTCCCTGCTTCATAGATTTTGCTACATGGGTAATTGACTTATTATTTTTTCGTATAAAAGACAACTATTTAGAAATTGTTCCTTCTTTCTTCTATTTTACTTATAGGTTCGCTTATATTGTTTGATATCCTAACAAATCAGAAAGATTCTTTGGGGGATATTGACAGTAAAAAGGTAATTTAGATGTTCAGATAGGTTCTCTTTGCTTAGTAAGAATTTTTTCACTTAGTTTAGTCTCATACCATAACTTCAAATTTACATTTATTTTAATAGACTTGTGATTATCTCTGTCATTCTTTGATGATAGAAGCAAGATAGCAATACACTTCTAGAAATATTTGCCAGTCTAAAATAACTATACATATCTTATTTTCCATTATGAGTATATACTACTGATCTATTATTAGAATTATAAAATTGAGCTGAAATGGAGTTTGCATATGATAAAATGAAGAATGAATTAGATACAGATTGATATAATTTATAGTAATTGTTTGAAAGCAGTGGGAGGACTTAGTGTTTAAACATCTTTTAGTAAAATAAAGTCCTCTGAACACTTATCTCTAGTGCTGAGTTAGTACTTAGCAAAACTGTCTTATATTTTTTCTCTCTTTGATGCAAATGTCCTGTGAGTTCTCCCAGGGCAGGGGCTTTGCCTTAGATTGTTTTATGTCTTAGACTATATCCCTAATAAGAGCTCAGTAAATGTTTTGTTAATGATAGTGAACAATGCTTTGATAATTATTCACTCATTCATTTATTTTAAAACATATTAAGTTTCAGATGAAGTTGCAGAAACTTAAAGATCAGCACCTCTTAATTTATATTTTGTATAAATCACAATTTAAAGTTAAGATACATCTCTGTGGAAATCTTAGCTAGTACATATATTTATTGTAAAATGGTATTAATAAAGGAAAATATAAGGAATGTAGAGAATAATGAGCTTTACAATTTAATTTTTAGGATTCACCAAATATGGATCAAGGAGACACACCGACAATAGAGGAAGATCTGAAGAAACTTCAACTCTCTGAATTCTTTAGTATCTTTGAGAAGGAGAAAATAGATAAAAAAGCTCTGGTAAAAAATAACCTTTTATAACTTCATGCCATACCATTTTTAATATTTTTAATTGTTTCATCATACTGCTTAGTAAGAGCCTGCCCTTTGGAAGCATTTTAGTCATAAATACTTTGTTATCATTAGTAATGTTCTTTAGCATTATTTATGTGTCTTAAAATCATATCAGGTGATCTTTGCTTTGTGGGAGTTTAAAGTTCAGAAAAGTCATATTGATATGCATATAGCAATAGAGCAAAGATTAAAAAACAGCACATCTCAGAAAACATGAGAGCAAGAAGAAATGACCAGTAACTATTCCAACTCTTATTTTCTGTTATACTTTCAAGAGCACTACTATAGATATTTGCTTGTTTAGTTTTTGTTTTTTTTGCCACTTATATTGTGTTTTTACTTTAGTTTTGATATGTTAATTCAGTGGATATTTAGTAAATCTTTACTATATTATACCAAGTACTAAAGATAGAGTGGTGAATAAGACAGAAATGGTCCCTAACCTCATGGTGTTTATAGTTTACGGCTAAAGACACCTATTAAGTAATCGAAAACAAAATTAAATTACAATTGTGATAAGTTCTAAGTAGGAAAAGTACACAGTGGTATAAGAATGCATAGTAGGATGAACTGATCTAGTTTGGGAGGGTGAAGGAAGACTTCCCTAGTCAAGTGAGTAGCACATCAGCTGAGTCTTGACTGTTATTCTGTTTCATGCTCTCTGTTTGCTTTATGTTCTTACTGTTTGTGTCCAGGAGTAGGAATATTTCTCAGGATGTGACAGCCAAGTGAGCATGGAAATCAAGGAGGGTTTTTCTGTCATGAACTTAAATACCTACTTCTGTTGATTTTTAAAAATAATACAGTGTTATCTATATTAATATAGCATTGATACTATAGTATTGATATTTTAAATTCTTCTTTAGGCTCTTTTATGAATAAAATACTATTTCCTTCTCTAAGTTATTAATGATGTACTACTAGGAAGCCCTAGTAATATAAATCAAAGAATAGCAGAGTACTTAAGTCTTATCCTTCTAAGAGAACAGGGCATTTAATTGATTTTATTATACCTAGAAATAAGAAAGATATTTGATTTTCTATCCCTAGGCTTTATGTACAGACAAAGATCTTCAGGAAATTGGAATTCCCTTAGGACCAAGAAAGAAGATATTAAATTACTTTAGGACCAGAGAAAATTCAATGGTATGTGCTTAATATATATAGTTTATAGCAGTAAACAATTTTTTACATCGTATCTTTTTGCTTTGTGAAGTCTAGAGAGCTAAATAATTTTGTTAATTGGTTTTTGGCTCTATTCAAGAAATTAAACACATTTATTGATGCCTTGACAGTATTATTAGCTTAAAAAGTCATATCTCCCCTAGACTCTTGCTACAATTCTCATTTTTCTTTTTTTTGTCTTGTAACCGCGTTATTGAAATATAATTTACATCTCATACCATAAAATTCTTCCTTGAAGAGTTTACAATTTAGCCCTGACTGGGTAGCTCAGATGGTTAGAGCATCGTCTCAATACACCAAGGTTGTGGGTTCAATCCCCCATCAGAGCACATCTTCTAATTAATATATATACATATAAAACAGAGAAATATGCTAATTAACTGGGACGCTGCAACAGGTCACCCGGACAGGAGGTTGCGCGTGCAGCGTCAGGGGCAGGGGCAGGGGCAGGGGCGGCAGAGGCCTGATCAGCAGCAGCTGCAGCTGCTTCAAGGGCCGGAGAGGGAGGCAGGCCTGACGGGAGGGTGGGCGGTGCCGCGCGATTTGGAATCGCCCTGGGCTCCTAGTACTAGTATAAGAATCAGTCAGTGAATGAATGCATAAATAATTGGAACAACAAATTGATGTTTTTCTCTCTCTAATAAATAAAAAATATACAATTCAGTGGTTTTTAATATATTCAGAGCTGTGTTACCATTACCACCGTCTAATTCCATTACCCTCCTCCCCACCAAAAGAAACCTCATACCCCTTAGCAGTCACTCCTATTCCTCCCTGCTGTGGACCACTGATCTGCTTTCTGCCTTTATGGATTTTCTTATTCTGGGCATTTTCCTATAAATGGAATCACACAATATGTGCCTTATTGTAACTGTCTTCTTTCTCTTAGCATAACATACTCAATGTTTGTCCATGTTGTAATACTACTAATACATTCTGTTTGGCCCCTAAATTCCTTTCTGTATTTTAGTAGTTAATTATTTTTCAACTTTTTTAGCAGGTTGCTCAGTTCTTATTTAAGGCCCAGTATTTGCATCATTTTCTATACCCATAGAGACATTCTACTTGCTTTCATCAGAAAGGTATAGCACTTTATTGAACTCCTTAGCAATCCTCAACATTCTTTTCCACAGTGCTCTGCTATTGTTTCCTCTCATGATGGTTGCCTAGATGGCTGTGTACCACTTTCATCATTTTAGAGCAAATAGGGATGTCAATTCATAATTCAAGCCAACTTTTGTTTTTATCAACTTTATTGTGTTTTCATCAGCTTTATCTTGTTTTCTGAGAGACTTGTCTTGGAATTATTGGCTGTCATTTCAGAACTTTCCCACACATTTTTTCAAACCAATAGAAAACTATATAATCCTTTGGATATTTTTTTACTGCATAGTTCCACAAAACTATTTTTATTCTTTAGGGCATTATTACATCAACTCCACAATCAGCTTCAGGGTTGAATATGTCTAATATCCCCAAAGAATCTGAGTTCTGCAGTAGTGCTGATGGTACTGGAAATGACTATCTGGATGTTGGCATTGGGCAGGTAACAATACTAATTCTCTTTGTTCATTTTATCGCCTGCCATTCATATGGTAAGAACAGATGTAACTTGTTATTGAGAAATGCTTTTAGCCCTGGCCAGTGTTTCTAAATGGTTAGAGGGTCTCGGGTTTAATTCCTGGTCAAGGGTATGTACCTGGGTTGCAGGTTTGCTCCCCAACCCAATCCAGTTGGGTGCAGGAGTCAACCAGTTGATGTATCTCTCTCACATCAAATGTTTCTTTCTTTTTCTCTCTTCCCTCTTTGCCCCCGTCCTCCGTTCCACTCTTTCTGAAAAAGCAATGGAAAAATATCCTCAGGTGAAGATTAACAAAAAGGAAAAAAAAATAGAGTAAGAGTGATGCTTTTATTTTCTCCTTCCAGGTATCTGTAAAATACCCTCGACTCATCTATAAACCAGAAATATTCTTTGCTTTTGGATCTCCCATTGGAATGTTTCTTACTGTCCGAGGACTAAAAAGAATTGATCCCAACTACAAATTTCCAACATGCAAAGGTTTCTTCAATATTTATCACCCTGTAAGCATTGGACAGCTCTTGTGGTTTACCTGAATATTAGGTTTTATGGTAAAGACCATATAATTTTCTGTTGTGTTGTTTTACTTTTTATGTACTCTTCTCTAGTAATGAGATAACATAAATAGTATGAGTTCAGAAGTGATATGGCAGAACAACTGTGCATTTAAAAAAAAAATGAGCTTATAATCATTCTTGCCTGATAAACATTAGCAGTTCCTCAGACTATCTTCAGCAAAGGTATAGGTAGCTGTTGTTTTTCCTATGTAGTTTGATCCTGTGGCCTATAGGATTGAACCAATGGTGGTCCCAGGAGTGGAATTTGAGCCAATGCTGATCCCACATCATAAAGGCAGGAAGCGGATGCACTTAGGTAAGACTGAGTATAGAACTTGCTAATTCCAGACCTCTGGTCAGTGCAAACTGACTACCTCATTCACTTTGTTTAGTTGTATTGGGCCCTAAACTCATGGTAAACCATGTAATTTTCTTTATTCATATGTGTTTCAGAACTGAGAGAGGGCTTGACCAGGATGAGTATGGACCTTAAGAACAACTTGCTAGGCTCACTGCGGATGGCCTGGAAGTCTTTCACCAGAACTCCAGACCCTGTCTTACAATCTTCTGAAACCACAGAAGAAACTGAAGCAGAACCTGTGTCAAGTTCAGAGAAGCCTAGTGGTCAGTGACACTGCACATTGATTTCCTACATCAGGCCTGATACGAGGGACTCCATGGTGTATAGTTCTTATTCTCAGAGGGACTTCTTACTTGACCCTGTTTTATTGTATAGGACCCATGCTGTGAGTCATGATGGGCCTTCATCTCTGCTAGCCTTTTCTATCATTTAATACCCACAAATTATGGAAGAACATTATTTGTGAAGAAGAATGTCAAGAGAAGCCAAGCATTGATAATGAGACTTTATTAAAACATCCCCAACTTGGGATCTATGGGGGTAATGTTAAGAGCCTACTCTCTGAAGCACCTTTTTTTTTTTTTTTTTTAATATATTTTATTGATTTTTTACAGAGAGGAAGTGAGAGAGATAGAGAGTTAGAAACATCGATGAGAGAGAAACATCGATCAGCTGCCTCCTGCACATCTCCTACTGGGGATGTGCCCGCAACCCAGGTACATGCCCTTGACCGGAATCGAACCTGGGACCTTTCAGTCCGCAGGCTGACGCTCTATCCACTGAGCCAAACCGGTTTCGGCTGAAGCACCTTTTACAGGGGAATGTCTGTGTATTCATGGGCCAGTTTTGTTTCCCTGGCTGGGGACTAGCTAGGATACTCTCCTCTTAGTTTTACAGTTAACATTGTATTTTTTTATTTAGTTTTCAACTGTCTAAAGAGTTTTATCCCTGTGCTTGCATTTCGTTTATAAACTAAAGGTAAATGAATTAGCTATCAAAGGTGCAAGAAAGAAAACAGGGATTAGATAAATTCAGTGTGATCTGAGAGCCTTTAAAGGAAGATGGGAGAGAGCTTTCTGAAGAGAGAGTAGCTCATCTTACAGTAAACTTGGAGTCCGAGTAGAGGTAAGGAAGCCTGGAGGCTTTAGGATCTTATTATGGTTCTTCCATATCCAGATGTTAACACAGAAGAGACCTCTGAGGCAGTTAAAGAAGAAGTCCCCCCGATCAATGTGGGAATGCTGAATGGAGGCCAACGCATTGACTACGTGCTACAGGAGAAGCCCATTGAGAGTTTCAATGAGTATTTGTTTGCTTTACAAAGCCATCTATGCTACTGGTAAGTGTGGGCATTTTTTGTTTTATTTGTTTTCATGTTTTTGGTCTAATTGTTTCATAGTCTCCAGGGGATCACTGATCTGCTTCTGTCACTATAGATTAGTTTGCACATGACTTTTATATAAATGGAATCATACTATATACTCTTTTTTGTATGGCTTCTTTCATTCACTGTGTTGTGTGTATTGGTAGTTCTCTCCTTTTTATTGCTGAGTAGTATATATCTGTACCACAATTGGTTTAGCCATTCATTCACCTGTTGATGGACACTTGGGTTGTTTCTAGTTTTTGGCTGTTACTGAACTGCTGTGTTCAAGATTTTGTATGAACATATTCTTTAACTTCTCTTGGGTAAATATCTAAGAGTAGAGTGATGGGTAAAATGATTTTTAAAAGAAATTGCCAAACTGATTTTCTGCCAGCATTTTCCATTCTCATTAGCGGTGTTTGAGAATTCCAGTTGCCCCATAGCCTCAACAGCACTTGATATGATTGGTCTCTCAACCTTTCTAAATGGGTTGTTATGGCACCTCATTACAGTTTTAATTTGCATGTTCCTAATGCATAACGACATTGAACGTATTTTCATGTCTTTGCCATCCATACATCTTCACTGGTGAACTATCTATTCAAATCTTTTCCCCATTAAAAGTTGGATTATCTTAGTAAGTTGCAAGAATTCTGTGTTCTAGTTACAAGTCCTTTACAGGTATATTTTTCCCCAGGATGTGGTTTGTTTTCCATTTTATTTTGAAAGCAGAAGTTTTTGATTTTTATGAAATCCAGTTTATTAATGTTCATGTTTCTGGACATTTTTAAGAAATATCTGCCAAATCTAGCCTTTAAGATTTCTTCTGTGTTGTAAAAGTTATATCGGTTTAGCTTTTAAAGTTAGGTCTATGATCCATTTTGACCGAGTTAATTTTTAATATGATGTGAGGTTAGGATTAAGGTTTATTGTTTTGCAATTGTCCTAGCAACAGTTGTTGATAAGTTTATTGAGAACCACTGAATTGCCTTTGCTATATTTTGTCCCATTGATCTATTTATCTATCATTATGCCAGTAAAACAGTCTTGATTACTATAGCTTTGTAAGTCTTAGAAATCAGGTATGTGGGTCCACCAATTTTATTATTTGAAGTTATTTTAGCTATTGAAGGTCCTTTGCATTTCCATAGAGGGGTGTGTGTGTGTGTGTGTGTGTGTGTGTGTGTGTGTGTATATATATATATATATATATATATATATATATTCCTAAATATTTTTATTTATTGTCTAAAGTTTTACATATGTCTCCTTTTCCCCCAATTGATCCCCCCCACCCCCCAGCCATTCCCACCCTGGGCAAGCCCCTACCACCCCAGTGTCTGTGTCCATTGTATGCATGCATATTAGCATAACCAAGTCCTTTGGTTGCTCTCTAACCCTCCCCTCCCCTACCATTTGTCTCTAGATTCATCTATTCTTGTTCATCAAATTATGTTGATCATTATATCCCACATATGAGTGAGATCATCTGATATTTATCTTTCTCTGACTGGCTTATTTCGCTTAGCTTAATGCTCTCCAGTTCCATCCATGTTGTTGCAAATGGTAAAAGTTCCTTCTTATTTTATAGCGGCATAGTGTTCCATTGTGTAGATGTACCAGTTTTTTAATTCACTTATCTGCTGATGGGCACTTAGGCTGTTTCCAACTCTAATAGAACTAGACCTAATAAATGAATTTGGCAATGTAGCAGGATACAAAATTAACACCCAGAAATCTATGGCCTTTTTATACACCAATAATGAACTCACAGAAAGAAATAAAAAAACAATCCCATTTACCATTGCACCAAAAAAATTAAGATACCTAGGAATAAACTTAACTAAGGACGTAAAAGACCTGTACTTGGAAAACTTCATGACATTGAAAAAAGAGATAGAGGAAGACATAAACAAATGGAAGAACATACCATGTTCATGGATTGGTAGAATCTACATCATTAAAATGTCTATACTACCCAAAGCAATCTACAGATTGAATGCAATACCTATTAAAATACCAATGGCGTATTTCAAAGATCTGGAACAAACGCTCCAAAATTCATCTGGAATAAAAAAAGACACTGAATAGCCACAGCAATCCTGAGAAAGAAGAATAAAGTTGGAGGGATCACAATACCAGATATCAAGCTATATTACCAAGCCACAGTTCTCAAAATTGCCTGGTACTGGCACAAGAACAGACATATAGACCAATGGAACAGAACAGAGAACCCAGAAATCGACCCAAGCCATTATGCTCAATTTTATTTGGCAAAGGAGGCAAGAGCATACAGTGGAGTCAAAACAGTTTCTTTAATAAATGGTGCTGGGAAATTTGGACAGATATATGCAAAAAAATGAAACTAGATCTCCAACTTATACCATACATAAAAACAAACTCAAAATGGCTAAAGGACTTGAATGTAAGATGGGAAACCATAAAAATCCTATAAGACTCCATAGGCAGCAAAATAGCAGACATGTCATAGCAATATCTTTACAGACACAGCTCCTAGGGCAAACAGGGGTGAACAGTTTGCTGGCTGGTATGGCTCAGTACTGAGTGTTGTTGACATATGAACTAGGACAGTGGTTGGCAAACTGCAGCTCGGCAAACCGCAGCTTGCGAGCCACATGCGGCTCTTTGGCCCCTTAAGCGTGACTCTTCCACAAAATACCGGCTCTTCCACAAAATACCGACTTCTACGCATGGGCCACGAAGTTTCAACTGCACTGTACGTGCGCGCCCGAACGTGGTATTTTGTGGAAGACCAACACTCAAGGGGCCAAAGAGCCGCATGTGGCTCGTGACCCGTGGTTTGCTGACCACGGAACTAGGAGATCACGGTTTGATTCCTGGTCAGGGCACATGCCTGGGTGGTGGGCTCGATCCCTGGTGGTGGATATGCAGGAGACAGCCAATTGATGATTCTCTCTCATCATTGATATTTCTATCTCTCCCTCTCCCCTTCCTCTCTGAAATCAATAAAAAATATATTTCTTAAAAAGGGAATAGTTCTTGGTTATTTACTGCTAGTTTTTTTATATTACTGGACATACCGGTAATGCTAGACTTCCAAACCACTGCCAATTACATAACCTTTGAGTCTGACTTTTTGCAGTAGTAAAAAGATGAATCTGCAAGGTGTTGCATAGATTGAGTTAATATATGTAAAGCATCTAGTTGCCGAAACCGGTTTGGCTCAGTGGATAGAGCGTCGGCCTGCGGACTGAAGGGTCCCGGGTTCGATTCCGGTCAAGGGCATGTACCTGGGTTGCGGGCACATCCCCAGTGGGAGATGTGCAGGAGGCAGCTGATCGATGTTTCTAACTCTGTATCTCTTTCCCTTCCTCTCTGTAAAAAATCAATAAAATATATTTAAAAAAATATATATGTAAAGCATCTAGTATAAATGTTAGTTCCTTCTTTTTTTTTTTGGTATACTTTATTTTTTAAGTTCCTTCTTTTTACAACATAATTTTTTCTCCTTACAGGGAGTCTGAAGATACAGTATTGCTGGTCCTCAAAGAAATCTATCAAACCCAGGGTATCTTCCTTGATCAGCCTTTACAATAAAAATGAATCTTCTATGGCTATCTAATGTAAGTTTTTAAATGTCATGTATATAGCATAGTTCCTACATATTAACATGTTATAAAGAACTAAGGAGTTGGGCTCTTTATAAATATACTTTTCTGTTGCCTGTCACTAAACTCTAATTTTTCTATGAAATGTTTTAGTTATTATTCATTTTTAAAGGGACTCTGATTAACATTCATGGGGAAAAGGTATATAGTGCTGTGATTAGTGTGTATGTGAGCGTGCATGTGTGCACACGGGCTTTGCTAGTGATTTGGCCCAATAATATTTGTCATTTTTAGGATCCAAACTCAGAATCTTAATAGTTCTGATCATCTAAGAATTACCATGGCAACAGTTATAATTTTAATTACAAACAGCCCATCCTGAGATTTACTCGGTCTTTTAGATGTGTATTATATCTAACTAGAGGCCAGGTGCACAAATTCTTGCACGGTGGGGTCCCTTGGCCTGGCTGCCTATTGGGGGGCTGGCTGGCTGGGGGGAAGGGACTGTGGGAGGTTGGCTGGCCAGGGGGAGGGGTCGCAGGAGGTTGGCTGTGGGAGTGCACTGACCACCAGGGGGCAGCTCCTGCGTTGAGCGTCTGTCCCCTGGTAGTTGGTGCGTATCATAGCTACTGGTCAACTGGTCATTTCGGTTGTTGGGTTGTAACGGTCACTTAGGCATATATATATATAGTATTTATTAGGTTCTGGCATTCTCCCTTGGTGCCTTCCAGTTGTGCCTGCATGGTGACTTCTTTTCCCCTTTCTCCCTAGATGGACATGGAGGGGTCCTTCAACAGAAAATCCACCTGTTTGTTGCTGCAGTTTTCCTCTCAGCTGCGTCATTTCTTGCATGTTGCCTGTCACTCACCGTTGGGGGCTTTGGAAGATTATCTTCCATTTTGGAAGTGAGTGGAAAAGCAAAGGAAAGACACCCTATTATTTTTTACCACTGGCTTCATATAAATACTTGCCATTCTTTCTTTATAGCTGGGGGTGGTTTGCGTCCTTAATTCTTTGATGACATTATATAGGTACCAGACTTTATTGCCTATCACTTGAGATGGTAGTAAATCTGCTTTGAGTTTGATTTGTTTTGGGTTGGTAAGATTTTTCCTAGGAAATGTTTTAGTTTGGAAGCACACTGTTGAGAGTCAGCAGGTAATTGGGGCACATTCTTCTCTCACTAGTGTTCTCTGCATTGAAGGCTACGTCTAAATGGATATGGAAAAGACTGTTGGGCAGTCAAATTCTGTTGAGCTATCTTTTCTTTTCTATGAATTCTGCATGAAGAAAGACTAAAATGTAACTTGAAGAAATTATTACTTACTCTCTACAATTGAGTGACAGGTTTATTGTTAGGAATCACTGATGCTATGCTGTTCATTGTTTTTCCAGCTGTTTGGATTCCTCTGAGAGTCTAAAGTGGACAGTTTAGTTCACATTTGGTACACCTTTATAAAGCAAAGATGCTGTATATCTCGATGAAGTCTGATTTATTATTTGGTAGTAGCTTCTGTTCTTAAGTTGAGGGTAAAGCTATAAAGGCTGACAAACCTGAAATTATACAGCCTTGAATAAGTAAAATCTTACTCTTGCATTTATGGTGAAATACAATTTGTGTCAGTCACCTGCCATGTTAACTTGAACGGAGGTAGTATTGTGTGTCCTCTTTAAAAACACCTTGTGAGCATCATTGCCTACTTAGGGACCCATACAGCAGAGCGCTTATTTAAAAGGCTCACGGCACAGGCAGTATTGGTTGAGCAGGTAGGTTTGGCTATGCAGTAGTCAAGGAACAGCTACTCCAGAGTCAGTGTCAGAACATGCAAAGTGAGATGTATCTTGAAGAAAATGGGTGAATGTGACTGATTTTTTTCCAAGGCATCTACTCACCACTGTCTTTCTCATTGGTCAGTTTGTCATTGTCTTTGCAGTGTTCTTTGTGATACACTCCTCTCAGATTTCCACAGGCCATTGAGTGGCATGCCAGGCAAGCTGTTTTTTGTTTGTTTTTAATAAAGGTAGCAAGGTATTGTGAAAGCACTGGCATTTAACATTCACTTAAGCCATCCCTTGGAAAGTAGTGTTTATCCCTTTCTGAAGAAAAAAGGAAGGGGAAAATTAATTACTGTCATCTAGAGATGGTAGAGGTGAGGTTGGGGTATAGGTCAGAGCCTGGCCTTTCTTTGCCCATCTGCTTTATAGACTAATGATGACTAACCCACTAAGTAGTTTCAGATAATATTGAATACTTTATTTCCTTTGTATGTAAATTCTGAGTTTGAAATAAGGGTTGAGAATTAAGTAGCATTCAATATATATTAGAGGGGAAGCTTTTGCCCTTCATATCAGCAGAATTGGTACTATTTAGAAGTAAACCAAAGGACAAGCAAGAGTGAGTATAACCAAAGATGAACGGCATAACCCTGGATAGCTGGATAAACCACTGCTTGTTATAAGAAATGTTTCTATCCTGCTGGTATGGGGCAGTAACTGTGAAAGAGCTTTATATGTTGTCTATCCACCTATGGTGTTATCATGATTATATATTATAGAGGGTAATAAGCTTGATTTTTTCCTCTGGAAACAAATATTTATTTATGTAGTTGTACAGCTTTATAAAGAAAAGTAATGAAGGCAAATAACTTAGAGCTAGAAATTCTTAAGTATTTTTAGAATCTACCAATTTCAACATCTGCAGAATAAGGCAAGCTTGAGTGGATAGCAAAATTGTCTCTTAGTTTCCGTCTGTCCTTAGTAGTTGAATCAATGGATATCCTTAATGAAGTTATACTGTCAGTAAAGGTTAATTGTTTCACAATTAACCAGTCATCTCTGTACTAGTCATAACAGTGAAACATTAAAAAATGATGACCAAATGGATGTCAAATATACTCTTAAATAACACCTAACATAGCAAGTTTCACTTGATTCAGAGAACTGCTGGGTAGGTGAACACGTGGAGGTGCAGTGCAGGGAGTGGTGCGCCAGGAGAGGGCATGGAAGTTCCCCATCCCTTCCCACCCTGGCCTTGTGCATTGTCTCCATCTGGCTGCTTTTGCATTCAGCTGTCAACGTAAGAACATCCAGACCTGCCTCTCTCCGTCCTTGCATGTCCACTGCCTTAATCATAAGCCCTAAAGACGATTAGTTTTGGTCAGCAGCAGCCTTAAGTACGAAGCCTCGGGTCTTATTAACATGACCATTTTTCTTCTTTGTATTTTTTGCAACTTCCCCAAATCTCCAGAAAGATCAGATATGCTTATTTCTTGTTCAGTTAACAGCCAGATGAAGAGATTTCATAGGGCCAGGTCTTGAACAAAGTTTCTGTTGTCTTAGAACTTGGGGGCCCTTGCATGCTGGCCCATGAAAGGATTCCGATTCCTCAACTTGGCAACCCCAATAAGCTTGATTTAAGTCCTTTATTCAGTTGTATATCTTGTTAATCATTTTTTTAATTAGTTGACATACAATAGTTTCAGGTGTACAACCCAGTGGTTAGACATTCTGTAGTTTACTAGGTGACCATCCTGATAAATCTCGTATCCATAGGACACCATACATAGCTACCAGACTGTTATTGACTATATGCCCTATGCTGTACTTTATATCCCATGACTGTTCTGTAACTACCAATTTATACTTGTTAATCCCTTCAACCCCCCTCCCATCTGGCAACCATTAAAATGTTCTCTGTATTTATGAGTCTGTTTCTGTTCTGCTTGTCCGTTTGTTTTTTTAGATTCAAGTGTTGATAGGTTAAGTATTACTGCCATTTTATTATTCAATTTTGGTCTTTTTTCCCCCCTTCTTCCCCTTCCCCCAGAAGACCCTTTACCATTTCATGTAATACTAGTTTGGTGGTGACTAACTTCTTTAGCTTTTTCTTGCCTGGAGAGTGCTTCTTTATATGATCATCACTTTGAATATTTCTTGCCAATCCCATCAGGCTTGCAAAGTTTCTGTTGAGAAATCAGCCGACAGTTTTATGGGAGCTCCCTTGTAGGTAACTATTTTTCTCTTGCTGCTTTTAAGATTGTTTTTAACTTTTTGCTTTTTAATTATGATGTGCTTGGTGTGGGTCTTTTGGGGTCCATCTTGTTTGGAACTCTCTGAACTTCCTGGATTTGTGTGTCTATTTCCTTTACCAGGTTAGGGGTTTTCTGTCATTTTTTTCAAACAGATTTTCAATTTCTTGCTCTCTCTTCTCCTCTGGCCACCCAATGATGCGACTGTTGGTATGCTTGAAGTTGTCCCAGAGCTCCTTACACTGTTCTCATTTTTTTGGATTATTATTTTGCTGTTCTGATCGGGTGTTTTTTGCTTCCTTATAGTCCAAATTGCTGATTTGATTCTTAGCTTTTTCTACTCTATTGTTGATTCCTTGTAAATTATTCTTCATTTCAGTTAGTATATCCTTCATTTCTGACTGGTTCTTTTTTTATGGTTTCCATGTCGTTTTTCATGCTGCTGAAGTTCTAAGTTAGTTGAGCATCCTTATAATCAGTGTTTTGAACTCTGCATCTAGATTTCTTGTTTCCATTTTGTTTAGTTCTTTTTCTGGAGTTTTGTTCTTCATTTGGGACATTTCTTTGTCTCCTCATTTTGATAGTTTCCCTGTGTTTGTTTCTGTGTATTAAGTAGAGCTGCTACATCTCTCAGGCTTTGTAGAGTGACCTAATGCAGTGGGTTTCCTATGGTGTCCAGTGGCATAGCCTCCTCGATCACTCAAGCCGGGCACTCCAGGTGCATCCCATGTGTGGGCTGCATACCTCCTGTAGTTGAGCCTTGATTATTGTTGGCACCTCAATGGGAGGGATTTTAGTTGTGTATTATTTGCACTATTTCTGTTGTGTCATGTGCAATCTCTTGACCAAGCCTATTTTAAAACTCTGGTAGAGTACCATTTTATACATAGTCTCAACTCCAGAATTGGTATTGTTTGCATGGAAAGATTAATAGCACTGATTAGCTTTGTAATATTTTGCACTTTTTGAAATGTCTGGTTTTTTTACATGATTATATTTAAAACTCGAGTAAATACTGAAATAAAACCATATTGACCCGTTGCCTACCGTTACCTGGTTCATTCACCATAAAGAAATTCTGTATAATAACCATTTTCTCTTCCCCTGTGGATTGCTAAACACATTTAAAAAATAAAACTTTTGAGCAAAAAGCTAATATTTAAGTTCTTTTCCCTTGCCTGGTGTTTTCATTGTCATAGGCAGATATAGTTGAGAGTTTATAGCATGGCGGTTTAAAGGCAAATACTGAGACTGTCCTTTGAAGTTTACAGAAATCAGCTACTACTGTAGTATAATCACTTATGTCAGAAGGGGAAACCAGTGCTTTACTCTGAAAATGTTCCAGCTCTCAAACGCTACACACACATTCACCATTTTATCTGAGTATCGCATTTACTAAAGGGAAAAGATACACTGAAAATATGTTATAGAAATTAATGTATAAGACAAGGTCATATCTAATATAATAAAAGAGAAACATGCAAAGTGACCGTACCTCTGCTACGCCCAACAGCCAATCAGAGCAATTATATGCAAATTAACCCAGCCAAGATGATAGCCGCAGCCACGGAGCTAGAGCAAGCAGGAGGGTTGGTTGCCCCAGCAATGGAGGAAGCCAAGCTTCCTGCCTGCCCTGACTGGCTGTGGCCTCTGCTCAAGGCAACAAAGTTTTAATTATAGAAGATAAATAAATCCCAGATACCTGCTTCCAGCCAGCCTCCACTGGGAGCTTAGGTGGCTGGGGGCCGTGGCCAGCCTGCAAACAGCCATCAGCCCCTCACCCAGGATGGCCACACCCTCATGGGGTAAGGGTCCCCCCTGGGGGGCTTGGCCAGCCTGCAAATAGCCATCAGCCCCTCACCCAGGCTGGCCAGGCACCCCATTGGGGACCCCCACCCTGATCCGGGACACCCTTCAGGGCAAACCAGCCGGCCCCACCCATGAACCAGGCCTCTATCCTATATAATAAAAGGGTAATATGCAAATTGACCCTAACAGCAGAACAATTGGGAATGACTGGTCACTATGATACACACTGACCACCAGGGGGCAGACGCTCAATGTAGGAGCTGCCCCCTGGTGGTCAGTGCATTCCCACAGGGGGAGCTTTGCTCAGCCACAAGCCAGGTTGATGGCTGCCAGTACAGCGGTGGTGCTGGGAGCCTCTCCCACCTCAGCAGCACTAAGGATGTCCAACTGCAGCTTAGGCCTGCTCCCCACTGGCAAGTGGACATCCCCCGAGGGCTGTTGGGCTGCCAGAGGGATGTCTGACTGCCAGCTTAGGCCCAATCCCCCTGGGGAGCAGGCCTAAGCCAGCAGGTGGATGGACATCCCCTGAGGAGTCCCAGACTTGAGAGGGCACGGCCTGGCTGAGGGACCCCCTTCCCGAGTGCACAAATTTTTGTGCACCAGGCCTCTAGTTTAACATATAACCTCAATAGAGAAAGTTAGTTGTAGGTACGAGAGCATCCATTCTAATGATATCCTGTAATTGTTCCTTTTAGTTCATTATGAAGAGGGACAGAAAAAGATTTGTCCTTCAGATAATGATCTCTGTTATTTTTCTTTCTTGCCTTAGCCATTTGGCAAAGTTGATGCATTTGGGAGGATCTTCGGTCATGAAGGGAGAGAAAGAAGCTCATGAACACAGTTAAGGACAAATGAGGTAGAAACAGTCATCAGTTATTAGCACTGAAACCACACTCCTAACCATTTTCTTTTTTATTGTGTTTACTTAGTAATTTGACAAATCACTTATGTCCACAGTATTAAAAATAGACAGCACTATCTAGCTGGACTTGGATAAGATATGCAAAGCAGTGGTAAACCAGCCAGAAACGGATACTTCCCTAGTTAAGGCTTAATGGAACTGTCACCAGAGAAAGTAAACAGAACTAAAATAATCTAGTTGGTCATGCCCTAAATTTTAAGATTTTGAGGTATAGGAAATGAAGTTTTGAGAATTGACTCTAGCTTTTAGGATAAAGTAGGGCTATGTAAAGGCTTCCTTGTGACAAGATCCTTCTAAGGGAGGCATTTATGCCCTAGCCAGTTTGGCTCAGTAGATAGTCAGCCTATGGACTGAAGGATCTCGGGTTCGATTCCAGTCAAGGGCATGTACCTCAGTTGGACACTCAATCCTCAGGGTTGGAGTATGTGAGGGAGGCAACCAATCTATGTTTCTCTCCCTCTGTCTCTCCCCCTCCCTCCCACTCTCTCACAAAATCAATGGAAAAAAATATCCTTGGGTGAGGATTAACAACAACAAAGGCATTATATGTAGAAACACCTCTGTAGACCTTGGGATACCAATCTTATGAACCAGATTCGTACGCTGTTGGAGTATTATTGAAGGATCTCTTATGAGAATGCATGGCATACAATAGTGAAAAGGAACCTCCTCATGATGAATTCATGTGAGCAGGGGAAAAACTGCATAATCATATGGAACAGAATGAAATGCTGATGTCCTCACTTGTATCTTTTAACAGGTGAAAAGGTAGGAAATTCTTGTCTTCCCATGGTCCAGAGAGGAGGGGCCGATTCACCTATTCTTCTCCATTGAGGTAGCTCCAGTTTCTAAATATCAAGATGATAAGGATCCATAGAATTCTTTTGTGCAGTGGGTAGTACAAGTGTGTTGTGAAATGGTTTATGGCATTCTGCATCAGTCAGAGGAGGGTAATACTGCCGGTAGCAGACATAGGCAAATGTCAGGCCAATCACGGATCCAGTTAGAACATCTGAAGAGAGAGGAGATGAAGTCTTCTCTTAATCATATTAGACTAGCGGTTCTCAACCTGTGGGTCGCGACCCCTTTGGGGGATTGAATGCCCCTTTCACAGGGGTCGCCTAAGACCATCGGAAAACACATATTGTTTTTGTGATTAATCACTATGCTTTAATTATGTTCAATTTGTAACAATGAAAATACATCCTGCATATCAGATATTTACATTATGATTCATAACGGTAGCAAAATTACAGTTATGAAGTAGCAATAATTTTATGGTTGGGGGGTCACCACAACATGAGGAACTGTATTAAAGGGTCATGGCATTAGGAAGGTTGAGAACCACTGTATTAGACTCTTCAATCATGTCAGACAGCACACAGTATAGAGAACTTGGCCCTCTAGGTTATTCTCATTGTTTGGGTTGCAAAAACCCAGGTTTAGGGCCTTCTCAGTTTGACCATAAAGTTTATAGGATTATCAGATTGCTCTCTAAGCACCAAAGCAAAACACATTTTTAGTTAAGTATAAGAAGCCTTTTTCAAGTACATTAGATTAACAAAGGTTCACTTCATGCTATTAACAATTTTCCTTGTTTTCACCACTTAAAGCATTCTAGAGGAAGGAATAAACTCTTCAGGAGTCGTCTCTCTTTTAAAAAAATTAGTTTACGTTGAATGAATTTTAGTTTCATTTCTGAACAAGATCTCAGACAACTTGATTTTTATTTTAAGACAGTAAATAAATTTGAGCTTTGAGGTTTGTTGTAAAACATTTCTTATACAGTGGGGCCTTGACTTACGAGTGTCCCGACTAACGAGGTTTTCGAGATATGAGCCGTCTCTCGGCCGATTTTTTGCTTTGAGTTGCGAGCTAAAATTCGCATTATGAGCCAGCTTCAGATACCCCACCACTAGTTGGCGCAGCGAACGTCACAGTGAACGCCACATCAGCCCAGCATCACGTGTCTCACTCGTTCACAATTGACTTGACATATGAGTAATTTGAGTTACGAGCTCCATCACGGAACGAATTAAACTCATAAGTCAAGGCCCCACTGTAGTTTATTCTAAATTTATGATGCTCAAAATAATGGAAAAATTAGGACATTAATTCTTGGTTATCTCTTTAAAAGGTCCAGTCTCCTTTCTCATCTTTCATATAGTTATAAATGCATTCTCTTAGGATAGGCCCCAGACCATCTCATACTCACTGGTTTATTCATTCAACAGACTCTTAATGAGCATCTCCTCTGTGCCAGGTGCTGGAGATAAAATGATGAGTGATAGATACATGGAAGCTTCCATGGCATTAAGACCTTGCTTACCTTGCCAGTGATGCTTGTAGTCACAGGTGCGGGACAGTGCAATCACAGTTGCTAGAAGAAGAGGTGACAGAAAGGCACAGAACCTCCAAGATTTTCCACGGCCTTGTGGTGTGAAGCAGTGTAACTTCCCTGCCAGGTAGAAGGAAGCAAAGGCCAGCCCAGCAAATGCAACTAGAAGAGAGAAGACCTGTAAGTGTACGATTTAAAGGAAGCTACTCACTAATCTGCAAGTAGGAGGCCAGGGGACACGAACATATTTTATCCCTTTTTTTTGTATATTTCTGGAGTAGAACACTGATTATGAGGGAGAGGGAAACTAAAGGAAAAATTAAACACTTTATTTTGTGATGCAAAATTAATTATTTATCCTAATAGTTTTTGGAGTACTGGGTGTATGACTTTGGGCAGGTTACTTTACTTCTCGATGCCTTAGTTTTCTCATGTATAAATGGGAATCGTAAAAATAATAGTACCCACTTCATTGGGCTAGTAGAGTGTCAAATGAGGTAGAATCTAAAATGCTTTCCACTAGCTGGTGTGGCTCAGTGATTGAGAGTCAACCTATGAATCAGGAGGTCACGGTTCGATTCCTGGTTTGGGCACATGCCCGGGTTGTGGGCTCAATCTCCATTTTGGGGTGTGCAGGAGGCAGCCACTTGATGTTTCTCTCTCATCACTGATGTTTCTCTCTCTCTTTCCCTTCCTCTCTGAAATCAATAAAAACATATTTTAAAAAATATAATGCTTTTCAAAACACCTGACACACAGTGTCAAAGGTTAGTTAATATTTCTATGACTAGTCCCAGGTGGTAAGATCTAACAAATAATACAATAGTAATAGTAATAAAATGTTCACATCTCATGAAGGTAAACTACCTCCCCTATTTTTGAATATTTACCCTAATATTTGAGGCTCAGGCTTGTGAAATCTTGGGGTTCTTAAAAGATACAAGAACAAGAGTAGTACGATGTTTCCATCCTCACAAGCTTCCTACGGTAAATGCAATGATCCCCCAAACCACAGAAGTAGAGTCCGCAGGGTAGGCATACAGGAAGCATGTCCACTAGGGAAGCTCTTACGGCCCTCATTCACCACATCCTCATCTCCTGTGCACGTCAGGTCAGAATGGGCTTGCCCATCAGGGAAGCAGCGGTAGAAGAAGTCCGGGCGTGGTCTGGAAGAAATGAGCAGATGCCATTTCTAGTCACAACTCCAGAAATTATATTTTAGTGTATCAGACACCCATAATCCTGTTAACTGTTGGTTAAATAGTGTCCCAGGCAAAATCGTGCGATTGGGACCGAAAAGAGCCCAGTGTCATCCGCAGGACTGAGGGGCAGGGAAGGGAGCAAGAACAGGCTGAGAGCAAAGAAGAGAAGGATGAGGGGAAAGATGTGTGCCGAGTGCCATCAACCATCTCTCCTGCCGCGGGAAGGCCGAGGCAGGCACTGGTGGCTCCCTCTTGTCACTTACCTCCCCACTATCAGCTTTACTGTGTTGGTAAAAACACCATTCAGAACCAGGGCAAGGCTGGCAGCTGGAAGACAAAGAAACCCATCGTTAGTGGCATCCACTTCGAAGGAACTGCATGGTCACTGCCTCAGTGACAACAGACATGGCCTTTCTGAGTTAGAGGAATGGTCGGGCTCAGGCTGACTACACAGTGGGGAATGCCAGCTGCGCTCCAAAGGGTCTCGGTTCAACATACCCTGGTTGTTGCAGGTTCAATCCCTGGCCTCTGTTGGGACGTGTGCTGGAGGCAACCAATCGATGTGTCTCTGTCACATCAATGTTTCTAGCTCTCCCCTTCCCTTCGACTCTCTCTGAAAATCAATGGAAAAAATATCCTCAGGTGAGGATTAACAACAACAACATGATTCTGGCCCTCAGTTGGCTGCTCAGGGTGGCACAGGAGAACTTCTGTGCAGGCTGAAGGCATTTCTGAGGCACACATCACCCAGGGCATGCAGGCACACCTGTGAGGCTGAAAGTTCTTACAGTGCTATTTCTCTGTCTCCCAGGGTAACAAGTGGGGTCCAGGGCAGATACAAGTACTTCAGGAATGTAGAACTCGGTGGCTTCCACACACTGAGGCCACACCCTGCCTTCCCAGTCCAGCACTAAGGCAAGACACCAGCTAGAAAGGGTTAGCTCTCACCCAGGCAGGCTTGTTTGCTGTCCGTTGTGTCCGCCTTCTTGAGACATTTGGCCAGGAGGATCAGAGACAGTGGAGAGAGAAATGCAATGACCTGAACCAGAAATGCCAAAGGTTAACAATCAAACAAAACCACAAAACCAGTTGGTGAAGGAGCTCCCACACGCAGTGGTTCTCAACCTTCCTAATGCCGCGACCCTTTAATACAGTTCCTCATGTTGTGGTGACCCCCAACCATAAAATTTTCGTTGCTACTTCATAACTGTAATTTTGCTACCGTTATGAATCGTAATGTAAATATCTGATATGCAGGATGTATTTAGGCGACCCCTGTGAAAGGGTCGTTCAACCCCCAAAGGGGTCGCGACCCACAGGTTGAGAACCGCTGTCCCACAGGAAGAGGGATGGAAGTGACAGAACTCATGTCAGACCCAACCGCTTCCCAGGAAGACAAACTCAGGTTCAGCCTCTCTAATGGCCCGACACCCTCGGGCACTGCGCTCACAGACCTTGGCTCCCAACGCACTGGCGAGGGCGCCCTAAACCTGACTCAAACATTAGGAAGCAACATCTTCGCACGTTATCAAAGCGAGTAGTAAGCTCCCCACAAAGCCCATTTTGGAGCCAGAATGACCGCTTTGGCTTCCCAGCTTTAAAGCCCAGTTTGCAGTCCCCAGGGGCAGGAGGAAGGGCTCGTTCTCCACGCACAAACATCGACTTGGTAGGGAAATACTCTGCTTCCACATACGGATTCCGGTACAGCCACATCTCCTCGGGCTGGATAAGCCTCTGGAAGGGAGGGAGCAGCTCTGTTACCCTGAAGGGAAACAAAAAAGTGCGGAGCACGTTGGTCTGCTTCCCTCCGGCTCCCCGCGACCTCGACCTCGGAAGAGCCTGCAGCGCTGCGGGGCCCCTCCCACCCGGTCCATGCAAGAGGGTGTCGCGCCCTGGAGTCCGATCCGTAAGCCGCTTACAGGAAGGCCGTGAACAGTGCGATCCGCACGCCCAGTTCGGCCCCGAGGGCCGCCGCTGTCTTCCTCATCCCAGCCATGCCGCCGCTCAGCCCGGACGCGCGCTGACGTGGCAGCCGCTGCGGCGAGGACGCGAGGCCGTCCCGGAGGCTGGGTCTCAGCGGCTGTCAGCGCCCCCTGGCGGGCACTCGGGGAACTGCACGCAGGGGAGGCGCTCAGCCTCCTTAGCCGGGCTCACAGGCAGTCAGCCGTCCAGGAAGGAGCGGCAGCTTGGCGTGTTCTCAGATCACCTAGCAAAAGGGACGGAAAGCAAGCAGTGCTGCTCTCCGGTGCATTCGGCAAGGAGCTAGTTCCCAGTGTCCTGCCACGCAGGCTACCTTCCCGTCTGATAAACCAATGGGATGAAAGTGGTTTCAGCTTCCCAGTCATGTCCTTCGCCAACTGGCCAGTGCCTGGATATTCTCAGAGGATACCAAAGCACGTAGCACCATTCTCCAAGGACCTTTCCTCCACTAACACAAAACCTCTGCATTTCCGGGTCCCAGTTTATTAGCAGCGTTGCATTTTGAAGGAAGGTGTACTTACCTCGCACCCAGGACTTGCTGTGCTGCAGGCCTTGCTGACTGAGAGTTGGCACACTGTGTAGGGCGGCACTGCAGCCAGTCCCCTCCCCCCCAGGAAGGCCTCTGGCCCAGTGACTTATAGCAAGAAACCACAGGCAGTGAACAAGTCCACATATTTAATTTGGAACATACAGGACAATTTATTGAAGTCAATCTCAAGCAAAATCTGAAATCAGTGGAATGTCATTAAAAACCTTTCCAAATTAATCCTCATGGAAGCAAAAAACCCCCAACAAAACAAGCCACATTTGAATTCCAAAGTATTTATAAAATAAAAAAGGCAACATCTCAGTAAATATAATATACAAAAATTGTATATTCCTACCAGCACAGATAGCAGTAAGCAGCTTAAATATTACAGGCAATCCTAAATACACGGTAACGAGTCAACAATAAGCTATCTATATACAGGTTAACCAAGCTTTTCACACTCCACACTATGCAATAAAACATAGGCCAATCAACAAAATCCCCAAAATATATATCTTGAAGTCTGTGTGGCAACATCAAGTCGATATACAGTAATGCCCTAGTGGAACACCCCCAGGAAAAATGGTCACTAATCCTTTAGTGTCGAGCTTCTAGCCAAGTCACAGAAACTCAAAAGAGATTGACTTTAGTGAATATTGGTGCTTTGTTATTAAAGACTCAAGTCTCAAGTGATTTAGGTAAAATAACATTTCACAGGATCTACAAAGTTTATTACAGATAAAGTACAGAAATAACCAATCTACAAAGGTTGTTATCATAGATAAAGATCACAAGGAAATGAAAACAGAATCTGTAGGTATCTGTGTTTGTGCAATATCACAAGTGAGTAAAAATGAATTTCTCATATCAATTCAAATTTGCACACACCCTTGTATATAAAAAGAATCTTATTATTAGCCAGTTGTAATCATCATTTAGCAACTTGGTTGTCTGTGGCAATAATAATTTTCTTTTTTAACATAGGGTATGTGACAGCATAAATGAAATAAAGGGAGAGATATAAACAAATTTTATCCAGTCCACTTCCAAACTGACAAGAATACCTATCAATACCTAATCCAGATAATCTGCATTCACGCATATCAGAAGTCTGGTGGGCAGGGAAGGGAGTACTGAACCTGAGGGTGCTTCTTACCAATATGCAGATACAGTAACGTCACATAAGAAAACTAAGGACTGAATAAATGACTTTGGCAACTACTCATCTTTTCCCTTTTATTACATGTTAATGACTTTCAGAGGCTACCAAAAAACAGGTAACTCTCTCTCTCCTCCCCCTTCATACGTATGTGCCACAGCACCTAACTGGTCACTTAAGCAATGGACTGACAAAAAAAAGAATGGAAATGGTTTTTAAACACACAGGTTACACCCAGCATTTCAAGAGTGTAACATAAGTGCAAATTCCCCCCACCCCCTTCCCAGGCAGGCATACATGAGAAAGAAAGAAGAGGTGCTTAGGTTGACAAAAGGATAAAGAACATACATAGGAAATATTCATCAAAATGCTGCTGGTGTCCCATGCAGGAGTCTCTCCCTCAGATGTGTACATTAGATCTGAGAAACCTACTGTGAACACACTCTCCCACTTGCAGAACTTCACCTTTAATCCGAGTGAAAGAGGAGAAGAGACTAGGCTATTTTCAAAACAGTATATAAAACAATGTTTTCTACTTCATAAATTTTAAAATAACTGTTAACATAAGGAGAATCTGAAGAATTTCAAGTACTTAAAAAACCTGAATTCATGAGGCAGAGGTCTCAAAGTTAAAGTGACTACTTCGCACCTGTGGTAAACATCATCGCCCCCCTCCCTTATCCTACTCTCCCACCCCCTTTTCTCCCTGTGCCCCACCCCAGGTAAAAGTTGGTAGACTTCAGTATATACAAATTTCCAACTTTTCAATATTTGTCAATACATGACAAAGCTGACTAATTATATCTATGCCCTCGCTAATCTGAAAATGGGAGAAAGTTCTCTTCTTTGTTGACAAATAACCACAGACCGGTTCTATGTGGCCCTAGGTCAAAGGACATTACTCCAAATGATCATTTCGTGTCTGCAGCAACTTGGACAACTTGGGGGTGGCTAGATACATCAGCCTTGTAGGAAGTATGACAAGTCTAACTGCACTGCCCATGGAGCCGCTTCCCAGGATCATCGTACCTCACGGACAAGCACGTCACACATAGCTTCCCAAGCGTGACTGTTTTCTTATCCTGCTGGGACACAGCATGTGGCAGCACCTTGACTTTAGGGTGAACGTTAAAGGAAGCTTTGTGTTTAAAAATGAAACAAAAGACAAGCAATAAATGCTGGGTAGTCCAGAGATTACATTCTGTACAGCTGGCCTATGTATCCGTTTCCAAACTGCAGATCTGGTTGGACCCTGATTGGAACACATACCATGCAACAAACGACTCCATAAGGAGGCCCTACTTCATGAACCAGGAAAGAGTTGCCCAACAACCTGCCCTGTCTCAGAGTCCTTTACATGATTACCTCAGAATTGCACAACATTATTTACAAATACTTGGGAATGGCAGAAGGGAACTGGAGCAGTCTTACCTGCCCCCATTATTATTATTATTATTTTAGTTTTGAGGTATGTTCCTGCCTTGAACATACAAGTTTCGATGATTCTAAAAGTAAGCCTATTCTATAACTTAGGCCAGATTATTTTTGAGAATTAAGATAGAATGGGAGCTTGTTAAAACAAACAGGAAAGTAAACCCCGCCTCGCCCCTAACTCGAGCCCTGATTAAACACTGAGGAAGTGACTGTGTCCTCGGGCTGCTTCAGCCTTCTCAGCCACTACGGCCGCTCCTGCTTCCTCATGCCGGCCACGGCCCAGCCCCTCTCTCACGGCACAGCGTCTGGAATTTTTATCAGGATTTCATCTTTAGTTTGTTACTGATCCAATTTCCGATGCTTTATGATGATTATAAAAAACCTTATTTTCACTTCTTCCTCCCAAGAATTAACATGAGGTTAAAAAAAATACCATTATCCCAAGCTGCTTTAAGTTATTTCATTTTGGACAATAATAAAAACCAACCACGTATGCTCTGACCACATACAGTTAAAAGTTAACAAATACCAACCTCAGACTGAGTGAGCAGTGTGTGTTTGGAATATTTCATTGGGGAAGCACAGACAAGCACAGTGCATGTATACTATGCACATTTAAAGCACAATTTATTCTTTTTCTGCTTCCAGAACCTGCAACTTCACATGTATTCAATAGTCAACAGTAACACGACGGAGGTGTAAGAAGAGCTCCTTGGCACTGGCATGACTAAAACCACTTTTTAGACCATGAAAGAACACTCATGCACAGACCCAGAGCTAGGGTTAGCTATTTTGTTTCCTACCCTGATTTCTGAAATGTCAGAACAAACCTATTAGTCACCCCGCCCCCCTAATTAAGAAGGCTCAGCAGAGCTCTATTATATATACACAAACAAAATGTGACACAATGAAGAACTGCATAAAAATACTTAAACCTAATGTATTTGTGTTTATAGACTAGACCCTGGCTTACCATATAAAAGTCATCAGATATCAAATAGCACTAAGGAGATAAGATTTCATGTTGGATATTGTTTTAACAAGAGTTACATTTTGAATATGAAAGGAAATCCTTCATGTTAGTAAGTTTAGAAAAGCAAACATTTATCATATATATATATATAAAATAAAGTTTTAGTATGATAAAACCTAGATTTTCTTAAATTATTTTTTAAAAGGACATCAAGCTATATAATTGTTCAAGAGCAAAGGTTAGTGTTTTGGCGAGATGTAATCCATGTTACTTGCAGCAATTACAGTTGCTAACATGTATAGCATTTTCCATTTTGCTCTTTCTTTTGGGACCATATCTAATCAACAGAACTATTGGAGGCCCAATAAGTTACCTCAAAATTAATTGCCAGAATCAGGCAAGTGGCAGTTTAGGAGCTTAAGTAAAGGAAATGTAGTGTTGTTTTTTGTTTTGTTTTTCCCCCCCACAAGACAAAATCCAGTATAATTGCACATTTACATACAAAAAAAAGAGAGGCACAAAACAGCTTTTCTTCTTTTTTCCAGAGAAGAGCTCTAAATTGATAAGAAAAAGAAACACATATAACACAACTGAAGGAGTGTGGTAGAGCATCTACCCTCCCTACCTTCATAAGATTACTAGGTACTTCTTGAGGGAAAATAAATGTTATCAGGTACCAGCAATTTATGTAAGCAGTCAAAATTCACAGAGAAAGTTAACTTTCATTCAAGCTAATTCTAGACTTCTACTTAGTACAGTGTTACAACAATGTCTGACATTACTAATTATTTCATACAAGGAATACTGGGATATACATATTCCTAGGGGTTAAAAACAAGTGAGTTTTGTGGGCAGACATCTTTGTACACTTGCATCTATGAGATGCAAGCACCACAGCCAATCATTTTGGCTAACACTGCTTCCTTGGGAGCTTTTCCTAAGTGGTTCCTAAGATGAAGTGTATTTGTGTGGCTACTATACACCCTGTAGAAGGGCTTCCCCTCCCTTCTTCTATGGGGACAATGTTAAGTACCAGATAATAGAAATTGTTGACATATAACTTTGAGATGTGCCTGTCCCTACCCCTCCCCCAACCCCAATAGGAACTACACCAAAAAGAGCTATTCAAAAACAATTCAAATTCATCTGTGTAGTTTCACCAGGAAACTTGAGGAGTCAGTTGATAAAGGGAATGTTTGATTAGGAGAGGGAAGCAGAGACAAAATAAAATACCCTTAATTCTTTCCAAGTCAACCAGGGTGTGACAGCAAATGGTGCTTATATCATCCAACTTTTTTGGTCTGTGCCTTTTGTCTCCTCCCTCTAGCTGCCTTTATCTGTCAAGAAATAGGAATGAGCCTGGCCAGTGTGGTCAGTGGTTGAACGTTAACCTATGAACCAGGAGGTCATGGTTCGATTCCCTGCCAGGGCACATGCCTGGGTTATGAGCTCGATCCCCAGTAGGGGGCGTGCAGGAGGCAGCTGATCAATGATTCTCCCCTATTACTGATGTTTCTATCTCTCTCTCCCTCTCCCTTCCTCTCTGAAATCAATAAAAATATGTATAAAAAAGAAATAGGAATGGCCACTCTAATACTGCATTCATATCTACATAAATGCACTTCATCAAAAATACCCACTATCAATGGAGAACACTTCAAACTCAGTAAGTACATCCATTTCTTTTTTTCTCCAAACCAAAACCAAAACCAAAATCACACTATATAACTTTCTAGGTAAAGTTATTGTATCACAAAGCCCACCTAGTTTAAGACCACAGAGGTAAAATCCACAGGAGCATTTTGTTTTCAAGAGGCCAGATTCGATGCTTCCATAGAACCCTTCTCAAAGGCTATGAAAGACATTTGAAAGGAAAGAGAAGTTAGCCTACCTACTACCCAGTAAAGAGGTATATAAAGATCGTCATATCCTTTGCTAGAGGGCTTTCTCCAATTCCTACTTAACACACTCACACATACACTGATTAGACTATCTGAACTACACTTCTCAACATTTTAAAAAATGAAAATAAATAAAGGAATGATGGCGACTTTTGCTTTTTACATCCAAGGACTTTACACTTATGTCATTAACAAAACTTTCTTTTCTCTTTGTTCTTATTTTAAAAGCAAAGACATATCTTTTTCCAACTGCAAGGCCTTGAAGCACAATAAAAGGCAAGCAAGGGCCAAGGGAATCGAACCCTCCACTCAAGAATCACCAAAACAACAAAATCAAACAAAACCCAGATATCACCAACTGCTTCTGCCTCAGGACCAGGCTCCCAGTCTCTTAATAAGGCAGTACTGATGGCAAAGGCTGTGCACACTGCAGCAGTCTCTCCTTTACTAACACACCATCTATTTACGTCCTGCTTTTCCTTTTTGTTCAAAGAGAAAGGAAAAAAGGAAATCACCACCCATTCATTCTTTTGCTTCTTCTCCATGATCTTGTGATTCCAATTTACATTTGATCTTGCTCCAGTATTCTGGTGGCACAGGAGCCCCGGGGTCATGTTCGGAGCAGCAGAGAAGGCCTTCCAGTGCAGAGGGGACCAGAGCCCCCTTCCCATGATCTTTACAGAAGGAACGTGGACAGAACTCACAGAAGGAAACAGCTGCACTGCTGCACTCATCACACTGATGCCACGGGCACTCCCATTTTCCTACGGGGTGGGCAGGAGGAGAAGAGCCCAAGTTAGTGCCTATCTTGATTACCCACGAAAAACCCAGGTTCCCACTTTCTCTGGAGACTGGTCAATTGAATACAACTCCAAATTTCAGCCAAACATTGGTCTGGCTGGATGAACCATTAGGTACAGACGTGAGAGACTGCCCACAGTAGTCACCTATCTATATATATAAAAGCCTAAGCGACTGTTAGGATGGGATGACTGGCCGGTCGCTATGACATGCACTGACCACCAGGGGACAGCTGCTCAATGCAGGAGCTGCCCACTGGTGGTCAGTGCACTCCCACAGCCAACCTCCTGCTGCTGGTCAACCTCCCACGGTCCCTACCCCTGGCTGGCCAGCCCCGATCGGCCCTGATTGCCAGCCAGGCCAAGGGACCCCACCTGTGCACGAATTCACGCACCAGGTCTCTAGTGGTAATAGAAAGGAGAAACCAATCCTTGCTGGCTCACATGTATCCCTAATTCACAAACAGACTTTCACTAGCATAATTTTTGTTTGCTGTGGTTGTTTGTCCTAGTCAATGATTCCTATTCCATGGCTCCACTAAGGACAGTGGAATATATTCTGAGTTATACATAGTTGGCAAAAATGCAAGTCTGAGAAAAGGTCTTAAAGATCTCGCTTACCATATGGTGGCTGAGTCAGGTTAAGGCATAGGAGGTGGTATGCTTTGGGACAGTCCTTTTTATCACACATGACCAGCTCTCCACCATCTCCACATTGAAAACAGTAATCTTCATGCATCTGCTTTGATTCTGTTTTGATTTTTCGTCTCTTCTGCTTTAACTTAGCATTTCTTGCCCTTTCTTCAGTTGTTGCCACACATGTTGACTGGCAGGAAAAAAGGATCATACTTTTAATGATCGTAATGCATGAAGCTTTACAGAGAAGGGAAAATCCTACAACACATTCATTTAATTTAATCTGTTGTTCAATTAACTAAAAACACCAGGAGGACTCATCCCATAAAATACTAAAATAAGCTGGTGTGGCTCAGTTGGTGGGGCTTTGTCCCATGCTCCAAAAGGTGGCCAGGTCAATTCCCGGTCAGGGCACATGCCCAGGTTATGGCTCAAACCCCAGTGGAGGGCATGTAGGAGGCAGCTGATCAATGTTTCTACCGCTTTCTCCTTCTCCCTTCCTCTCTCTCTAAAATCAATAAAAAATATTTTTAAAAAATTACAAGGACACTGAGATATAATTCACATACCATTAAAGCCATCATTTTGTAAAATTAATTATCTTTTTAAAAAGATTTCTTTTAGAGAAAGAGAGAGAGAGAGAGAGAGGGGAAAGGAGAGAGAGAAACATAGATTTGTTGTTCCACTCATTATGCATTCATTGGTTGATTCTTGTATGTGCCCTGACTGGGGATCAAACCCACAACTTTGGCATGTTGTGACTACACTCTGAGCTACCTGGACAAAAGTCACCATTTTATAGTATACTAGAGGCCCAGTGCATAAAATTCGTGCAGGGGGGCGGGGGGCAGCTCTCAGCTCAGCCTGCACCCTTTCGCAATCTGGGACCCCTTGGGGGATGTCCGACTGCTGGTTTAGGCCGATCCCTGTGGGCAATCGGACATCTCTCTTGCAATTCAGGACCGCTGGCTCCTAACTGCTCGCCTGCCTACCTGCCTGCCTGGTCACCCATAACCACTGTGCCTGCCTGCCTCATCACCCCTGACCACTTGCCTGCCTGCTGACTGCCCCTAACCACTCTGCCTGCCTGCCTACCTGATTGCCCCTAACCCCTCTGCCTACCTGCCTGACCGGCCCTAACCACTTGCCTGCCTGCCTGATCGATCCTAACCACCTCTGCCTCAGGCCCCGCCGTGGCAGCTTTGTCCGGAAGGACGTCTGGAATGATGTCTGAAAGGTCGTTCAGCTGTTCGGTCTAATTAGCATATTACGTTTTTATTATTATAGACTAGAGGCCCGGTGCACAAAAATGTGTGCACTCGGGGGGAAGGGGGGGGTCCCTCAGCCCAGCCTGTGCCCTCTTGCAGAATGGGACCCCTCGGGAGATAACGACCTGCTGGCTTAGGCCTGCTCCTGGGTGGCAGAGGGCAGGCCCAATCCCTAGGTATAGCCCCTGGTCAGGCTCAGAGAAAGGCTGATTGGGGAGTTGGGGCGCCGCCCCTGTCATGCACAGAGCAGGGCGGATCGGGAGGTTGCAATGCCACCCTCAGTCACGCTCAGGGTAGGGCTGATTGGGGGGTTGGGGCACAGCCCCCTGTCACACTCAAGGCAGGGTCGATGGGCAGGTTGCGGCACCACCCCCTGTCACGCACAGAGCAGGGCCAATTGGGGTTGGGGCGCTTCCCCCTGTCACTCACAGAGCAGGGCCGATCAGGGGGGTTGGGGCTCCGTACCCTGTCACGCACAGAGCAGGGCCGATCAGAGGGTTGGGGAGCTCCCCCCTGTCACTCACAGAGTAGGGCCGATAGGGGAGTTGGGGCACCACCCCGTCACACACAGAGCAGGGCGGATCAGGGGGTTGGGGCGCCGCACCCTGTCGCACTCAGGGCAGGACCGATGGGGAGGTTATGGCTCAACCCCGTCACACACAGAGCAGGGCTGATCAGGGGGTTGGGGCACCGCAGCCTGTCACACACAGAGCCGCAGGGCAATCAGGGGGTTGGGGCGCCTTCCCCTGTCACGAACAGAGCAGGGCGGATAGGGAGGTTGTGGCCCCGCCCCGTCACACACAGAGCCGTAGGGTGATCAGGGGGTTTGGGTGCTGCCCCCTGTTACGCTGATCCCAGTGCTGGGAGGCATATTACCCTTTTACTATATAGAGGCCTGGTGCACGGGTGGGGGCCGGCTGGTTTGCCCTAAAGGGTGTCCTGGATCAGGGTGGGGGTCCCCACTGGGGTGCCTGGCCAGCCTGGATGAGGGGATGATGGCTGTTTCCAGCTGGTCACACACCCTTCAGGGTGGGGGTCCCCATCAGGGTGCCTGGCCAGTCTGGGTGAGGGGCTGAGGGCTGTTTTCAGGCTGGTGGGTGACTGAAGCTCCCAACCGCTCCTTTTTTTCTTTTTCTTTTTTTTATTCTGGGCCAGCTTTAGCTCTGAGGCTCCAGCTCTTAGGCCTCGGCTGCTGAAAGCAGGTTTCTGGCCTTTGTTTACCTTCTGTATTTGAAACAATGTTGCGATCCTGCTGGCCGAAGCAGGTTTTTGGGGTTTTGTTTAGCTTCTATATTTGTAACATAGCTGCTTAGAGTTGCAGCTCAGAGGCCGGCAGGCGGGGAACGTTGGAGTCTTCTGTCACTGAAGCAAGCAAGCCTCATGTTAGTTTCAAGCTGCCTGGCTGCCGGCCGCCATCTTGGCTGGCAGTTAATTTGCATATCGCCCTGATTAGCCAATGGGAAGGGTAGCGGTCGTATGCTAATTACCATGTTTCTCTTTTATTAGATAGGATAATTAAGTGGGTTTTAGTATATTGTGAATTTAAAAAGAAGTTTTCTAAAAGGATTTTGCTAACTTCAAATTCTATCAGAAATACAAATACATTTTCAGAAACTAACAGATCTTACTAAGATATGCTTCATTGGAAAGTCAGAGTCTAAACTCTGGGTAAACACCACTGAAGATCAGTGAAAGAAACCAGGTACCCATTTGCCAGTATTTTCCTGAGATGGTCATAAGCAAACTTCTGCAGTAGCCCCTCCATACTCCTCCTGGCTCAGGGCATGCCCCTGCACACTGACCTTGGGCCGCACTCCAAGAAAACCACTGCAGTTCTCTGCCCCACAGTGGCACTCCGTCCTGCCGTTGCCCAGGCAATCCAGGTTATAATTAAAAGTTAACTCCATTCCTAAAACAAAAGAGAAATAACTATTCATATTCAAGTCACAGGCAAGAAACTGCTGTCATAGACACTCTCGTAATGAAAAAAAGAGACATCAACTTTTCCCTCCCCCACATTCTACATCGAAGACAGTGATGGAAAAAAGAAAAAAGGCAAAAATATATCTAGAGGAAAACATCCCGACCCACCCATGATTACAGCAAAAATAAAGTCTACAAAAGTCGTCACATCCTTTTCATTGAAGTGGTCAAAAACTATGTAATAGAGACCAGGATTTGAAATCTCTGTTTAAGAAAAATGAGTTCTAGTTTAGCTCTCTTTTCTAAAGCTAATTTAAACTAGTTTCTGAATGAACAATATGTCTGTGGAATTATGACGGCCACACTGTTTCCAGTAATTAATGCCTTGTATTATGATCAGAAAAGAGTTTCGGTTTACTATCTACACCAAAGATCCAGTGATTCAAATTAGGAGGCCCAGCTTTCTTTTAGCTGGGCTTGAACAATCCACCATGAGTCTAGAAATACAACTGAAAGTTGCTACAAACTTAACAAAGGAGAAACTAAGATTTGCTGTTAAGATGCTGGATGGGTAAGAAAAAATGAAAACTCTTGCTTCAGAAGTGTTTTACATCTAATTTGAAACAGAATGATCTTTCAAAATAAACCCGCCCCCCCTCAACAAACCAAGAAACCCACTGATGTTAACACAGGCTTTTAATACTTTAAAAAAAGAAAACAAAAGCTTAACCATCTGGTTACATTATATAGACAGCAATAATGTGGAGATTTAATTCAGAAAGATTGTGCATATAGAGAATTCTGTAATATCCTCTCTTACAGAAAAGCTCTTACTAAGCTCCCCTTTGCAGAATACCGATTTTTACTTCTTACTGGCAGATAACAATTCTAAATGTAACACTTTATCTTATTTGAATAAATATTTGAGGACCAAACCTTGAAGAATGTCCTGCTTTCAAAGGATATACTTGCTTCCTAGGGAGGGGGGCATGGGGAGCAAGTTAGTTTTTTTACCTGCAGGAATATCACAAAGAGCAAAAAGTCCAACTCGAACGTCTCCATTCACTGTCCACTTTTGTGTTTCACAGTTTGGATTACAACTGTGGTTCATAAAGCGAGAGTAATTTCCTTTTGGGCCGGCATCAATTATACGGTCCTTCAGAAAAAAAAGAAAGGAAAGGTACCTTTGATATAAAACTAAAATATAAACATCTTAGAAACATCCAATGCAGTCAAGAGCCACCAGGCAGCAGCATTTTGCTACCAGCTGATGCCTGACGACTGCAAATCTGAAAATGTGGTGCTCTCTGTACATTTAGTAAGTTATCTACTTTCTCTCATGACTTTCAAATCAAAACAATCAAGATGAAGTGGAAACAAACAGACCGTGGAATAATGCTTAGAAGATTATCTGGTCTTTGGTTTAGGAAAAGTATTTCTGAGAGAGCTCTGAGTGCAGACAGCTCCTTGTGATGGGAACAAGGGTGCTGAGCTGTCGGCCCTCCTTTCCTGCTCTGAGCAGAAGCACAACTAGAACAGGGCTAGAGGCTCAGGGCTCAGGCCATGAAGATTAAGTAGGAAAAATGAGAAATTTCTCTTCTGAATAAAGACTTGCAGACATGCTTGAGTGATTTTCTTTCTTTTTTGATTAGTAATAATCACACCTTGGATAAGCCTCACTGGCTATGATACTGCCACTATGCAAAGCAAATAATTTTTTAATTGTTCTAATTTTACTTGTATAGTAAAGTCTAAAATACAATACAAACCTCCCCATTGGGCCCTTAAATTTAAATTCTGATAATATGGATAAGCCCTATAAGATGGATCCTCTGAGTGTTATAAAGATGGCTGGAGGGGTCACTGGCAGTGAAGATAGGATTTAGGGGCCAATCAACAATCTATACATATAAAAGCCCAGCAACTGCTATGGCGAAATGACCAGAATGACCGGTCGCTATGATGTGCATTGACCACCAGGGAGCAGATGCTCAACACAGGAGCTGCCCCCTGGTTATCAGTGCGCTCCCACAGCAGGAGCACTGCTTAGCCAGAAGCTGGGCTCATGGCTGGCGAGTGCAGCGGCGGTGGCGAGAGCTTTGCCTGCCTCTGTGGCAGCGCTAAGGAGCGGTGAACCAAGCGGTAAGGAGCAAGCAGGTGGGTGGTAAGGAGCGAGCAGGCGGGCGGTAAGGAGCGAGCAGGTGGGCGGGCAGTTAGGAGCGAGGGGTCCTGGATTGCGAGAGGGCACAGGCCAGGCTGAGGGGCACCGCCCCCCCATGCACGAATTTTGTGCATTGGGCCTCTAGTCATAAATAAATGGCATTGTATGTTTATGGAATATATATTCATGAAAGCTGTAAAAAGTTTCAAACAATACCATATGAGTTAAAATAATATTTCTTTTACATGATCTCCAGTTCTTAACTTTAATGACATTCTGACTTGATTTTAGGAATGGCCTGGAACACAGGAAACATGGGTACTAATCTTAGCTCTTCATTAAACTGTAACAAGGTATTCAACCATTTACCATGGCTAAACCTCAGTTTCTTGTTCTCTGTAAATCAGAAGACCAGTGAAGAAATTGAATGAGATAATGGACACAGGGTGCATAAATAGGACTTACAACTGCATGTATTAAACCAGCAGTTCTGTCATTTCTCTTATGACAGCATCCATTTCTCCTAACTCATTAAAAAAGTTTAAATGTGCAGAACAATTTTCAGAGTTAGAATTTTGGCTAAATCTGAATTTTAATGGTGGCTTATAACTTAGAATTAGAGCTCCTTCCCTCCTTCAGTGATAAGGCAACTGAGGGCAAGTCTTTCAGTGCCTAAGAGGAGCTGGGACCAGAATCCAGGTGTGTCAACCTTTCCTGCTTCACTCTTACATGACCTGTGCAAGGCTGCAGCAAGCGTTCATTTTGTGCTCTGGTATAATTAGCACATTATAGTGGGAAGCACTCTGGCTACCGCTAATCATTATACTTTGCCTGAAAAAAAATCAAATTAGAGGAAACAGTTCAACCTAAGATCATGAAAACAAAAACAAACAAACAAAGTAATTTTACCTTGGTGACAGTTAACATATAAAAATTGGTTACGCTGTTCTCGTGGGCTCGCTTGATTCGCAATCTGCATTCTTCTTCATCAATTAATTCGCCAACATATTCATTTACAAATTCACCCTACAGAGAAGCATGCAATATGAAAATATGAAACCAATGTATTATATTAGAAAGCATTCCTTAACACAGCATGTATGATCCAAGAGAATTAACCAAAAAGAACCATAGAAATATAACTTCAACCATCAAAACAAATAGTTGCTATTATTCATGAGCATTCAGGTGGCACTATTTTTCTTGTACCAGTGCTGCAAAATATAACGATCTGCTTGTCTCTTTTTGCTGACAATATTATTTCAATAGTCCAAGTGACACAGTTATGGTCTATCACTGGGATCTGGGATAAGGCAACCTCGAGCCTTGAAACTGTACTATAACATTATAAACCATTTATTATGGTTTATATTTGTTATTCTATGAAAATGAATGAATACAGAAAAATTAAAGTGCTGATATCAAATATGAGTGCATGTGCCAAAACTTGATATACCACTGTGAATAAATATCTCTAGCTATTTTGTAAAAGAAATACTTTTGATGTCCAAAGTGACAAACCGTTAACATCAAAGAGTTGTTTACTGAACCACGAGCTGTAAATTAAACTGTGAACTAAAAGAAAATACAGACCTTAGAAAGTGCTAGAAATCTGTTCTTAAAGACGATAAAGAGAGGGTGTAGTTCAGTGTTTATACATGTTTTCCAGTTTCTAAGAAGCCACCTCACAGCAGGAAGGGCATGCTTGACGCTGGCACACGGTCAGGATTTAGGTGTGAAGAGGGGACTCAGTGTGTTTTCAGTTTCATATTTGGCATCTGTCACCTAAATGTACCAAAAATCTTTCCCATGTTGCTACAAAGTCTTGATGATTCTGCTTTTCAGAGACCATATATTTCTAGCTGTTTTGTAAAAGATCAATTATCTTACACTAGCAATTCCTCAAGTGCTAAAGGGCAGAACAATCCTGATTATATTTTCTTTTCTCTTGATTACAGTTGACCCTTGAACAAGATAGTTTTGAACTGTGCAGGTCTATTCACACATGGATTCTTTCAATAAATACCTGTACCATTTTCCATCCGTGGCTGGGAGCCCACAGACAGAGGCTGACTGTGTGCACTGATGTATACCTTTTACATAGGGGACTTGAATATCCTCAGATTCCGGTGTCTGGAGGGGCCTGGAACCAGTCCCTTGTGCCACAACTCGTTTGGGGAAGTCAAAAAAGTTCAACTATGTGTGTGGTCAGTGTCCCTAACCTGTGTGTATTCAAGGGTCAACTGTATATCATGAATTAAGTAAATTAAAACACATTTTAAACTGATAAGAACAGATACTACACTTGATCTTAGCAAAAAGGCCGAGAAGCGATAAAAAAACACATTTTAGAATAAATACAACTACTATTAAAAGGTGTTAAAAAGACATTAAGCTGTACAGTTTTCAGGATGACTCCAAACATTCCCCTGAAATCATAGGCAAAAAAATTTGTATGTGTGATATGCATGGCATTAAAATAATATTAAAAAAATTTGAATCACATAACATTTTACATGCTGATGGCCTTTGAGCAGCCCAATACACATATCCAATGCACTAGCAAGTCCTATTGGCTCTAACTTCAAAATGTCAGAAATCCACCCTCTCCTCTCCTGCACAGCTACAACCCTAGTAGTCTATGCCACCATCACCTCTCTCCTGGATTATAATGGTCTCCTTTTTATCACTTTCCCCATTACCATAAATTCTCCATACTACAGCCAAATTATTCTTTTGAAACTCAAATGTGGCAGACAGACTCTGAAGGTGGGCCCCATGACCTCTGCTTCTTGGTCTTCACATGGCTCTGTGATCCTCTCCCCTCAAGTGAACAGAACCTGTGACTTGCAATAGAGCATGACAAAGGTGATGGATATATGTGATTACATGAATCTGTTACATTATGACTTTAGCATACATCTTGCTGGCTGTAAGGAAGCAAAGAGCCATGTTGGGGAACCTCATTTGGCAAGGAATTGCAGGCAGTCTCCAGAGGACAACAAAACAGTAACAACAAATGAAACAAACAAACAAAAACACCTGAAGCTCTCAGGCTTACAGCTGGCAAGGAACATAATTCTGCCAACAGCCATGCAGGCAGGGAAGCGGATCCTTCCTTAGCCCAGGCACAGGAGTGAGAATCCAGCCCTGGGCAGCACCCTGACTGCACCGAGAGGACCCAGCTAAGCATTACCCGGACCCCTCACCCACAGGAACTCAGATAACCAAATGTGTGTTATATTTTAAGTTGCCAAGTTTGTGGTAACATTGTTATGCAGCAACAGAAAACGAGTACATCAAGTCTCAGATCAAATCAGTCCCTACTAAAATGCTCCAGAAATTTCCCATCCTGTGGCCTGTAACGCCCATATCATCTATTGATGCTAGCCTCTTTCCTGTCCCCTACCTGCCACTCTTCTCCTTGCCATTCTTCTCCTGGTGCTTTCTTGTTGTTGCTGGAATATACTGAGGTACTTGTACTTGGTTTACTTTAGTCTGAAATACTCTTCTCGATATCCATCTCCGTGACTTTCTCCCTCACATATTCAGGTGAAATGTCCCCTCCAGGCCTTCCTTAGCCAATCAATTTAAAGTAGCAATCCCAGTCACTAGCTATCCCCTCTGACAGCTTAGTTTTCTTTGCAGCATTTAGTGGTACTCAGCATTAGATATCTGTTCATCATTTGTCTTGTTCACTACTGTTTTTCCAGGTACTGCTGGAACAGTACCTGGCACACAGAAGCTTCACAAGTATGTACCAAATGAATGAGTCTCATCACAAGCAATCTAACCTATAGAAACAGGTGCATAAAGAGAGATGACCAAGAATGTTCACTACAGAATTTTAAAAAATCTGTAAGAGTGTGTGTGTGTGTGTGTGTGTGTTTGCGCGCGCGTGTATATTTATTGGAAAATAGGTTATATAAATTATGGTACATAATTTGATACATTTTACTATGGAATACAGTGAGATTGTTTAACAAAAAGAATGAGTTGAAAAAACAAAAAAAACAGTAAGTTGAAATCTCTATGTACTGATATAAAAATATATGTATGATATATTAAGTGGGAAATACGTATGATCATATTTGTTTTAAAAACCCTACAAATACAGAATATATGAATATATATTTGCATATGTGTTAATACTTACAACTGCACAGAAAAAGTTCTAAAAGGCTACATACCAACCTATTAACAATGGTCATCTTTTGTGAGACCAAGAATTGAAGGATGAAGGAGGAATAGCTTTCTTGTACTGATTTACTTTACTACATTATGTGGTATTTTTTAATCACAAAGGTGATTTTTTAAAAAGGTAGAAATATGACTCAGTGATTGAGTGCCAACCTATAAACCAGGAGGTCACAGTTCGATTTCCGGTCAGGGCACATGCCTGGGTTTCAGCTTTGATCCCCAGTAGGGGGCATGCAAGAAGAAGCTGATCAATATTTATCTCTCATCATTTTTGTTTCTATCTCTCCCCCTCTCTCTTCCTCTCTGAAATAAATAAAAATATATATTAAAAAAAAAGTAATTACAAATTCTCACTAGGTCCACCTCTCTCAATGAATATATCTCCAAGTTCTATATATTGGCATTTGGCAAGCAGGGGTAAGGGGCAAAGGGGGGCAGGGCAGGAACTTGTTATAAAATGCAGAAGATACTGTCCCAGATATTTCTGTGTGATACTGTTTTTAAGGGCCCCAGGCCCTAGCTGGTTTGGTTCAGTGGATAGAGCATCAGCCTGCAGACCAAAGTCCCAGGTACAGTCAAGGGCATGTACCTTGGTTGCAGGGCCCTGTACAAGGCTCGTGCAGGAGGCAACCAATCGATGTGTTTCTCTCACATCTATGTTTCTCTCTGTCTTTCCCTCTCCCTTTCACTCTCCTTAAAAATGAATGGAAAACTATCCTCAGGTGAGGATAAACAATAATAATAATAATAACCTCAGGAGATTCTCAGAATCTCTAAAGTTTGAGAGCCTTTGAGCAGTAGGATATACTGGTGATTTTCATTTTTTTCCTTTGAGTTATTTGTATGTAGAAAATGTTCTGCAATAGACAGTGCATTTCTGTGTTAATCAAAGGGACTGTTTTGAAAAATTGCCTCAAAGTACTAACTTGTTCCGGTTGCTTTTGCGTATATAATCTAATTTGAGACTAGCAGCAACGCTGACACGTGTAGGGCAGGGGTTACTGTGTCCATTTTAGAGATGAGGAAACTGAGGCTCAGGGAGGATGACTGACGTGGCCACGGTTTCACACCTAATGCATTATGACACTGGAGCAAAGTCCTGGGCTTCGCCTTTACTAGGTCTTTTACATCCAGGTCTATTTTGCTTAACAAGTAAAAAATTACTTTAAACAGAAAATGACCCATGTCCCTTCTGCTTTTTATGACTGATCATTAGACAACCAAAGTTTTGTATGTTTTATCACTACCACTTCCTATAGCTTCTTTGCCTAAGAAGTGCCAAACTCTCAACTTGGGAAATTTCAAGATTCTACCAGGAACCACCATACATTTCATCCCCATTGAAGCTTCTTTGAGAGGCACAGGCCCTGATCTGTCTCTGACCACCAGTGCCCCTGCCCCAAGTTACCTTCTTAATGCTCCTTTTGGTCCTGAGGCCCCAGCCTCTTCGCTCCGTTTTGATGATTTCTGCATCAGGGTAGAGCCTCTTTGTGAAGCACTGGTTCTGGCAACGATCTCCGGCTGGGCACACCTGCGGGTGACACTCGTACTGCAGCATTCTGTTCAGGCACTCGGATTCTAAGCCGCAAGGGTTCTCATCGGCTGGCTTGCAGTTACAGCGGGGAATCTCTGACAGGTCTGCAACCTGGATCTGTACCTTTCCTATGACTTTGTTAGCCTAGAAAACAAAATCACAGATGAGGGGGAGGAATTTAAACAGAACACCTGAAACTTCCATGCTGTTCTTGGCTCTGCTACTGCCTTGCAGCATGACTATGAAAGGCTCGTTATTGTAATAGCAATTTCCCCACAAATAAACTAAGAATAAAAACTGCCTCTTCTTAGTTGGCAAAAATACCAAAAACTTGATGTGAATTCTCATTTATCTGTTCTGTGTATTTCTCCTTCTACTAATTGATGGAAATTTCATAACTGGAAACAACTCTGGACTGTCTGGACGAACGGGGCAAATCTCTCTATTCTCATTTGGTGGCAGGATAACCTGGTAGAGCAAGTAGGAACAGGATTTCCCATCAAACATGTCGCTCCCAGGTGCCAGAGCACTTATCTGAGACCTCATCCCCACAGCACACAGCTCCCGCTCCCAGCTCCCTCGCTCCCATCTGACTATGACACTGCCAACAAAAGCTCTGTTTGTTTTACAGAAGATTGGGTGAAAATTAGCAAAAGTTTTCACAAGTCAAAATGGGTTTTCTCACTACAAAGAGAATATTGCACTTCATCTTGCCCGTCAAATACCGATCTCTCAGGGTAGAGACTCACTTTGATGTGTTTGTAAGGAGGAGGTTTTCTTGAGTTTTTTTCAATCTCTAGTGCTTCTTTACTTTCTCTTTGTGCTTTCAACTCCTGGAAACGTTTTGCAGCTTCTTCCAGAGCTGCCAATAAGACCAAACAAAGTATATAAATGCCAACAAACAAACAAACAAACAAACAAACAAACAAACAAACAATACCTGTTAGGAGAGCAGTTTTACTCTGCCTTCACAATGCACTTAATAGGGCTGCTTTTTTCTTTTTAAAATTGTTTCTGGAAATAACCACTTACCAGCAGGATCGGGTAGCACTGAAATAGGATATGACTCACTGTTGGCTGAACACTGCTCTGTGCAAGCTGCAGCCTCAAGAGATGAGGTTCTGCTTCCGTGATCAGAGGCTTCCACGTGAACCCAAGGGGAGCCTTTCACCTGGAACTAGCTTTAAATTCACTTTGCTCTTGCCCAGAAAGCCAAACTTCCGGGTACCTTGTTGCAAAACCAGTTGTAAGGCTCTCCATGAGAAGCTCTGCTACTCTTCTGTGGTAAAGGAGCTTCATGTGATTAAGAAAACTATTCCCAGAAAAATCTATGTCTAGAAAGATCACTGAAGAAACTCCGTTCACTTACTCAGCAGAGCCTACCAAACTGAAAATGTTATTTTCCTAATTGATTAGATTCTGACATGGTTCTAATGGGGTTAACCTGGTGAAAATTCTCTACTACCAGAATATGTCATATGCGAGGTGGAAGATGTTGAGAAATCAACAGTGAATTCTTAGTTTTGAGCCATTGTAAACATCATTCCAACTTACCTTTTTTGAAGGTCTTGTTAATACTAGTCTGTCCCTCAGCAAAGCTTTTGTCTCCTTCAACATAAGGGAACACTCTGCCCTGGTGCACCCAATAGTAGTCATGAGAACCAAAGAAGAACACAGGGAAGTCCCCCAAGTTATGCTTAAGGCCCTGGATGTTCAGTGGCACAGACCTGGGATTGCAGATCTCTGCTGGCCACCATCTGAAAACAAAAACAATTTTAGACCAAGGGTATGAAAAACAGACTATTCTTTACAGGGCTGGCAGGAGGGAATAAGAGGTTTTTTACCGTGACATTTTCATTCAGACTCTAAGGACACAAAATACCTTGATCATCTTTAATCTTGCTCAAACCACACAGCATTTAAAATCATATTAGTTAATGAATTTATTAATGAAATAGTGAACATAGACTAAACAAACTAGGCCCTAAACATCCAATCCAGCTATTTTCTTTAAAAAATTAATATCTCATATTTATAAAAGAATATATATCATGGAAATATAAGCTATAAAGCATAATAAAATAATACTTAACCCACTACCCACCTTAAGAATTAGAAATTACCAATATTATTCCGAACCAAATTTCTATCCTAGAAAAGTTGTTTTTCTCCAAACTTGGCATTCTTAAACCAACATCATCCTCCAAGGTGTAAAAGTTTATTTCTAGTAGTCAAGGGGCTCATTTGAGAATAAACTGATGCTATAGCAAAGAATGACCATTCCCATTCAAATGAGCATTTTCTGACTAATCACTCAGGGTAAATACTTTTTGGTCAAATGTACTAGGCTTATGTCACTGTGTATTTCAGAATCTAATTCATCTTGGATCACAATAAACGTGGACTTGGGGACAGAATGAAACAGAACTGTTTCATGCCATGATGACTGAAACCACAGCAATCCCTAAATGAAACCATCTGTGAGGCGCATGTGACAATTTCCAGCAACTGGGCGAGTCAGCAATTGAAAGGTGGAGCTTTTATAGTATGTAAAACCATCAATATGAATAGTAAACATACACAAACTTAAAATTTGTCAGCCACTTATTTTATAGATGCCTAATAAAACCATTTATCTAATACTTGTATTATTTAGAAGCTAAATGACAGCATGGCCACACTCTCAGGGTCATAGTGCAGAACTTGAATATGCTTCATCTAAAAGGTACCTGTCCATCTAAGAATTAATGAAAAACATGGGCAAGAGCCTGTGCTCAAATTGTTCAAACAAAACAAACCAATGTTTTGTGTAATCAGTGTTTGGTTTCCCTCAAAGTGGACTAGGAAATGGCTATTTCTAAACCATTTAAAGGCAGTTAAGTATGTACATGCGGACTGCACTCATGGGGTCAGGAAGAGGCACTCTGTGCCAGGGGTTGTTCCAGGTCCTTATATTTCCCCCAGGAAGCTGCACACTGGAGCAACTAGTTACTGAAAAGAAACAGCTTCATGTGGCCCAGCTGGGCCTGACTGGAAAAAATACATTAAGACTTAGTCATGGATGGAAGTCTTTGCAGAACATACAAGAAGAATCTGATCTGCATATAAATCTCACTGGGCTGTGAACTGGAGAACTGCTTTGGGGTTCTTTAAATGCAATGTAATTAAAACTTAAGTATTTAAGTTAAGGCAAAGATCTTTTTACACTCATAACTTCTTAATAAAGAAAATATATAATGTACAACATGGTGACTATAGTTAATAATACTGTATTATATATTTGAAAGTTGCTAAGAGAGTAGATTTAAAAATTCTCATCAGGAGAACAGAAAATTGTAACTATGTATGGAGAAGAATGTCAACTAGACTTATTGTGGTGATCATTTCACAATACTATATACCAGTGATGGCGAACCTATGACACGGGTGTCAGAGGTGTCACGCGAACTCATTTTTTTGGTTGATTTTTCTTTGTTAAATGGCATTTAAATATATAAAATAAATATCAAAAATATAAGTCTTTGTTTTACTATGGTTGCAAATATCAAAAAATTTCTATATGTGACACGGCACCAGAGTTAAGTTAGGGTTTTTTCAAAATGCTAACACGCCGAGCTCAAAAGGTTCGCCATTGCTGCTATATACAAATACTGAAACAATATGTTGTACAACTGAAACTACTATGTCAACAATATCTCAAAAAAAGCCCCCCAAAATTAAATATAAAGAAAATATTCTGAAATTTACTTGAAGAGCTAAAGGTTTCTTATATTGGTTTAGGTATTTGTTATCCAGGAATGTCTTATCTAGTAATTGTCAAACCCATGCCCTCCCACCCCCAAATATATATATAATATATTAATTATAAAAGCAGAGTTTCTTTTAAAAATAAAACAATGCACAAATGTATAACAGAAAAACTGAAAATGTCTCTCCTTGTAGTCTCATGCCTAACACTATTAACATTACATGTGTTTCTTTCCATATTATATCTAGAGCTACAATTTTTAAAAATTGTATAAATACATGGAAAGATAATGTACATACTGTTTAACATGTTTTCTAAATTCAACTATATAGCGGATATCTTCCTATGTTACTATACAGACCTGCATTATTCTTTTATTGGCTTCAAGATACTCTACAATATGGATATAGTATAATTTATTTGACAAATCCCTTATGGACTGAGCATTTGGGTTATTTCAAATAATACCACAATGAGTACCCCAACAAATACATTTTTGCCTGTTTGTCCAATATTTTTTCCTTAGATAAATTTCTTGAAAGGGAAGCGCTGGGTCAAGAAGTATACAGAGTTACAATTTTAATACTCATTTCCCTATGCCCTCCCTGGCCGCAAAATTATTACTCTTTTATATCTCTGCCAATCTGTTAAGGGGGTTGGGGGGGGCTCTTTGTTTTTAGTGAACATTTATTTTTTAGTGAGGCTGGGCATTTTTCACGTTTATTTTCCATTTGCTATTCTTTTGCAAACTGGCTCTTTCTCTTCTTTGTCCTTTCTTTTTCTAGATAAGGTATTTGTCTTTTCTCATTGAAAGTAGAATAGCAAACACTTTATCCTGGTTTGAGATTTGCTTTTTAAAACTTTATAATATCGTTTGCCATACAGTCTAAAATTGTTTATGTATTCAAACTGTCCATCTTTTTAGGACTTGGAGATTTCTTATCATATGTTAAAAAAATAGTTGGGAGAGCTTCTCAATGCCACTTATCTCAGCTAAATAACAAAGATTTTAAAGTTAAACAGGTAAGCAAGCAGTATATTTAAAACAGAGAAAACAACATAGCCCTTGCTAAAAGGAATTACAGTATGTCTGAGATTCTATAGAAATATATCTTACTTAGGATTCTAATTGAAAAGTAGAATTCTCTTGAACAGTATCTATTTTCATTGCAGAGTTTTAAAAAATATGTCACTATTCTTGTGCAGTGAAGGCTTGTAAAAAAACAGGCTTCTTAAAAGGAGAGAGTTTTATTAAAATAATAGCAATCACACATACTTCTTACTCATTCTCTTAAGAGCTAAAGGCTCTTAATGAAACAATCTCTCTCTTTAAATCCTAAAATGCTCTCTTTTGCACACAGGTTAAAGTATGGACCAGATTAAGGGGCAAAGAGGGCTATTTTGGCCAGGGAAAAACTTGATTTTATTAGAAATCACAGATCAATATAAAGTTAATTAGGGCACAAAGAAAACATCTTCTCCATTAATCACATAAGACTTTTTATTCCAAAATCTAGTAGCACATAGTTCATTAATATAAAACAACTTCTGGAACTTAAAAACAAAAGCCAACCAACCAATCAAAAAAAATTCCACAACTAACCTTCTCAATCTTGTAAAAACCCAGACTCAAAATATGTTTCTTGCCCAGCTGGTGTGACTCAGTGGATAATCGTTAACCTATGAACCAGAAGGTCCCGGTTTGATTCCCGGTCAGGGCACGTGCCCGGCTTATGGGCTCCAATCCCCTGTAGGGAGCGTGCAGGAGGCAGCTAATCAATGATTTTCTCTCATCATTGATGTTTCTTTCTATCTCTCTCTCTCCCTCTCCCTTCCTCTCTGAAATCAATAAACATATTTTTAAAATAAAATAAATATATGTTTCTTCTCTCTCTCTCTTTTTTAAGGAAGTAGCTTTGCTATTCTACCTGTCTGCTAGCCAGTTTGTAACAGTTTATGAAACTAGGTCTAAACAATGATTGAATACTTCCTCTTTGTCCTTGGAAAAACTTGCCTGTAATTTCCCAATTTGACCCAAACAATCTGCTTGTAATGCAGTTTCTTGCCAGCTTTACAGTCATTACAATTCCAGCAGCCTTCTGGCATTTCTATGCTCAGGCATTCTGGATGGAAGGAAGCTGGGCACGATTCACAGCAGAGCAATCTTCCACCTTGAAACAAATAAACAGTCTTAATAACTGAGAAAAGAGCAAAGACAAAAAGAAAGAAAAAGGAGAAAATTATCATTTAAGTGCATTAACTTTGATTCAAATTGGGAGAAAATAACAAAGGATGGAGTCATATCTATGGTGATGGATTAAAATAGAAAGCAAATGAACAGATTTTGCTTCTTCCCTTTTCAGACCTTCAATGGCCAGAAACTCAGCTTTTGAATAGGAAGAGAAACATTATTGTACTCCTTACCCCTGTAAAACGTGGGCTATTGAGCTATCCGTTTAGTAGGAAGTTAAAATTCCTAACATATGACAAAATAGGTGTATTAAAAATCTTTAGACTGAGTAAATTTGAGAGCAGATTTTCAAAGAAATATGTAGCAGCTTACTTTCTTTTCTCCTTGAGAGCTAAGAAAGCAAGCAATGGTCATCTTTGTATTTTAATCCAGTGCCATAGTCGACTAAATCACTTTATAATTAAATTAGCAAGAATGAAAACAGGCAATAGGTTGATCAGTATTTCTTACTTCCCATAAAAGGATACAAAAAAGCAAAAGGATTGCACTTGCTCAAGGTGATGATTACATATATCATCATTACCTTTTTAGTGAAGATAAAGTCAAACAAGCTATAGAGCAGTGGTTTGCAATTTTTTCATCACCAAGGATCCCCTTCCCTTCCCTCATGAACTTATATGCTTCCAATATTTTATCAACCAAAAATAAAACCCAAAAACAAACCCCTACACTAAAAAATAACATTTTTCTGATGTTATTAACCAGAGAAATATAAAACTGCCAATCAGAGCTTCTGAATCCAATAACAAAACTAGCATTATCACACTGTATTATTTAAATCATAGCCAAATATAAAGAAACTCATGCAGCCATAGTTTGTGTGCTTCTGTTAGATTTTCTGAAATATTAAGAATAGTTCAAAAATGTTACTTACATAAGTCTTTTCTGACTTCATATTGAGAACCACTGCTTTATAGTATAAAATTAAGTAAATATCAGTGTGGAATGAAGTACTACACGCAAGGAGATCCCTCCAACTTGCCTAGAAAAATCCTCTCCTTTTAAATACATAAAATGATCTCTGGATTAAGACCAAAATAGGTGTGGCTAACAAAACAAAATAATATTTCTAAATGCAAAGAAATGAAAAAGATGGGGGAGGGGAAGATTAGGTATTTCTAATAGGTATTTCAACAAGTGATGGAAAAGGATGTTAACTAATGAAGATGAAGTATGATAAAGACATTTACTGCAAAAAAAATCATCCTCCCATTGGAAAATCAGGTCTATAACCCACAAGTACACTAAGATTTAAAGTCTCATTAGCTAGAGGTTAGGAGCCTTCTCTACAACTTTATCAAATCACATGCTCCAACCTTTTGAAGGTTAGCTAGCTATCAATTTTCCAGAAAATCTTATCTTACTGCAGACGTTCAAACTTCTGATTGTCATAAAAACAAAAAGAAAAAATCCATATACAATCAGTGATGAATTAAATTACTATATTTCCTCTGCTTAAAAGCTTTTTCTTCAATCATTGGGATTTGTTCCTTTGTCTGCAAATCTTAATATGGATTAACAGTTCCAATTCCCCAACCTAGAGATTAGCTGTCTGAGTGCTCTTAGCCTAGGAATTCTTCTATAAGTTTAAACTAAAATGAGAAAGCCCATTTTTATAACAGAAAGAAATAACCAATAGAGAGAGCAGCCTTTGCAAATAGCTTTTAGAGGGCATGTCATTCTTAGAGCTGACGGGGAAAAGTAAGGCTGGCCATTTTTAATATTATAGAATAGTCCTGAATTTTAAGTCTTATTTCAGAGGAAATACAGACCGAGAGTTATCAGTGAAAGTCATCATGATTTTTTGACAAAAAACAAAAACAACAGAAAAACAGGGAAATAGAAAAATAAAAATATGAACAATCCACCTTGGTGCTATGCAAGAAAACTGCTTTAGGATGCATGAAAAGATGTGGTTCAAGCTAAGCAAACAGAGGGCTCAAAATAATTTCAATTTATGTCAAGGTCAATACCAAGTACTGAAAACAAAATAAGCAACAATTGCATTAATCTCATTTCAATGGCACCAGCAGGAATATAAGGCATTTCCTAAAACGTCTCAGGCAGTCTAATTTTATTGCATTATGGAGTTAGTCAAGCCTATGCCCATCTTTGTTTTGGAAGTTGGTGGTGTCACCAGTAAGGTGACTTCAATGGAAAACTGTGACTTCAATGGAAAACAAAGAAAAAAACCTAATACCTCTCCAACATACTTCTCCAGGTTCTAATCAGCTTGCTTAGTTATACTTCCTTTTAGTCATGGGTTGCCTCTTAAGAATTCTGACAAAGAACAAAGATACATCAAGCAGGCAACACAAAGGGAAAAAAAGAGGCCCATTTCCAATGTACACACTGTATTAGATATGAATTAATTTTTCTTTAAAGAATCTGCACTTGGCCCCAGATCATAATGGGAATGCATACAGGAAAAGGCATTCACCTTCCAGGTTAATTTACTTGCTGAGACAGTAACTTCCCAAATAATACATTATTGTTAAATCACTTTTCACCTTTATTACAAGTATGCTATGTAAAGCTAAACACAGAAGATTTTCTTCCACAGACTAAATTAACTGGGAGAATATAAATATACATGTAGCTCCTGATTCTCTGTGGATAATATGTTATCTATAAGCAATTCTTCAGCTCACCTGGACTGCCTTTCAATATCCAATATTTGGGGTACCCTCCCCAGCTGCCCACCAATTATCCTGAGAGAAGGACAACTAGTTTTCATAGCAACTGAATAAAACATTTAAGAAACAAAATGATAGAATGTATTCTAAAATAAAACCTTTAAGTATCAGTATCTTTATTTCCCTCTATTTAACAACCTATCTTACTATTTAGTTAAAAGTCAGTAACAAATTATATTGTGTCTAGTCTATTCTAACATGAATGTTAGTTCTACATCAGGCAAAAGAGAAAGAGCCCTTAGACTATTCCTCTACACTAAGCAAAATCCAAGTCTTTCAATTTTAATAGCCCATAGATATATAAAATGTGTGAAAATTTATTCAAGGAGAAGAGTAAGTAAAAATTTGCAATAAATGGAATTATTTTAAGCCCTTTTTAATAAATTTGCAGCCATATGAAGACAGTTACAACCACCACGGTAGAAAAGCAACAGATGGTGCTTGACAGGCATACATTTCCCCCCTTCATTTAAAAAAAAAAATAGGAAATGCAAAAAGAAAGCAAGAGATAAACTATTTTGATTATTACCTTTCTCATATTTCTTTTTGGAAGCTGACGAAGAAGGAATCATAGGTAATTTCATCAACTCTGCACGATTTGATTCATTCAGTAGGTAGTGGGACTTATAGGCATATGAACTGAACATGGGGTCTGAATGATCCTGAACTATCAGCCCTATACGAAACAAACAGAAAGAGATGAACTGCAATGAAACTACCCATGATTCCATGAGGAGAAAAAATAAACCAGTCCCTATTATGTAGCTGTGCTTAAAATTGGGAGGAAAAAAGAAAGTATGAAGAAAAAGAAAGATCTGACAGAAAAAGCTATCTATAGTTATTAAAGGGAGTTTAAATGACTCAATGCCTTATTCCCTACCTAGAAACCTATATACCCAGAAGAAAACTCCAAATTAATTTTGAAGATGTAAACTGCATTTAACATCATATGAAAAACTCTCTATGAAAAATAAAACCACATTCCTTAATATTTAGAATTACTATAATGACAATCCAGACAACAAAATAACATATCACTTGACTGCTAGAAATGAGAACTATATCCATAATATAGAACCTTGATCTAATGTATCAAGTAGCACTTAAAGGAAGAACTGAGTCTCTCCTCTTTCCTATTCATGTCTTAGATATTCTCAAACAGGTTCTAGCTTTTTCTGCCAGATAATAAAGCTTTTCTCTATCAATACAATATGTACTTTTAAAGGGGACATACTTTGTTGAACTTTACTAAGGTAATACAAACCATTTTTTCTCTGCCATGATATAAAGTAATTAACAACTTTAAAGGTTTATAGAGTCCTTTTGATCTACCAATACAGCTCTATCTTATTTGGAGGAAGTAAAATCTGCTCTAACCCACCTGTGACATTCACTTCTCTCCCTCCCATTTCCCTTCCCCTAGTTAAGTTCATAACATAGATAAAGGCAATTCCTAAATCTGGGGAACTGTGAGACCAGGGAAAATTTCTCTATTTGGTTATTGGTCAGTTTATAATGATCTAGCACTTTATATTAAAACTAGAGGCCCGGTGCACAAAAATTCGTGCACTTGGGGGGGGGGGGGGAGTGTCTCTCAGCCCAGCCTGCACTCTATCACAATCCGGGACCCCTCAGGTAGGGTCCAGTCCCATTGCAGCATGGCTCTAGTTCCCTGGACCTGTGGGCCAGTGGGGAGGGACCAAGAGGCCAGTCTGATCGCAGCATGGCTCCGGTTCCCCAGAGCCTGCGGGCAAGGGGAGGGACCAGAAGTCAGTCCAATGGCAGCATGGCTCCGTTCCCACAGCTCCCTCCTGTCGCCGCGCTGTGGGCAGCCGGGATACAGGGCTGACTTCCGCCATGACGGCCAGGACCCTAGTGTGCTGTTTGGTCATCTGTCTGGTCGTTTAGGTCGTGACAGACCCTGGCTCTTTATATATTAGGATCATGACAACAGTTTCACAGAGATCATTTTGAGAAGAGGAAAGAGTTTTTGTTTTTTAAGGGGATACCATTTACTTTTCTGTGGATCTTATCTTCATTAGTGCTACTGTACACTGAGATATTCAAGAAATATCTCTGATCCAGATGACAGAATGGAACTTGAAATTGCTAATTGGTAATAAAAGGCATATGATGTCAAATGAATTTCATACATTTAATAGAAAAAGGTAGTGTAAAATAAAATAACGTGGGTTTTAAAATAAGAAAGATCAGGTACACATGGTCCCTCTATTTAACAACTTTTAAATATTTCATCTGGGCTTCAGTGTTCTCATCCACATAAAATGGGGAAATAACTTCTTAGGGCAATTGTGGCAATTCATTCAGATAGTTAACAGGGGTCCTCAAACTACGGCCCGCGGGCCACATGCAAATACAAATTTTGTATTTGTTCCCATTTTGTTTTTTTACTTCAAAATAAGATACATGCAGTGTGCATAGGAATTTGTTCATAATTTTTTTTTAAACTATAGTCCAGCCCTCCAACGGTCTGAGGGACAGTGAACTGGCCCCCTGTTTAAAAAGTTTGAGGACCCCTGAGATAGTATTTAGTAGAGTTTGATTTACAGATGCAAAATAAATTGCTATTATTATTATTTTTTAAAATATATTTTATTGATATTTTACAGAGAGGAAGGGAGAGGGATAGAGAATTAGAAACATTGATGAGAGAGAAACATTGATCAGCTGCCTCCTGCACACTCCCTACTGGGGATGTGCCCGCAGCCAAGGTACATGCCCTTGACTGGAATCGAACCTGGGACTCTTCAGTCCGAAGGCCGATGCTCTATTCATTGAGCCAAACCGGTTAGGGCAAATTGCTATTATTATTAAAATTAAAAGAAAACCCTAATCTAACTTCTCCGTTTAAAATTACCATTACAAAGAAAGGCATAGAAGTTAGCTAACTATTATTTTACACCAACCTCCTGATGAAAGATGCTGAGTAATATTCAAGGGTGGGCAAAGTAGGTTTACAGGTGTGAGTATGCGAAACGCAGAGTTTATTCTTGTATTATTATTTATTAATTATTGTATTATTTGTTGTATTATGTATATCTACTTTTGCACACTCCTGTTTATGACACTGAAATATAACTGAACATTTTCTATGCACCATGGGGAGGGCGAGGGAGGAGGAATGTTCCTCTAAACCAGGAGTGGGGAACCTTTTTTCTGCCAACCACTTTGATATTTATAACACCATTCTTAGGCTATATAAAATTATCAACTTAAAAATTAGCCTGTTATATTTGGTCAAACATTTAATTAACTCACCCCTAATGCCTTGGCAAGGACAGACCAAATGATTTCTTGGGCCGTACATTCCTCACTCCTGCAAACCTTAAAACATTTCTAAAAAATATTTCTAGATATTTGTGTCCTTAAGAATTAGCTTAATGATTTTAAACAAGCAATAACCAAGAACTAAGAAAAATCCTCTCAGAGGAGGGAAAAACTGTATGAGACAAGAAACAAAACAAAACAAGCTAAGTTTTCTAATAGCAAAAACAAACGATTAAAGTACTCCTTTAAATGTGTGGATTTATTACAATTAGGTCTCTTTTTAAAAAAGGAAACTGCTACAAATAATGAATAAAGAACACATATTATGTATTTCTGAAAAACTTTTAAGCCTTCTCAAATCCCAACATTTGATCAATTTAGAATAAGATTTTATAAAATTCTGGAAAGGAAAATAAAAGTTACTGTTTACTGGACAAAGTTCCAGTTAAAATACTTGGGAATTAAATAATCTTGCTTAAGCAGGCATTTAAATGTAGTAATACTTTAGAATAATTGCCAAATTGATAAGATGCAAATACAGATCCTAGTATTAAAACATGGGTTTTTCCTATTTCCATTATCTCAAGCTTTTAATCAAGGCATATAAGTTAAACTTAACAAAATGGCTAGATTTTCTACAAAACAAGGTTCCTTGACAATGGGCCATTTTTCTACCTGTCTTAAGTTGAAAATACCTGTTTTTAAAGGTTTCCCAATTATTGAATGAAATAGAGCCAAAGAAAATATTGGTTAATACATACTGATGGTACTTGATTGATTCAAAATGTACTCCCAAGTACATCAACATGAGAGTTAGTAACTTGATATTTAAAATGTTGGCTCAGTTACACATGCACAAACAGAAACACAAACTAGTAAAAGTGAGTAAAAATAAGTAACACACACTCCTAGTAAAAGTGAGTAAAAGTAAAATTAAGTGCTTTACTCATTTTTACGAGAAACACAAACCAGTAAAAGTGAGTAAAAGTAAGAAACACACACTCCTGGTAAAATTAAGTAAAGTAAGTGCTTAGATAGTAGAATAAAATACTAACAAAGCCATAGAGACTTTATGTTCTCATTGACACTCATCTGTTTAAAGGTCTCTAAAGCTAGCCACTCAATTGGATAAGTCAGTATTTCCATCCTATCATTACTTTCTTAGGGACGGGGTTTATTTTTTTTATTTGAATCGTTTTAGTCACCTGTTACAATGTGGCACGAAATATGTCAGACCTACTTCTCCATGTACCAGCCAGGTTTCAAAGAAGGATACAACTATGTAATTGCTCTAGTGAGGAAAGAAAACTCTGGCATACTGGAAGCAGTACACACAATGGACCCCGCTGGCTGCTACAGAAAGGATACCATTTATTTAAACTTTTACTGCCCACTTCCTCTAGTTATTATTTTAAAAATGTGAGACACAAAAGTAAAGTAACTCAAGATCTATAATACTACCTAAATTCTATTTAAAAATATTTTATGGTACTTTCACCAAATTAAAGAACTGTCTCCTAAAGAAAAAAAAAGATAAATATTCTGTATCATATTCGACTAATGAATTTCTATTTTATGTTTATCATGAACTCAAGCTCACTGACCTCCTGAGGGACACAATATTGTTTTTAGTTGATCAATCTCTTGACATACCTACATATCAACAGCCTGCATTTCTGGCTCTTAACTAACACCACCACATATGTTGCTTTGGCTGTATCCCATCAGGCCTTCCTCAATGCCAGACTAAAACATGATAAAATACGACATAAACGACTAAAAAATAAATGTGCTCATTTTGCCTTCCAAGTGAAATCTCAATAGGTTGTAAGCTCTGGATTAAAGAATATGACACGGGAAGGCCCTGCTTTGAATAGAAGAATTGTTTGCAGAAGGAAATAGATTAATCTTTTGATGCTCCAAGTAGAAATGCTAAGGACTTATGCATAATTCTAAGTTATTAAAAAATTCAGACTTTAGCTTAATTTATGGAAGAATTAATATTCTAACAATTTGAATGTCTAATGATATAAAAGGGACTAGCTACTGGAAATGTTCATCTGTCTTGGGGATATTATTGAAACTCTATTTTAATGCCAGTGAACTCAGAAAGAACTAAGAGAAAGGACTGACACTCACCTCTCGCACAAACGAAACAAAAGCCTACATTTACAGCAGAGGATGAATTACTGCTCCGTTTGGAATGATTACTACAGATGAGAATGTAGGAGGACACGAATATGCTTCCAGCAGCAACACAAGCATCTCCAGAGTGATAGGCTACTGGACATCTCAAACACCTCATCATGCGACCTGTTTAAAGACAAATCAAAAAGGAATCTACATAATAAGGCATCAGCTGGATATATAAAATGAAATTTTTGGAGTTGGGTTCTTTTGGGTTCCTGTGTGATGCTGAATATAGTAAGATAAAAATATTTTCTTCACTTGTTTGGCTCTGTCATTCCTATGCTATATGGCCCCTAAATGCAGCACCCTTCTAGAGATCAAAGAAATATTTGTCTGCTCCGATGCTGGGGAGATGGTGGTCTCCAATATTGCAGCTGTTTAAGGAATTTCCAAGGGTAATTTTGAACATATGGAATTTTCTTCTCATTGTCTGAATGAGAACCTAATCTCTACTTATTATGCTATCTACTGTGGCTGAGCTCATGTATCTACAGACAAACAGAGGGAGAATGCCTGATGCTCCTTATAACAATATGCTTATTATTTGCTACTGAACTTAAAAAAGTAGCTCTTTTTTATCTTAGCTCTGTTTTACCTTTACTTGCTTTGTGGATATCTTTCTCCATAGAGCAGGCAGAACAGCAGTGCTGGGGACAGCGGAATCCTTTTGATTCAAAGACGGCAGTGGGGAATTTGCGGACACAGGCTTCATGATAAAATTTCCCACAAGCACCGACAGAGCAACGCTTCACATCTGTACCAGACACCTTACATGAAAAACATGGGTGCTTTCCTGGGAAATTGGTGAAGAACAGAGATTAAATAAAAGCTAATTAAAGCATATTCCTTTTAAATAGAAGCAGCTACTGAGATGAACACGGAAAATAAATGGTTAAATTAAAATATTTAATAAATTTTGTTAGAATAATTGATTTGCTATTATAATTGACTAGAGGCCTGGTGCATGACATTCGTGCACTGGGGGTCGGGAGGGGTCCCCTCAGCCCGGCCTGTGCCCTCCTGCAGTCTGGGACCCCTTGGGGGATGTCTGCCTGCAGCAAAGGTGGGAGAGGCTCCTGCCACCAACCCTTCCTTCACCAGCCATGAGCCCGGCTTCTGGCTGAGCAGCCCTTGCTCCAGTGGGAGTGCACTGACCACCAGGGGGAAGCTCCTGCATTGAGCGTCTGCCCCCTAGTGGTCAGTGTGCATCATAATGACCGGTCATTCTGCCTTTCAGTCTATTTGCACATTAGCCTTATATTATATAGGATTTGGAGATGTAGCAGTATAAATAATTTAGATCTCCACTTTTTACTCTACACTAAAATTATTTCCATAGAAAACCCAAACCAGAATTTTTCAACACCTGAGAGGTGAGAGTGTCAAGGTCTTTCCAACACAGAATAAGTAAAAGAAACTACCAAAGAAAAGGCAGATTCCATTAGATAATCACTTAAAATTTCCATATGTAAAACAGGGATAAGATGAAAACTCAAAATTACCCCTTCAAAACAAAAAAATGACAGCTAGACATCTTATTCTAACTGTACAAAATCAGGGACAAAAAAGAAAATATTAAAATTACCCACACAAAAGACAAGTATCTTCAACAAAGCAACAATAACACTAATAGCTGACTGAAAGAAAAATAAAAACCAGAAAATAACGAGATGCTATCTTTAAAGCTGAAAGAAAATTGTTACCAAGCCAGAATTCTATATCCACTGAAAACATTCTTCAAAAATGAAGTGAAATTAATATACATTGGGAAATATTAAAAACAAAAACAAAAATTGGCACTTTGAAAAAGATTAATAAAACAGATATCCCTGCCTGGCCAGTGTGGCTCAAGGGTTGAGCATCGACCTGCGCACCAGGAGGTGGCTGGCCAGTTTGATTCCCAGTCAGAGTACATGCCAGGTTCTGGGCTTTGATCCCCAATAGGAGGTGAGCAAGAGGCAATCAATTGATGCTGCTGTTTCACTCTCATTGATGTTTCTATTTCTCTCCACCTCTCCTTCCCTCTCTCTCTAAAAATTAATAAAAACATATTTTAAAAAAGCTGATATCCCTGGTAACAATGACTAATTAAAAAAAAACACACACACAAGAAAAAGTAGCAATACATATAACTATCAGAAATAAATAATGATATATCACTACATATCCTACAAAGTTAAAAAGATAATACACGGTGATCATTACATTTTTGCCAATAAATTTTACAACTTAGATAAGTAAACAGATTCCTAGAAAAACAGAACTTACCAACAATGGCACAAAAACAAATAGAAAATATTATTAGTTATATAAACTATTAAAGAAAGTGAAACTATAATTAAAAATCTTCCAACAAAAGAAAACTTTAAGCCCAGATGGCTCTACTGGTCAATCTGCCAAATATTTAAAGGAAGAAATAATCCCAATTAGAATGGAAAAAAAGAAGGAACACGTAAAAGACAAACAGATGTGGAAAAATATATGCAACAAAGATGATAAAGGATTGTTTTGTTACACAATGTTCAAATATAGTGAAAATATATGCAACCTATATAAGCAAAGATAGCTAAACAAGACTTATAAAGAACTATCAATCAAAATAGAAACAAAATAGCCTAATAAACGCGAGCAAAAGGAATGAACAGACAATTTACAGAAAGCAGAAAGACAGCCAATAAACATGAAAAATGCTCAACTTCACTAGTAATCAGATAAATGCTAATTAAAACCACAAGTTACATTTTACTGTAAAAATTCATCAATAGGAAAAAAACTTTCAAAGTCTGATAATATCAGTTGTTGATCAGGGTATAGGGAGAAAAGGTACTCTTGCATAGTGCTCGTAGGAATTTAAATTGGAAGGAACTACTTTAGAAGGAAACAAGGCAGAATCCATTTTTCAAAAAAGTACATCCACTTTTTGCGGCCTAGAAATTATACTTCTTACTCTCTACATTAGAATAGACTTGTATACGTAAAAGGATGCTGACTAAAGCACTGTTTGTAACTGCAAACAACTGAAAGCAACTCAAACTTCCCTCAATAGGAGAATAGTTAAACTGTGACATAGGCATACTATAGAACAGCAATTGAATATATTTGCATTGACATAAAAAGAGCTCAAAAACCAATGGAAAAAATATCCTCAGGTGAAGATTAACAAAAAAAAGGTGATAATGTGAAAAAGAAATTTATATTTATTTACAGATGTAATGACTCATGCATTGATATTTTAAAACAGCAATACAATTGCTTTTTTGTAGCATAGTATAATTAACATGACTGCTTCATGGTGGTAAGGAAATTTCTAAAAGATGTTCCAAGAGACAGTATTTATTGGAAAAAAATCTGCATATAAGTGGACTCATGTAGTTCAAACCTGTGGTGTCAACTGTGATTGTTTTTGTTTAAAAAACTTTTTTAAAATCCTCACCAGAGGATATTTTTTCCATTGCTTTCTAGGGAGAGTGAAAGGGAGGCAGGTGGAGGAGCGAGACACACATCAATTAGTTGCCTCCTGCACACACCCTTATTGGGCTGGGGAACTTGCAACCAAGGTACATGCCCTTGACAGGGAATCGAACCTGGTACCCTTTGGTCCGCAGGCTGATGCTCTAAACACTGAGGAAAACTGGCCAGGGCAGTAATTGTTTTTTGTTCTTTTTAAAATTGTAGTTAAAATATAAAACATGAGCCCGGCTGGTGTGACTCAATAGTTGCGCGTCGACCCAGGAATCAAAAGGTCGCAGGTTTGATTCCCAGTCAGAGCTTGTGCCTGGGCTGTAGGCTCGATCCCCAGTAGGGGTATGTGCAGGAGACAGCTGATAGATGATGTTTCTCTTTCATTGATGTTTCTATCTCTCTATCCCTCTTCCTTCCTCTCTCTCTAAAAATCAATTTAAAAACATATTAAAAAAATATAAAACATAAAATTTGCCATTTTTAAGTATACAGTGACATTAAATCCATTTACATTATTTTGCAATCATCACCAATATACAGCTCCAGAATTTTTTCATCATCCCATACTGACTACCCACCACTCTTCTCTCCTAACCAACCCCTGGTAACAACTGTTCTACTTTTTTTTTTTTTTTTTTAATATATTTTATTGAGTTTTTACAGAGAGGAAAGGAGAGAGATAGAGAGTTAGAAACATCGATGAGAGAGAAACATCGATCAGCTGCCTCCTGCACACTCCCCACTGGGGATGTGCCCGCAACCAAGGTACATGCCCTTGACCGGAATCGAACCTGGGACCTTTCAGTCCGTAGGCCAACGCTCTATCCACTGAGCCAAACCGGTTTCGGCAACTGTTCTACTTTCTGTCTCTATGAATTTGATTACTCTAGGTAACTCATGTACTAGTAAGTGGAACCATAAAATATTTGTCCTTATAAATGGCTTATTTCACTCGGCATAGTGTCTTCAAGGTTCATCCATGTTGTAGCATATATCAGTATTTATTTCATTTCTTTTTAAAGCTGAATAATATTCCATTGTTTATTTATCCATTGTTTACTATTCTACATGTTATTTATCCATTCATCCATTGATGGACATTTGAGTTGTTTCTACCTTTTAGTCATTGTGAATAGTGCTGCAACCAACATGGGTGTACCAATATCTGCTAAGAGACCCTGCTTTCAATTCTTTTGGGTATATACCCAGAAATGGAATTACTGGGTCACATGTATTCTATGTTTAATAGAGGAACTGCCATACTGTTTTCCACAGCACTTATGCCACTTTAAATTCCCACCAACAGTGTACAAGTGTTTCAATTCATCCATATTCTGCTTTCTTGGTAATAGCCATTCTAATAGGCATGAAGTGGCATCTCATTGTGGTTTTGATTTGTATTTGCCTGATTACTAATGAATGATGTTGAACATCTTTTCATGTGCTTATTGGCCATATGTATAAGTTCTTTGGAGAAAAATCTATTCAAGTTCTTTGCCTAATTTTGAATTGGGTTGTGGGCTTCTTGTTAAGTTATAGGAGTTCTTTATGTATGATTTTGGATATTAATTCTTTGTCAGATAGGTTATTTGCAAATATTTTCTCCCATTTTGTAGGTTGCTTTTTCACCCAGTTGATAGTGTCATTTGATGTACAGTACTGTGTTGTTGTTTTTTGTAATAGAGACATCATTTTATTGATTTTTTAAAATTTTCTTTTAGAGAGAGGAAGGGAGAGGGGGGGAGAGAGAGAGAGAGAGAGAGAGAGAGAGAGAGAGAGAGAGAGAGAGAACGAACCACTGATGTGAGAAACATCCATGGGCTACCTCCTGCACATACCCCCAATCAGGAATGAAACAAGAAACCTGGGTATGTGTCCTGATTGGGAACTGAACCAGCAACCTTCTGTTGCGCAATATGACACTCAACCAACTGAGCCAATTTTTAATTTTGATAAAGTCCAATTTGTTTATTTTTTCTCTTGTTGCCTGTGCCTTTGATGTCATATCAGGAAATCACTGCTTAATCCAATGTCACAAACATTTCTTTTATGTTTCCTTCTAAGAGTTTTATAGTTTTAGCTCTTATGTTTGAACCCTGACACATTTTGAATTATTTTTTGTATATGGTTGTTAGTTAAGGTTCTAATTTCATTCTTTTGCATGTGGATATCCAGTTTTCCCAGCATCATTTGCTGTAAAGTCTGTCATTTTCCCATGAAATGGTCTTTGTACCCTTCTCAAAAAATCATTCCTGTATATGTGAATATTTATTTCTGGACTCCCAATTCTATTCCATTGGGTATATGTCTGTCTTTATGCCAGTATCACACTGTTTTAATTGATGTAGCTTTTAGTAAATTTTGAAATGAGGGCATATGAATCCTCCAACTTTGTTCCATTTAATTGTTTTTAAAGCAAATTTCCTTCTTAAATTTCTTAATAGATGTGTACCAATTTAGTTTATATCTAACCATGGCAGAATTCAGCTGGATTCCAGAGTTAGGAGAGAAGCCTCAAAAGAGTGTTTTAATACTGAGCTATTCGGTCCTTCCTATCAGTAGTTGGAATCAGAGATTGCAAACTTAAGTGTTTGAAGGGACTGGACAGGTTATATAAATGGCTGGAGTGACAGGGTTTCAGAAAAAGGGAATGACAGAGAATTGAGGAACCAGGAGTACATGCCTGATCCATGTTCACACATTCAAAACAGATTTTGAAGGACAAATAAAACAATGTGCAGATAATCTGACCCCAAGCCTGCCAGTTGGCCAATTGTTCAAATGTTTTACTGTAGGGTCTACATGTGATGAATAAAATATCTTATGTAGGAAAAAATATGTTATATGTTCAAAACAGCTTTAATAGCTTAATTTTTGCATGTGTATGTTTGTGAGAGAGCAAGAGCAAGAGCGAGAAAGCACATGTGTGTTAAAATATATGATACATGATCTCTATCCTACTTAATCAAGGTGGTAGAAGGCAATGGTAAACAGCAAGGATCCGGGGGTCAAGCTGCCTCCTGGGCATAACTGCCAGTTTCATCAACTTGTTTTCATGACTTTGGACAAGGTACTAAACTAAACCCTCTAATCCTTAGTTTCACCCTCTGCAAAATGAAAATAATAACAGTATCTATCTTATTATGCTATGAGGGTAAAATGAGATCTATATAATAAAAGCCTAAGTAACCATTACGGCGGAATGACCAGAACAACCAGTTGCTATGATGTGCACTGACCACCAGGGGGGCAGACGCTCAACGCAGGAGCTGCCCCCTTGGTGGTCTGTGTGCTCCCACAAGGGGAGTGCCACTCAGCCAGAAGCCAGGCTCATGCTGGTGAGTGCAGCGGTGGAGGGGGAGCGCTAAGGAACAGTGAGCCGAGCGGTAAGGAGCAGCGAACCGGTCCCGGACTGCAAGAAGGCGCAGGCTGGGCTGAGGGACGAGGGACATCCCCCGCCCCCGGCAGTGCACAAATTTCAGGTACTGGGCCTCTAGTAATAGGATATAATGCTTAGTATTAACAGCACCTGGCATTTACTCAGTGTTCAGAAAAAATTACCACTCTAACAATTTTAGCATGCACTGATTCAAATAAAGAAGGATAAAATCAAATAAAGAAGGATAAAACTATTTATGAGAATCCAAAGAAAAAGGGAAAAGGAGTAGGAAAATAAAGTGTCACGGGTAAGATGAGCATATCATAAATACTTGATAACCAGTTGGCTCATAGTTTCTCACAGCAAAAAATAAAACAAAAAACCGTACATAGTTCCTGGATGCACTACCATGCTATGTTCAGTTGACTCTTCACTTGCCTTGTTACAGATTAAACAACTCTACTTCCAGCTTTCCATGACTTTAAATAGAATCATGGGTACACAGGGAAGAAATACAAACTTGTCTACTTCTTTCTCTATAAATTATTTTGATAGGTGGTAGTCTGTATTGGGGTGGGGTGGTGAGAACTAAATGGTGAATCCAAAACCTGCATTTTTTATTTTTTTAAATTATTCTTAATATTTTTAACTGATTTCAGAGAGGAAGGTAGAAACATCAATGAGAGAGAATCATTGATCAGCTGCCTCCTGCATGCCCTTTACCAGGGATCAAATCTGCAAACCTGGGAATGTGCCCTGACCAGGAATCCAACTGTGTGTGACCTCTAGGTTCATGAGTCAATGTTCAACCACTGAGCCACACCAACCGGGCCAAAACCCACAAGTTTTAAAAACAATTTCCAGTAGCTCCATCTTTCCACTAAAAGTACTGTCACCATGGTTACGCTTTGCAATCGACACTTACTCTAGTCTATTGAAGTCAAGGGACTTTAAACCAATTTATTGAGCATAACAACCTTAAACCCATTTGAAAAATAATTTACTCTATATACTTTGTATAGCTCTTTAGATAAAATACAAGTACATCTGGATGAATTGATAGATTTTTATGATTAAGGCACAGGTAGGAGGAAATTTTGTAATAATATTGCTAACTACTCTTTCAATTTTATGAAGCCTAAACAGCAAATGATCTTCATTTGTTGAAATACTTATGGGAGAAGAGCTACATAACAGCGGTAAGAAAATTAGATATCATGGCAGGTGCTGGCATTGCACATTCCTCCTTATCCATCTTTTCATATCTACCAAAACAAGAAAGCTCACCGGTTTTACATTCCATGCAGATGAACTTCCCATCGGGGAGTGATGTCACCCCCAGGCACTCCAGGTGAAAGTATTTGTAGCACTCTCCCTCACAAGGAATCAGAGAGTCACCAGAGCTTTCACAGATCTGCAACAAAGCAAAGAGCAGTGGGTCTCAAACTTTAGCAGGCATCAGAATCACCTGGAGGGTCTATTACAACACAGAGCACAGGGTTCCTCTCCTATAGTTTGATTCAGTAGGTGTGGGGGTGGGGGAAAAGAATATGCATTTACAAGTATCCTGACAATGCTGCTGCTGCTGGTCCTTGGCCCTCACTGTGAGAACCACTGAACTAGATAACTATTTCCAGACCCAATATGGTATAGTTTAAAAGTCAAACTTAATCTTTTATGATTCCGTTTTTGGAATCTGGATACTTACAGTTTTTTCACAGGGCAAAGCAGCATTTTTCAGAAAGGGTAAAATACATTAAAAACTTAATACCAATTTAAGAAAATGGTTTTGAAATCAGTCATTTGCCACTTACTTCCATTTCATAACACAATCTCACAATGGAGATTTATATCTGCATATGAATAGTACATATTCCAACTCAAAAAGTGAAGAGCCCAAAATGGCTTTTAGATCTTGCTTTAAACCAGTATCATAATTTAGAAAGACACTACCCTCTCCAATAGGTGGTAAATTAATTTATTACTGGCAGAGTATGATAGCAATTCTTTCAAGCTATAGGACAGGCCACTTGCCTACCTGACACACAGTGTCCTTCTTACTCGTTCCAAAGCCTCTTCTTGACAAACTTGAGTCCACGGACTGCACATCAGAAATGTCTGCATCTGCAGTAGCTGAAGGGCTATCTACTTGCTTTCCAAAGCCTACCTACATGGAAAACATAGCACATTTTTAAGAAAAACAAAACAAAAATTTCCTCAGTTAGGTGCTATAAAGATCCTAGTAAGAGTTGCTCAAATAAACCTGGACACGACCTCTTTCCTTTCTTTCTAAAACATCTGGATACCATGTCTGGTGTTTTGACAAAAACTTTAGTTAAAAAAAAAAAAAAAAAAGCTATGCTTCTGTTATGTAAGAAACTAGCAAAATTAAGATGCGCATCATTACAAAATAACCCAAATGACTTCTTCACTGTGAATATTTTAAAAATCCCCATGCTCCCAAAGAAGTTGGGTAAAGCAATTATGTATGTTACTTGGTTTTGCAAAGCAAAAAAGTGCACTGTGCTCAGACCCTTGAACATATTTACCTGCAGGTCACTCAGGCCTCTAGAATCAGAGTCAGATGTGTCTCTGTATGCTGAACTAGTCATTTCTACATCAGTTGAGGCGCGACTCCTTTTCTTTAGAGGTTTACAGGAATCTGAAATCTCGCTGGCACCTTAATACAATACACCGAAATTAATCCTAAAATAGTGCTTAAAGTTTGTTCTGTTAACTTTTTTGTGGGAGAATATTTTCTTTCCCCAAACTCATCTGTGGTGTGAAGAAAGCACAGCTCCCTTTGTAACACTGAAGTCACGAGTCAAAACTTCATAAGCTTCTGACTTTTCCTCACAGTGATTTCTTTACAACCGCTCTATTAAAACATTTAATGCAGTGCCCCTGTTCTAAAGCTATTTTCAGTCAACAGAGCCCAAATTCCAACCTAAAAACCAATTCTACCAAAACTACACGATAGCTGATTTGTTTGGAACCATCCAAAGAACCATTCAATTTGGAGGGGGAAGACATAAAACCCAACACACTATGTAGCTTACAGATATGGTCGCAGAGACATCTCCAAATTGTTTTTATTAGGGATGTGACAAATCTCTGATTTGTATTCGATTCGTACACGGATAGTGCCATTTTCCCCCAATTTTGCAATTTAGTTGAGTATTGCCCCCCCCCACCAATAAATTCTGGATGTTCATAATTGTTCATCTGAGACTTCCTTGGTGAAGTGTCATTTATTGTGACCATTAACAAGTGCTGCAGCACATCTACACATGTCATGCCATGTAGGAGGCACATTGCTGAGGGCTGTAAACAGACAATCAATGTTCAAGTGCAGCCAAATCACGAAGAGCTGGATGAGCGGCCTCTATGTGGAATTTGTGCGGGAAGAAATAAATATGGAAAAAAAAGGCAGAGAATAGTGTGGAATTTTTTTTAAAACTGTGTGTAATACAAATCCAGCCAAAACAATAGTGCAAAAAGTTACAAAGCAACAATCTCTTGGGCTAATGCAGTATAGGCTATACAGAAACAGCCACGATGAAATGTGCAGATCAGGCACGGTGAATACCAAGGAACCAAGGAGACGGTTAATATTTCAACCCACAGTTTGTGTTTTGGATATTTCCCCCAAATTTTCCATACAACAAACAGACTCTAGATCAGCCCAGCAAGCTATGGTGGAAGTGTGCAGTCCAGAAGAGACCATGGAGAAACAAGTCTCCCAGGGCCATGAAGATCCGCAACAGGCTGAGTGAGAGTAGCACTTGGTACATAGCCATGTTCTGTGGTGGAGGATGTGGGTCTCTTTAGACTGCTCAGATTACTGGAACCTCGTTATCACATCCCAGTCTACAAGTTTTTCACTGAATGTTTCCTTACATCTATAAATGAGGGTGCCTGCCCATGTTAACGCTGATTAAAAAACACAAGTACACAAATCTATCTCCTTCATTGCTGGTGTATGGACCCAGAACACCACCATAAAATATTTCCTTGGCCTAAAAGATCACTGGATTAACAAGGAGTTTTAACAGAGGAACAGGAGTGCTGTACTGAGGCTTTCGAAGGGAAACACAGGTACCGCCATTTCCGATGAGTTTCTGAAAATGCTAGAAAAATGACAGACTGCCAAAGACAGCTGCCATACTTATGTTCTCCATGATAACAGCACTAACATTAAAAAAAAAAGCTTTTAATTATTGTAATGTACACAGTTTGGGCTGTTTGGCAAAACCCTGCAGACGCGCATTAATGATGCTTTATTTAAAAACAAAAAACAAAAACAGTCCATGTTGAAATTGATCAGTGTAAGTTAAACGGTGGTTTTTAGGCTGGACCCATGATTTAAGCTGTACCTATCCAGCTCAGACCAAGAAAAAAAAAATCATTTGAATGTTAAAGCAATTGTTCAGAGTCTTGAAGAAGAAACCAGTCAGGAAAATGCCAATAATGATGATTGGCAAAATCAAAATTGGAAACAAAGAAACTGTTTATCGAGCCGCCGACAAAGAAATCTTGCATGGAGACTACAAGTCTGGAGTTTCTGGGATGAAATTGTACAGGAATCTCAGTCCACAGTTTCCTCAATCGCTGCGGAGACGGAGCTGTCACTGAATCTGACAGAGCCCTGCACTCCCCGGTCCGCCGACCCTGTGGAATGGTGGAAACACAACGCAATCAGGCCTCCTAATCTCGCAGCGATCGCGATGTCTTTTCTTGGAGCTCCGCCAAGCAGTGTTCCCTCCGAGAGGCTGTTCAGTTCTGCTGAGGATCTCCACGGAGACCATCGCTGCAGACTTCTCCCCGAGAATGCAGAGAGGCTGGTGTTTTTTATTTTTTAATAATGCAATTTGCCCAGAGTAAACTACAGGTATTAAATACAGTCTGAATGATCTCACCAAAAACGCACGAATCATGCTATGGAGTTTGTACTGTAGTCAAATTGCACACAGAAAATACAGATATAAGTTTAAGGTTTCTTAAACTTTGTGCATATCTCAAATAGATTTGCATTAAGGTCATCTAATAATGGCCATAAATATGCTATGAATCATTTTAATTTACAAAAAGATTTTACAGCACTGTAAAAATAAATGTGGCAAGATATTTTTTCAATCAGGTTGTCTCGTCTGATTTGTCATAGTCCATGTTTGACAAACATTAATAGGTACTATTCGGTATTCAGTCGAATACCAAAAAAAGTGGATTCGTCACATCCCTAGTTTATAAACCAGTGAAACCCCAGAACCTTATGGAGAAAAGTTGGAAACAGTATCAAGTCTAAGTGGTGTTCTCCAATTTACATAAAACAAATAAGACTTTTCACATGGAGGTACAGAATAGTATCAACTCTAGAAGTCACACACACACACACACACACACACACACACCGGGGAATACTTCCATTTCACACAAATTATTGACTGAAGAGCAACAACAATGATTTACAGAGACAAACAAAAATACATGAAGTACAAATAATTGTTTAAAACTGGTTTTAATCAAGGAAATGAAAATCAACATTATAAAACTCACCTTTCTGTAATCCAGTCTTCACTGTAGTCTGAGGAACTGTTTCAACCTGTTTGGACAGAAAAATCAGCATTAATGAGGAATTTTTTTTCACTTTTAATTAACAGAGGGAAAAAATAATACTTCTATCAATCTAAGTAATGATGAGTGGTTAATGTATCTGAAATCCGAACTCAGTCCCATCTGCTGGGTAAAAGTCTCTGTCTCAAGGTCAGGGAGGGTTTAAATCCTAACTGCCTGTGCTGAATACCAAGTGTCAACACACAGCCACATGCTCTCTAGCATAGACTTTCCCACCATTCCCTTGGTAGATTAAGAGAACAAGAATACTTTCCTCAGTGTCTGGGAGGCAGGAGAGGGGTTGTTTCTGCAACCATCCCGATGTTGCTATAAACCCCTCCCGCCCCAAAGACGTTAGGATAAATTTTTACTTACTATGATACTCAGGTTAATGTAACTCACGCCACTTTAAGACCCTTCCGCGCCTGCACTCACAGCTAAGTTGCTGGGAATCAGGACCCTCTCTGTAGAGGGTGCTACAGGGCTCCATACAGCTGGAAGCTCAATACTTTTGCTGCTAGTACAAACTTAATAAGTTTGTGATATTGCAAAAGCACTTTCTTGAGTGTCTTATGAACAGTGTCTTGATCCTACATTAGGAGAGCGAGATCAGAAGTTATTCTGCCAATGTATATGTAAAACACGTGGAAATTTGAGGATTGAACCATTAGAATTAAAGAAAGGATGCTGTTTGGAGGAGTTCCTGTTTAAGCTATGAATTGAATTTTATGTTTCTTAAAGATGTGGTGAAATATGCATGTTGAAACACATTTTGTAAATATTTAAGGATTGTTCTAAGCTTTTAAAAAATATTTTTATTTTTTTTACAACAGGTAAAAAAAACATACAACAGAAGCGCTTTTATAGGATACAATTAGTAATACAAATATAAAATCTTCTAAACAATCACTGGTATTGTTCTACTACTAACTATAACACAGTGGCATTAACAATTTGTCCCATTTTGTACTTGTTCTGCTTATTAATTTTAAACTGACTGGTCACAGACTGAATTTGGAAACGAGCAAAATCACAATTTCATTTTGGTAATGAATACTGTAGGTTTGCAAGAGCTTAAAAAGATTTTTTGGAATATGATTTCTTAAGTACAAAAGTTAATTATGATAAATGAATGACAAATTAGTAATTATTGAAAATTTTAGTTAACTATTTCTGGAAAAATTGTTTTACATACTTGATGATACCATAGAGCACCCACAAAGTCACCTTTTAAGTTTGGAAGTTTAAAATTATGAAGAAAATAAATAGGAAATTTCACACTCTTCCATATCAAGTGGTTTTAAAAATATAAAGCTTATTGGAACTAATATCATTCAGAATTGTCTGTTTAATAGCAGCTATCTGGGCTGTAAAAATGGATATTTTTTCAGTTTAATAAATTAAGAAAAATTCTGATTGTAAGTTTAATTAAAGGGATTATGGTTTCTAAAAATGTCTTTGAAAAGGTAATTTAATATGAATATCACTACATTGATTACACTGGTTTAAACCCCTTCAAAAATGCTCCTCCTCTTCCCTCACCCCACTTGAAACATGTTTATCTGATAACCCAATAACAGGTGAGTGCAATTCCATTGGGAAAATAACATTCCAAAAAATCTGTGATACCAACAGAAAAACCAGATCAACTATGATCATCTGTTTCTTAAATATAATTCTTGTACTTAAATTAATTTGATTTGTTTAAAAAATAAAAACAATACATACCAGCAGCTTAAAACAAAAATAAAAAAAAATTTTTTTTTTTAAAAGGGAACTCACTCACTGATGGTTCCAAATAAAAATCATGAAAACATGAAATCATTTTGCTTATAACAGAAATTTCATAATAAATGTGAGGACTTCTTTAAGTCTTGCACCACTGGCTTCCCATCTCCCGAAGCCTGACTGTGTTCTGTGAAAATGCTTGAAGCAGAATCACAGGGATGGCTGGGTTAAAGCAAGGCCGTGGAATTCACTAGGACAGAAGCATTAGATAGTCCAGAAAGGAAACCCAGGGTGGGGAAAGTTTTTCTTTAAGGTACCAATATTAAGCCACAACATTTACAAATACAATGCTTTAACTCTCTACATGTAGGAAGCCAACCTGCTCCTTTTTGATCTTCTTCTTTGGCACAACCTCAGTGGATTTCTCTGATTCGGAACGAGTTCTAATTGATCTTCTCTGTTGCTTCTTTTCTGAGCCTAAAATATAATTTAAACAAATAAATAAAAACTCATTTAAGGATGGCTTGACATTTATGTAAGATCTGACCAAATTCCCTGCGTTTCTAAGTTGCAGAGACATAGTTTAGTCTTCTTGAAAGCAGATGAACACATTTACGTATCTATAATTGAAGAGATGAAGGGATTGAGATGGATGACAGCGACTTTATTCTCAGTTGACATTAGGAAATACTGATTCAAAATTCAATCAGTACTACATATTTTGCATTTTAACAAATGAATTAATTCAATATGTAAGTGCTTAACAGTGCTTAGTGCACTTAATACAAGTATTGTTATTGTTATATTATTAACAACAAAAGGGGAAAAGGTAGGAAATGCACAAAAAATGCTGGCCAAAACCAAATTATTAACGTGACTATCAAGGGACTTGTTATAACAGAAATACTTAATCGTTGAAACAAATTTTCAAGTGCTTTAATGTTAAATGGTAAAACAAGAAGCTACTGAGATTTTTAAACAGTAAAATTCTTTAAAAGTAAACAGAAGATGACTCACATGGACCCCATTTTGGAAAGGATAAAACTTAGATTGAAGATCACAACTTGAAAGACTACTATATCAGGAATGATTTCATTCTGTGACCCTGAGAAGGAATGGTACCTTCAGTGCAGCTGTTCTCCGTCTTTTAAGTGCTTGGACCACCTAAATGGTCCTTCCTAGATAATAATCATCTTTCACTTACCAAAGGAGAAAGCTGCTAAGACTTCCTATAAAATCAGGCAGAAGCTGCTTCAGTAAAGCCTTCATATCACCTGCATAGTATTTTGTTTCATTGTTCTTGCCTATGTGTAAATAGATTCATTGGTTTCATTGTTCTTGCCTATGTGTAAATAGATTTTTTCACCTTAGTTCAAGGCCAAAACAGAGAAGGATCCCACTACCTTTGTTTTGGGGAAGGAGTAGGTAGTTTGATAATGACATATTTTTTCTGAGCTGTAGTTAATCATTTCTCGCAGAGAAGTCACAAATGAAGTTGCTAACCCCTTCCTTTACTCTTACTGATGAAAATGTTTATCAAAACAACAGATATTCTGCCCTCATAGACACCTGAGTATACTAGAAATCCATACTTTAGTGTACTTATCAATGTTCGAGTACCTACTAGGGAAGAAGAAAATGAAAACAGAACTGCTTAAAACAAACAAAAATCTCTACTTGTTTTGAGGATGACAACATAACTGTTCCATAAAGTACAGATATTTGAGGTATTGTCTTATAGAAGATAAGGCAACACGACTTCTTAAAATTCTGAAAGCTACCCATAGAACACATAAATTCCACTACTTTTAAAACCACTAAAAAGTATGTTTACATTCTAAGAAAAGGAGGTAACCATCTTTGGGTTTGGAAAATAGCTTAGAAACCGAGTATAAATGCAAATGCAATTCTACAAACCATAGAAATGCAGCTGTGCCACACACTCTATGCATCCCCTAAATTTACTAGGAAAGGCTTAGGAATTCTCCCTAGGTAGTTAACACCCGTTGAGATGATGATATAACTTGTTTCAGGAGGAAAAGAAAATCTTTTTTCTGACTTTCAACTACAGGCATACCTCAGAGATATTGTGGGTTCAGTTCCAGACCATCGCAACAAAGTGAGTCGTAATCTTTTGGCTGGTGGAGGGTCTTGCCTTCAATTTGGAAGAAATGCAACATATGTGAAGTGCAAAAAAAGAAATGAAGCACAATAAAACGAGGTATGCCTGTACTGAAGTTATTTTTATAAGAAGCAAAATGGTCATTTAAAATGACAAAATACACTTATCAACACAGCGGTAACCAAATTTAAGCCAAGGTCAAAGCTTTAGTACACTCATCCTGCCCTGAATGGTTTGGCTCAGTGGATAGTGTCAATCCTTGGACTGAAGGGTCCCGGGTTTTATTCCACTCAACGGCATGTACCTTGGTTGCAGACTTGATCCCAGTCAGGGTGCGGTGCAAGAGGCAGCCAATGGATTTGTCTCTCTCACATCGATATTTCTCTCTCTCTTTCCCCCTCCCTTCCACTCTCTCAAAAAATTAATGGAAAAATATACTCCAGTGAGGATTACAAAAAAAACCCCAAAAAACAAAAACAAAAACAAAACACTCATCCCTATATTAAGGTCCCAACATTAATTTACAGCCTAATTATATGTGCTTGCCTAAGGAGGAAACTGGGCTTTTACCAGATATAAAGAATGATAAAATTCCACGTTACCATTCTCTTATAAGAAAGTAAAGAGAAAAAGTACATTGCAGAACTTAAATCTTACAATGAAAAGACTACATGAAAATAAAATGTTCTGTAGCTGAGAAGGAAAAAAATCAACTCAATTAAAAATACAAGTATAGACTGGCCAGTGTTGCTCAGTGGTTGAGCATTGGCCCACAAACCAAAGGTTCTAAGGTTCAATTCCCAGTCAAGGGCACATACATACCTGTGTTGCAGGTTCGATCCCCAGCCCCGGTCGGGGTAATTGCAGGAGGCAACCAATCGATGTGTCTCTCTCACTGTAATGTTTATCTCTGTCTCTCTCCCTCCTTTCCTTCCAGTCTAAAATCAATGGAAAAATATCCTCAGATGAGATTTAAAAAAAAATTAAAAAGTCCTGGCCAGTTTGGGTCAATGGTGAGAGAACTGGCCCGAGGATTAAAGGGTCTTGGGTTAGATTCCTGGTCAAGGGCATGTATCTCGGTTGCAGGCTCAATCCCTGGTGAGAGTGGGAGACAACCAATGCATGTGACTCTCTCACATCAATGTTTCTCTCTCCCCCTCCTCTCTCCCTTCCACTCTAAAAATCAATGAGAAAAATATCCTTGAGTGAGGATTTAAAAAATAATAATAACAAAATAAAAAATAAAAAAGTATAATTTAAGACCAGTCTAATATTATATGAAGAATTTACTTTCTCCCTAGTTAGGAGAATATAGATGTTTAAATAAAGATCCTCCTAGTCTATGTATCATATTTAAATTCAGATAAATCACCAACAGTTTAATGTAAAGAAAGACAATAAAACTGATTATGGAGAGCTGAGGCCAAAAGAGTATTTTAATGTTCAAAGAAAGAAACAAATATTTTCAATTATGGCTAATTAATGTAAAATCTAAGTCCATTTATTCATTCCTTCAACATAATAATTTCATTTGTTTACACAGTATTTTGAAATATGTAGTAGGCAGTTAGACAGGCATGAGCAGAGCAAGGATGATAGACCAGGTACGGTAGGTCACCAGGTTGGAAAGCCCCAGGTACCTAGCAATGGGCAAAAGTGGGAAAAACAATTACTGTAGAGGGGGACCTTGCTCCCAGGGTAACCTCTCCTCTTCCAACAAGCGTATCACTGGTATGAGGTTTAGACCTTCTGACCTTCATATCACTTGTCGTGGAGTTCGGACCCCCCCCAACCCCCATCTTTCCTCCCCTGGCATGTTGCTAGTCATGGGGTAGACTCCTTTAGAGGAGGAACAAGGGGGCCAGAGGTTAGCCTCACATGACTCCCATACAAGCCCATGCACAACCACTCCCTTAAGCACATTAAGCCCTCAGGACAATGAGGTTCTAACCTGCATCAAATGTTCTTGGAGGCAGAGCCTCAGGGTCTGCTGACCACAGACTCAGAGCTTTGGTTAAACTAGAGATGACATTTAGGCCTCAGTTGTGCTTCAGCTCCAGGCCCAGAAAAGCACCAAAACCAGACTAACCTACGCCATATCTGACATCATGAACAGATGCAACAACTAATGACCCCGGGCCCTTGCACTGAAAATCAGTGGAGACTGACCCGGAAAGGACACACCTGGAAAGCTGATGAATAGTCTACTGAGATACTCCCCTAAGATCCCCACCTTTAGAGAGCAGATAAAACACCCCCTAGCACCCAGCACCAGCCAGCACCTTTCCCCACTCTCTCCTTCCCCCAGGCACCTGCTCTCCACATTTCTTTTTGCTAAGTTCCAAGGGCCCTTCTTTTGCCTCTGTAACTCATTTCCTGAGCCCTCGAAGCCCACCTGACTCACCTTTGCTATCTCTGTGACTTTCTAAATGAAGTTTCTCTTATAATTTGAGCTTCTTGGCTCTGAATTCTTTCTTTGCCAAACTGAAGTATTGGGATTTACTGAACGCGAGGTCTGGTAACATTCTGGTTCCATTTTGTCCCTAAGACTTCCCCTAACCCCTGAAAATGAAGGTCCCATGGAGCTCTTTCTCCAGGAAGCATGGTCTGGGCCATTCCCTTCCCCTTCTTTTCCCCCATAGGCATGCATCACCTAACTTCTAAGGGAACCCATGAGACTTGTAACTAGGAGAGCAATGGGCAGCAGCAGCTCAGGCTAAACCTCTGAGCCTGTCCCCAAGGCCCCCTTTTCTCTGACTAGGCTCTCTTATTGCTTCTTCTATGCCCTTCCTTGTTTCACTGCACTAAATATATTTTTGCTGCATTCAAATTCTTGCTTGCTTTTCTACACTTTGTCTCTTGATTGAAATCTTTCCTTCAAGAAGACAAGAACTGAAGTCTTGTCATCTTGCTGGTAACACCATTATTTAAATTCCTGTAGGAAAAATAACTGTTACTATAAGCTCTCTAGCCCCTAAACCAGTGATGGTGAACCTTTTGAGCTCAGCGTGTCAGCATTTTGAAAAACCCTAACTTAACTCTGGTGCCGTGTCACATATAGAAATTTTTTGATATTTGCAACCATAGTAAAACAAAGATGTATATTTTTGATATTTATTTTATATATTTAAATGCCATTTAACAAGAAAAATCAACCAAAAAATGAGTTCGTGTGTCACCTCTGACACGCGTGTCATAGGTTCGCCATCACTGCCCTAAACCATTCTTTCCTATTGAAATAATTGCTTTTATAGTTTGATTTTTTAAAAATAAAATTAGATTTTGATCACTTAAAGTTTCTTAGGAACATAGCTACCATGTTATAGTAGAGCAGAACTATGACCTCAAAATGGATCAATATACTCTTCATTCATACCCACCTGCAGAACCAGATGTTGCTTCAGGAGATGATACATTCTGTGTTGCCTTTTCATTTCTCTGGTTTGGTGTAGAAATTATAAGTCTGTCTTGTCCCCTGACACTTATTTCCGTTTTGTTACCAATTCCCTTCAAAATAAGGCAAATAAAAAATAGGTATCGGGGACATATGTAATACTTTCAACAATAAAGATTTTAAAATATAGCTCAAGATTATAATTTGCTTGAATTTTATATGGCCTTGATTGCAGCTAATTATCTGAGTCATTATCAGAACAATTTTATTAAAAGTCATCAGGGTGAATTCCAAAACGTACAATGAGATAATGTAGAAAAAAAACCTATATGTCTAAGTCCAGATGATGAATATCACTAAAAAATATATGTGTATCACACAATTTTCTGTAAAAAACAAAGTATTTTCTGGTCTGAACAGTCTCTCCCTTCACTCATGTCACAGTAAGAGAACTCTAGGCATCTTCATTTGGTGAAGTACTCTACTACACAGCTGAGACTTTCAACAAATCTTGAAAGACAAGAACATCCATAGATACAGAAACATGCCATTCATGGTGAGCAAAATGTGCACCCAATAAGCAATTTGGAACAGACAGGTTTAGGTATTTTTAACACACTGAAAAAAAAGGAGTGATTTATAAATATGTATATATATATTTTTATAAGCTTTCATTTATAAAAGGTCAGTTTTATCTCAAATTTCATTTACACAGCACTCTTTGGAGAGGGTTATAAAAATTTGATCTGTGCATCTAAAAGCAGATAAAAAACTAGCTCCACTACTGGAGCCAATCTGCATTCAAAACAGATATAGAGTGCTCATTTGCCATTCAAAGCTATGAACAGGCCCTAACCGGTTTGGCTCAGTGGATAGAGCACTCAGTGGACAGAGCGTCGACCTGCGGACTGAAGGGTCCCAGGTTCGATTCCGGTCAAGGGCCTGTACCTTGGTTGCGGGCACATCCCCAGTAGGGGGGTGTGCAGGAGGCAACTGATCAATGTTTCTCTCTCATGATGTTTCTAACTCTCTATCCCTCTCCCTTCCTCTCTGTAAAGAATCAATAAAATATATTTAACAAACAAACAAAAACCAAAGCTATCAGCAGAACCACGTGGGAACTGAACTGTAACTTAAGTTTTTCCAAGCAGTTTGGCCTTAATGAAATCAGTTGCACCTAAAGGCAGAAACAGGCAGAGGACCTTACACTTTTCTGTAGGGAAACATATCAATAATAAAGCATATCTATATTTAATTATTTTAATGTCCATATGACAATGTTAGGAAATAGAGATTTCTTTAAAAATATACATCCATGAGGTGCCACTAACTCGAATTCACAAGCCCACGATTGTGGTACTGGTGGGAGGTAGTGAAGAGGTCTATGGAATAAGTATTATAAATCTTATGAAAGAGTTTTAAAGTATTAAAACTAAAGTATAAGTACACTAAATGGAGGCCTGGAGCTGGCTGATAGAGACATTCAGTTCCAAGAAGCTATTTTCACCCCATACCCAAGCTATACCACAGTTAAAGAACTAACGTAAGTTCTGGTATTTCTCTAAAATACATCAGCTATCCCAAGCCAACGTGAGCTTAACAAAATTGCTGGTGCAACCAAACAGATTGCTTGCACCCAGCACCAGCCAGCACCTTTCTCTACCCTCTCCTTCCCCCAGGCACCTGCTCTCCACCTTTCTTTTTGCTAAGTTCCAAGGGCCCTTCTTTTGCCTCTGTAACTCGTTTCCTGAGCCCTTGAAGCCCACCTGATTCACCTTTTCTATCTCTGTGACTTTCCAAATGAAGTTTCTCTTATAATTTGCATTTCTTAGCTCTGAATTCTTTCTTTGCTGAACTTAAGTATTGAGATGTGCTGAACTGATTGATTAGTGGGTACAATTATTTCAAAGGTTAATTCAGATAACTGACAAAATGATTTAATAAGAAGCACACTTTTCAACTAAGAAAATTTAACTATACAAACTTAGAAACAGGCAAATTGCCCAGTTTTTTTCCATGACTTTAGGGAGCTAGGCTAAATTTTGGCTGCACAGCTAAAGATTAATCAAGTTCAGATGGGGATAATACAAAAGATGGGGGAGGAGAACACAGTCTTTTTGCCTGTGTCTTTTTTGCCCTATGTGCAACAGAGTAAACTGGCTGTACATTTCAAATGCAGTGGATATTTAAATTATGACCCGGTGTTGTGTCTTTTTTAAATGCCAAGGTTAACTACTTATTAAACACCATTTCCGGGGGGGGGGGGGACCATACAACGATATGAAAAAAGGAGGTACCTTTGTTGAATAAACAAACTGATCGATAAATTTCCCATCTCCTGTAGCATTCTGAAGAGCAAATACTTGTTCAATTTTCACAACTGGAGACATGTTGCACTTCTGCAAATCCAAGCTCCCTTTGTGCATTGTAATAGAAGCTGGTAACGATTTCCTGGCTGCTGCTGTTTTCCAGGCTATTTTAACAGGAGGTGGTTCTTCCTCTTCCACACTCGTGTGCCGCCTCTGGCTATGTCTCCGAATCTCAGTACTTGATAGTGAGGAGGCCACCTCACCTGTATTGGTCTGTTCTGGCTGAGTATTCAGCACTGATCTTGGTCTCCGGGGTTTTTTAACTTCCGCTTTGGAGGCAACATTCTTTTTCGCTTGGGATAAAGACTCCTCAGGCTGTTTATCAATATAGATAAAAGTATACTGTTCTATTCTTTCCTCTCGGGTCATTTTCAATGCTTTCTCTGCATGGGCAATGCCAATATCCCATTGAGCACGTTCTCTCTGTGGTCGGGGTTTCCGAATCTTTAAAGAGAGATATAGGCATTATCAGACACACTTCAAGCTAACAAGTGCACTTAAACCACAGGTATTTCCCATGTGAGCCTGTCATCTTTCTAGGTATACATAAATATCTTCAGGTTCTTCAGTCAAATCAATGAAATGTTCTTACGTTATAACTTGGATAAATTGGTATTACTATTGGATGACATGCAGGTCTATTCCCTTTTATAAATCCCCCTTTGGTGACCACTCTTCATAAAAAGTTAGTAGTAATTCCCCAGCGTGGCTCATGGTTGAGCATCGACCTATGAACCAAGAGGTTACGGTTAGATTCCTGGTCAGGGCACATGCTCAGGTTGCAGGCTCAATCCCCAGTAAGGGACATGCAGGAGGCAGCCATCTATGATTCTCTCTCATCAATGATGTTTCCATCTCTCCCTCTCCCTTACTCTCTGAAATCAATTATTTATTTATTTATTTATTTACTTTTAAAAGAATGCTACCCCTACAGCTGCAGGGTGCTACAGAGATCACAAAAAAGCTAACAGGCCGAAAACGGTTTGGCTCAGTGGAGAGAATGTCGGCCTGCGGACTGAAAGGTCCCAGGTTCGACTCTGGTCAAGGGCATGTACCTGGGTTGTGGGCACATCCCCAGTAGGAGATGTGCAGGAGGCAGTTGATCGATGTTTCTCTCTCATCGATGTTTCTAACTCTCTATCTCTCTCCCTTCCTCTCTGTAAAAAATGAATAAAATATATTTTTTAAAATAAAAAATAAAAAAGCTAACAGGCACTTGAAGCCAGCATTTGAAGCTGTGCTGCTATTTTGTAACAATGCACACAGGGGCAGAATGGGGAGAGAAAGGAGAGAGCCCTGAGGAACAAATGTAAGTTGACAAGACATAGTAAAGCAGAAATGTATGAGAGAAAAAGTAAACCTGAATCAGAGTTTTCATAGGTATCTATGTCCAGGGTTGATTAAAAAAAAAAACTTTGGATTGGCAAGAAAGGTACGGAAACTCTAAATAGCCATGTGAGATGACCAAAGCAATTAAAAATTATCCAGGGGGTTAATTTCTGACCGAGATAGCCAGAAATTAGCTAAAAAACCATGAGATGTTATAGTGTATGTCAAACACTGATGTATAAATCTGTAAAATGTTAAGTGGGATAAAATTAATCAAAATCCTGTGATCAATTTTAGTTTTTAAAGTGTAAAAATATGACAAATTACTGAATCACAAGAGACCCACACTAAAATTAATTAGTTGAGTTTAAAAATCTCAACCAGCCCACCCAGTATGGCTCAGCAGTTGAGCATCAATCCAGGAACCAAGAGATCACTGGTTCGATTCCTGGTCAGGGCACATGTCCAGGCTGCAAGCTCGATCCTTGGTGGGGGGCATGCAGGAGGCAGTCGATTGATGATGTTTCTCTATGACTGATGTTTCTATCTATCTATCCCTCTCCTTTCCTCTCTAAAAATCAATGGAAAATATCTTTAAAAATATTTAAATATCTCAACCAAACAGAGTATCACAAGTTTATGTCAAAATTCTAAAATATCTACCACCACATCAAACATGTTTCTTGGTTCATCACCTGTGTGACCTGAGTTGAACCAGTTAAGCTTTCTGTCTTGATTTCTTCATCTGTAGAAACAAGAATAATAGTATCTACCTCATTTAAATTTTATGAAGATTAAATACAAGCATTGCCTCTCTCACAATAGATACGAAATAGTTTTAAAACTTTATGTTCATAAAAATTTTGCTAAATAAGAATGAAGAACAAGTATGGAAAGATGTTAAAATAGAAAAAATAATAAAAATCCTTGGCAAAATCCATATTTCACTAGCATCTACTAGACTTATATATGTTAATTCAATTCAAAATAGAATCCAACATTATACTGAGTAGACAGGTCAAGTTTTTAATAGTACTATATCACTTACAAAACTATTTACATAGTAAGTTATTAAATTGGAATACAAGGAATGAAAAGAACAAGTCATTCTAACAATTGTCTGAATTCAAGTATTAAAAGTTCTACTAAATTATGAAGTCCTTTAAAAACTATATTTGCTTGATAATGTTAACATGTTGTCAATTACCTTTTGTTTCTCAGAGTGATTGCTGGCTTGTTTGGTTGCCTCTGCCAGTAATTCTTCATATTGTTTATGACCTTTATACTCTCGTACCCGTTTTTCATGTACCCATGCCCTCTCTGGTTGGTTGCTAAAAAATTGGACGTGATATTCCCGGGCACCTGAAAGTAAAAATCCTTATTAACCATTTCAGAACATACTCATGCACATATACTTTGCAAAAAACATGAACCTAAGCTGGTTACCTAGTATTATTCCCATTAAAAGCTGTAGTTTTGCAACAGGAAATGTTCGCTTGACATGACAACTTAGCATACTTTCAATGGCAGTAGTTAAAACACATGTCAGTTCCTCAAACATCTTTCTGTAAAATCTTCACACACATTTCAAGCACATCCTTTTTTTCTTCTGTACATACTAGAGGCCTGGTACACGAAATTCGTGCATGCGTAGGGTCCCTAGGCCTGGCCGGTGGTCAGGGCCAATCTGTGGGTGGGCCCCACTGGCACTTGCTTTGGCTGGCCTGGCACCGCCCGCTTGCCAGCCCTGCTCCCATTGCCACCGCTGGTCACCTCCCTCTGTGGGGCAACCCGCGGGGCCCCCGCTGGCATCAGCTTTGGCTGGCCTGGGGCCTGTAGGCTGGGGCCAGCTCCTGCATTGAGCGTCTTCCCCCTGGTGGTCAGTGCACGTCATAGCGACCGGTCATTTCACCATTCAGTGGATTTGCATATTAGGCTTTTATTATATTGGAGGATTTGTGCTGTTGGAGACAACAAAGGAGGCCTACTCTCAGACACTGGCAGGCATACGTGCGGAGGGAGCCGGATGCCGGCATGGAGATTGCCCACCACCTCTGGGATGGAACGGCACCAGCGTTCTAGGTATCTAGTGGTGGCTTGGTAGGAGGGGGCCTCATGTTTACAAACATGCCAGCTGTATGGAAAATGCCTTCACATGGATGAAGATCCTGTTTGAGTTCAATTTATCTTATCTATAACCTAGGTCAGCGATTTTCAACCTATGTGCTACAAAATTTTTTAAAGCATGTAACTCGTCTTCCCTTAGATCATCAAATAAAAAATGAGAAGAGTCAACACACACACACACACACACACACAAATGAAAATTGTAGTTTTGGGCTGTCCAAAGATGTAATCCAATATTGACCAATTATACACCTAACAGTTATTACAAAAATCACCCCAAATGATTAAAATTAGTATATCAAGGTTTAAAAGAAAATCATAAATTCTGCTAATTATCAGATTTATGTTGGTTGCACAGTTTATTTTTACTTGCCTCAAAACTTTTTACAAACAAATCTGAGTTAGATAAATAAATTTTCCTTCAAAAAATGTATAACATCTTTTCCTGGACTTGTAAAAGCCAACTGCTGGTCAAATTGCTTTTCTAACTGTGTAGAAGTGTGGTACACAGACCTGGGGTTAAGATAGGAGGCTACTAAAACTCTTCCAGGGATCCTGCGAGGTCAAACTATCTGCATAAAAATACTGAGAAGTTACCTATCTTTTTACTATGCTGACATTTGCATCTATATTGCAAAAGCAATGGCAGATAAGAGTGCTGGCATCTTAGCACAAATAGAGGCAATGAGTGACACCAAACTAGTATCATATTCTTCACAGCCATATACTGGCAGTTGAAAAAAAAAAAGCAAGATTTACTTCATGTCCTTCATGAAGCAGTAAAAATGACTAATTTAATTAAATCTCAATACCTATCTTTTTAATATTATGTGTGACGAAATGGGAAGAAGGCATAAAGCATTTTTTATATATATGACAGTTATCTAGAGGAAAAGTACTTGTATGATTGTTTGAGTTGCTGCAAGGTGAACTGGCCACTTTTACACAGAATAACCCTTTTACTTGAAAGAATGACTAACAGAAGAAATATGGTTATTTGAACTTGAGCATCTGGCAGCTATTTCTTCATAAATGAAAAAAAGCAAGTTTGTCACTTCAAGGAAAGTGGACATTTGTTGGCCATAATAAAATGTGGTCTTTCAAGTAAAAAGTAAAATTTTGAAAAAATTCTGCCACTAATTAGTTTTCCAACTTCCCAATAATCAAATAATTTTCTGATGAAATAAAATTTCTGATGTTAACTAATGTGATTTTTAAAAATATACATATATTATTGATTTTTTACAGAGAGGAAGGGAGAGGGATAGAGAGCAAGAAACATCGCTGAGAGAGAAACATGGACCAGCTGCCTCCTACGCACCTCCTACTGGGGATGTGCCAGCAACCCAGGTACATGCCCTTGACCGGAATCGAACCTGGGACCTTTCAGTCTGCAGGCCGACACTCTATCCACTCAGCCAAACTGGCTAGAGCCTAATGTGATTTTAAAAAATATGTATAAAGAAGTGTGTCAACATTTGAAAGTCGTGTATGACTTAGTTAACCAATATTTTTAAATGGCCAATCTATATATAATGTTACAAAATCACGAAAGGTTAAAGATCCATTCAAAGTGCAAGACAGAACCAATGGGTTTTAATGTAACAAAGTACAAAAAGTTTATCAATATGATTTCAAATTCCACACTGTAATTAACACACCATCTGTTGTGTTTTGGTGTAAAAACAAAGAAATATATCCACAATTATATGAAAAGGCTACTAAACAATAAACTACTCTTCCATTTACATGTACATATCTGTGTGAGGCCAAATTAACTTTAAATACTTCAACCAAAACAAGAAGTCAGAACAGCTGAATAAAGAAGCAGATACAAAAATCTAGTGTCTTCACCTAAGTCAGACATTAAAGAGATTTATAAAAATGTAAAACAGCCCTGGTCTGGTGGCTCAGTTGAATAGAGCATTGCCCCATACTACCAAAATGTTGCAGGTTCCCAGGCAGAGCACATACTTACGTTGCCGGTTTGATCCCTGTCCGGGGCATGTATGGGAGTCAACTGATGGATATTTCTATCTCATATTTTTCTCCCTCCCTCTCTCCCCACTCCCTCCCCTTTTTCTCTCTCAAATCAATAAACATCCTCATGTGAGGATTTTTAAAAAAGTAAAAATAACATTCTTCTCATTAATTTGTTTGTGAAAACAGTTATTTTTCATCAAAACACAGTAACGTATATGAGTTCTTCTAAAATAAATTAGTAAACACTTAAAACTTTTCTCAGCTTTAATTTCTAAAGTAAAATAAATAGTAATAGATATAACCCAATATAAACAAAGCTTCTTGGAGTCCTCAAATTTTAAGAATAAAAGGGACCTTAGGACCAAAACATCTGAGAAGAGTTGCTGCAGAGTAGTGCTACTCCGAAAATGTGGTTACCAAAATAAGCCAGTCTGTGACAAAATAAGCACAAAAGTTAAAAGTGGGCATCTAGAACCTATGATAATTTGACATTGCTGTGGCACATAATTAGGTCTGTATTTTTTGGAGAAGGAGGCCTATCATTTCTCTAATAGTTAATTTTAATGTATTTGATAGAAATATTGGTCGATGGTAGACTAGAAATGAAAAACAACAACAACAAAAAAACTAGTCCTTTACCAAACACAGTTTGAAAAACACTATTCTAGAGAAATTCTCAGGTCAACTGAGAAACATAGAAACCGATCTTTTTGGGGAATCCAAGATAATTCAGGTAGAGAGAGAGAGACAACAAACAGATCCTGACTAGAAAAATGTAGGTATTACGCCTAAATTGAACTAAGTTATCTGAAATCTATTAAACCTTAGATTTGAAGAATTTTAATTTTATTAGACATTAAACAGATTATATAAGGAATTTTGAAACCAAATTAAAATTTTATATAAAAAATAGCCTCTAAGAGAAAACATACACACAATTCGGATTTCCATATCTTTTAATCTGAGAAAGAAGAGTGACACACAGATTCTATTATAATTAATCAAAGAAGGTTTATCAAAAGTCCAAAGGTATTGAGGGACAAAAACAGAAATATAACCTAAACCAGGGATGGGCAACCCCTGGAACACGTGCCAAACATGGCACACCAGTAACGTTTGCTGGCACGCGAAACCCTCTCTTATAATCTTCCATTTACAATTTTTTCCTTAATATCGACTTTTTATTTTTCAGATAAATTCAGTGTAGGTGCATCTTAGATAAATAAATAATTTTACATAACAAGTTATCTTAAAGACCATAGACATGGATTGACGAGAGAGGGGAAGAGCAATTTCTATGCCTCTGCCTTAACTCTCCCTGCCTTCCTAGATCCGACCAGTGTTTTGGTTTCATCCACATACGCTTGTGAATCTTTGTTCTCAGTGATGAATTTTGTTAAGTCTCATAATTGGAGTAGCCCGACGGATGAAAGTAGTAGCTCGTGCATAACTCTGAAGGTCACAAAATATAAACCTGATGTAAAATCTCTGTCATCAGTGATGCAACAGCAAAAGTCCCATTGATAATATCAAACAGACTCATGAAGTTTTCTGTCGGACTATCAGTGTACATGTATACATTAAAAAATAAATGTATTTTTCATCATCATATACTGTGTTTTTGTCGTTCGAATAAATTTTATTATTTCTTCAAGGTTTTTCACATACGTACACCTTAAGAGATATCAAGTAGGTGTAACATGTTTTCAAAAAATTAGGGTTGGCACGCAGAAGAATTTTTGAGTCAGAGATTTTGCTGGTTTTCTCACGCACTCACAAAAAGGTTGCCCACCCTTGACCTAACTAAACTAATAGGTGAGTCTGAAGGATAGGGTGATGAGTTACAGGGTTGAAAGATCATAGGACATAATCTGTTTCCAAGATTCAGAATTATTTATTCAGAAGCAAACAGACAATCCCAAAGGACTTGATAGTCAAAGACTAAAACTAATATATAATCCAAACTCATTTTACTCTTTATTTTCAACTTTTTCATCTATTAAATCATTTACTATGGATGAAAAAAATGAAACTATGTGCCTCTTCGTTAGTACTTTGCTTCCTGCTGTCTGGAAAACCATAAAATAAAAGTGTAAAACCGAAAGACCTGAAAGATTGAGAAATAAGCATTTCTCTCTCTGAATAATGGACTAAATTTTCCAATAGAAAAATGTTGAGGAAATGTTTTTATATAAGAAAAATAATATAAAGGTAAAACCATCCAGTTTTAAACTTAAAAAATATATTAATGA